TCTCGATAAACTAGTAAGGACTAAAGGAAGTATCTGTAGCTAGAGACTTCTAAAGTTAAACAAAGTTTTAGCGAAAATAGAAAGGATGTAAAAGTTGATCTTTTTCTTTAACAAAAGTAAAAATGTTTCGTGGTTTTGTTTCTATGTTAAAAATGGGATGATTCTTTTTTACTTTTCGATGAAGGGATTAGTTTTTAACTAAACGAGTGATACTCGAATAAAGAGTTATTCATGTGACTGGTCCAGGGTCTGGGCTTATTCGTCACAGGGCGAGCTATAGAACTGGACCCTGGTTTCGTAATGGGGTTTCTAGAAACTTTGTACTTGATACGCCTGGTCAGGTTCAGGGTTTCTTGATTAAATCTGTTACTGGATTAATAGTTATTTTTATTAACTATTTACTAGGCTTTCTATACTTTGGATTTCTTAATAAATACTTATTTAATTACTACACTCTTGAAACTCGAGTGAGAGAGATGAATATAAATGTTTTTATGTATATTTTTTAGATAAATAAAGATTGTGGTGTCTTCTTGTTAGTACGTTGAGAGTGTTCTTGCGCAGCAAGAATCCTCTTGCGGCTGACAGTCGTTCTCAGAAATGTTGGAAAAATCCAACATCTCGAGCTGAGGTCGTGGTCCCGAGGAGGTGACTTTTTCATGACATGTGTCACGGAAAAGTCATGGCAGCTGTCGAGTGGAGATCAGTGTCCCTTTCACCAACCTCAACTCCCTTGTGTCCTCTCCATGCCATCCTTCCTCTGATCCTCAACTCGTGTTACAATCCCTTAACCATGAAATCATACGTTTTCACCGTTTTTCTGAAGAGATCGGTCCGTTAGCCTGGCCATTGGCAAGATAGGTGTGTGGTCATCGAGGTATGATGGAAAGTAAACGAGTTTTCATCTTGAGATACCTGTCAAAATCAAAGTTTTTGTCAGTGTTTGTATCTGTGTGTCACTGCTCAGCGCACGGACCCCGAGCTCAGCTCGAGATTTTGCATTTTTCCAACATTTCTGAGAACGACTGTAATAGGGATGCAACAGTTCACCCTTTCACCTCCCTCGCCTGATCCTACTCAACCATCATCGCTCAACCATATCAATTTCAACCAAACCTCACCAGATTCAGTCACAATGATTGTGTGTACCTGCTCACGCTGCTTTACCAAGACATGTATTTAAAGATGGAATTATCCTTTTTGAAAAGGTTTTAGATCAGTTGGGATTATTAAAATTGAATTTGAAGCTTTCTAATTTACTTCATTGTCAAATTAAGAATGGCAAACTTTATGAAAATGGATCTCTTTTACATGATTTCATTATACACGATAGTTTAAGATTAATGGATAAGATTCCTAAACTGCTTAGTCGGGTGAAAATTGATCATGATCATTTGATCTGGTGGGGTCCTGAGAAAACGGTTTTGACTATTGCACTTATGTTGTTTTGAGTCACTTTTTTTGTTTCTTTTGCAAAAACATCATTTCTTGTAATTCGTATCATTTCTTTGTATTTTTGGTTTGGGGGTTCCTATTGTTACGGCTTGGCCTCCCTGGGCATCGGAGATGAACAGGCACTTAGCATAGGCTCACCCATTATCGGTTTAGACCAACTGGAAGATTGAGGAACTTTGTGATCTTGAGCGGGTTTCATTCCTTCCCTATTTGTCATAGTTGAAACACCTTGTTAAACATGTTTCATATAAGATCTTGTGTTCTTTATCCAGTTGTGTTTCTTTTCCTTTGTCACATTTCTCTCATGTTTTGGTAGATCAATACCAAAGCTAGTTGTTGCCCGTGATTCCCCTCTACACCTATAGGCTTAGTAAAAAACTTGAACTGATTCCAAAACTTTTGAAAAAATCAAATCCAATCATGAATCCCAATATCAAAAGTTCCACATTCTTTTATGTTCCAGTCCAATCTTCAATGAAACTTGGATCATTAAACACTAGATCTTCTAAGAAAATCGGGAAGTTGGTAGTCCAAGAACCTGTGGTATTCTTAATCACATCACAAAACCCATTGTTATTCGAATTAGAGATTTCGGATATCAAACTAAGGTAATTAAGGATGATTTTGGGTGTGTTGGTGTAGTAGTGAAGTGTGGTGTACATTGACTTTGTTTTAGTACAACAGGTGTGAAGGTTTTGCTCTCAACCTTATTCCACTAAGATTGGCTCTTCTTCAATCAAGACGATCAAATTAATTTGTTGGTCAAAGGAAGTTGGAAGTTTGATTGTTAAAAGCACTTGGATTGTCCTACATAGGAAGTGAGGTGAATTTGGTCCAGTAAAATCTTTGAGAGGATCTTTGACAGGTTTCGGACAAGCCAAGACAGATGAGCAATGATGAATGGGTGGAATTGATCGTTGATTTCCACTGGTGTGATTTTAGGGGTTGAGGATAGCCCAAAGGGTAAACTGTTGCATCCCTATTACCAAATCGGGCTCTGCTGTCGCTGTACATACAGTACTGATGCTGGCCAAATTTCATGTGTTGCAGTGTATATGTAACCCGGGGCCTGTGTAGTGTCAAACTGTCGCAGGGCCGAAAACTTCACTACAATGCTTAGAGCATCACCACCGTTACCGGGCAAATAAGCCTTCTGTACGACGACGTTCTGACAGGTCACATCGTGTATAGCAATCTTACACGGCAATTGACCAAATCGTTGCCGTGCAAACACGCGACAGTCAAAACCAAATTATTGACCAACTCAGCATAGCGAGAGCTTGTGTCAAAAATTGGTAGGGCCCAGATGACACCGACAGGATGAGAGGTGCGAAAGAGGTCATCAAAGGTCAGACAGTACGTACAAATTGGGGCTATTTGGTGATTTGGACGGAGTGTAACCCATACAGGCGGTTTACACGGTCCAGTGGCTCGCATTTTTTCCCACAAGTCGTGTAAATAGGCTGTATTTGCCTATTTACACGGCCCGGTGGTGATGCTCTTACGGTGTGAGCTGATTTCAGAGGTCATTGGGTTCACTCAGGGCTCAATTTGGCCCCGGGGATGGCCCTGAACTTGCAGGGTTGGGTCACAGCCCTAGTTTTGCTATCTCTGTAAACAATGTTCTTTCATGTAGAAGGATGCACAATGTCCGGTGGATCCTGATGGTACTATCTACACCCCTGTATGGATCTGTACAGCTTGGTGCCGAGATATCTTAGCTTTGTGATCTAGCCTCACACCTAGATGTGTCATGGGCCGGCGGCAACAGTCCCCTGCAGCAGGGCTCTGTGGCCTACAGAAAGCCTGTTGGCAGCCACAAACCCCGGATGCATGGTACAGTGAACACAGTACTCAACAGTGTACACCAGACTTTACAGATGCAGTGTCACAGTACCATAGTGACTAGTGGCTGTGGTCAGGTTGTGGGCGCGCTGATAATTTTGTTGGCGCGCCAAGGCGTGTTCTTCTGTAATGTTTGGCGCCAAGGCGTGTTTTCTTACAAAAGAAATTTCCAACAACCAAAATGTTGTTTTTACACTGTCATTTATTCTAGGTTTGTATTGCTAGAGCTATCTACCACCACAAAATTACCTTTTGGAGGTGAGAAAAGCTAAGAAGAGCTGTCTTCAAAGCTCACAGCAAGGATTCAAGTCTCCAATATTGGTGACATGACATAGAACTCCAAACATCTGCTGTGTTTTTTGGAAAGGCGTGCCGACCCTGATTTTGCTGATTTCTTTGACGCCTAGGCCCGCCGCGCCCACAACCTGAGGCTGAGGGCTGTGATACAGAGTCATTTTGAAGAACCAAAGACCTTGGACTTACAATGTTTAGCAAAAGGTGGTCAGCTTCTTAAAGTCAATCTTGAAATGTTTCAGCTTTTGAGCTACAACATGACCTGGAATATTTGGGAAGAAGGTACCTTTGTCTTTGAGCTTCAGCTTGTTTTATCAATAGGGCTGCAAGGATGGATTTGTCTTCTTCCTGTTTTTGCTTTCATTGGTTTATGTAGGCAAACTGGTCCATAAAAGAGTACATCAGATGGTGTAAGAGAAGAAGATAATTTGTGTGTGATGACCAAGATCTTCAGCTAATTGGTTGTCATTGTCAATACATGAAGGAACCCGGTGCTAAACAAGCAACCAAGTGCGGAAGGAAAGTTGGTGAGTTGGATGAATAAGAGGTTGTGGTGCAGGCTAGAAGCGAGATAAGTGAAATAACAGTGTTGAGTGATGATAAAAGCTTCCTGCAGGCTGAGATTCTAGGCATATGCAAGGGGGATGGGACAGTTTGGGATGTGGTTTGGGGCTTTCAAATATTCCAGGGCTACCTTGGCCAAATGAAAAATCCCGCTTGAAAAACTCGAAAAATTCATATGGCTTCATGCAGGTTTTTTTTTCAAGTGATTAAGAGCATCCACAGTGGTGGGCTCCAAATCGGGGCTCCAAATCGAGCGAATTCAAATTTGGTGGGGCCCCAAATCAATCCGGATGCAGTCGTTCGGACTTCAAAAGTGTAGATTCTATGTGTTTACACACACTTTGAGATCGGTACGCGTGGGCTTACATGTGTGAGGTATGGGATTGAACAAGTGCGGGAATTTGGAGCCCGGCTTTTTGTTGCCAAATATGTAGCCCAAAGCTCGAAATTTGAAGCCGGCTACAAAAAAATTTGGCGATGGGGACTGCCATTGCACCAAAAAAATGGGGCTCAGTCACCAAATTTGGCGATAGCCCCGATTTGGAGCCCACCACTGTGGATGCTCTAAGGGCTTTTATTGCATATAAAACTGACTCAACAAGTTAAAAAAAGAAAGTACTAGTTTACCTCAGAGGTGCACGTACGTCCACTATTGATTGACCTGGGCAAATGCCGGATTTTCTCTACACTCGGACCCAATCGCGGCGTAATCGACCCGGATCCGGAGTGATCCGTGCATTTGGGGCTTCGTCTCCGGTAATTGGGACCGCTCCAGACAGCAATTGGGGAGTGTCCGTCAGGCGACCTGACAGTCTTTCCTTCTGCATGCAGCAACAAAGCACATCGAGATGTCATATAAGAAGGACAGTCAATCTCTCAATATACCCCCTGGCTCCATTACTTCAACTCCATTGTCACCCGAAGCATCTAGACGAAAGAAAGTACCAGAAACTGTCGAGGAGGTAGAGTATCATCTGAAGTTTATTGATCCGTGAGTTGTCCTTTGTCTCTTGAGATTATCATATCTCTAGTTTTCCGACCCTCTGATGCAAGGACTTTTGTTTTCTATGTTTTGGCCCCGGACCATGATATGACCCTTTGCCATCGATCATCGTGGTTTCTTTGAATTAGGCTTTTTCAAACAGCCTCGCACATTGTCCAAACGTCAGCACACTGAAGATCTCGAGATCCTTTCTCATTTCGGTTTCATGACACGACCTGATGAACTACGTTGTGATGATTTGACAGTCGCCTACCTGCCTCAGGACCAATCCAACCTACCTACAAAGAAAAACTTTTACTTTACTCATTCTTTAAACAGGCTGTCAACGGCGATGTTCAAAAAATTGCTTCTAGACCTGGCCTCTTTGATATGTTAGGAAGAGCGAAATGGGATTCATGGAAGAAACTTGAAGGCTTGCAACCAGTCGACGCCAAGAAGTTATACGTTGACACCTTATTGAAGGTGTGTGACATGTCAGCTCGCATCTTCACGAACAATTGCCCTCGCAGTGGAATTTTGCCACTGGATCACGCTTCCCAGAAACAGTATGCACCAGGCACCTTGCTGAGTTTTGTTTCTACAAATATGCCTTGCTCAATCATAGATGTTGAAAAAGCATTCTGATACTCCCGAAGCCAGGATCCTGATCGAAAGCTTGGAAGGCTTTACGCCTTCGGTGGCTAGATCTGACTTGAGTAGTGGGAATTCTGAAGAATCCTCTCCGAGGCGTCCATTACCGCCAGAGGAAGGGGAACAAGATTTGGAAGATTCAGATTCCATTAGCTCAGATGAAGCTTCCTCTCAGTCTCACCGTCAACCACCCTCAATCTTGGGCCCCTACGTGACCCGGGCTCAACTTCCGGATCCAGTCAATGTTCATCAAAGCAACGTACCTTTGAGGAATCCGAAACCTGTAACTCGCAAACAACCCAGAACACACGATCGGCCTGTGAGCCGTACCCGCACAGAGAGCACTATGGCGAGTCAACCACGCTCCCGGTACAGTGATCGCGAACCCTCGACATCGAAGAATACCCGCAGGCTCAGCAGACTTCAGCTCGAGACCTTGGTATCCAGACCAGTCCGGGTTAGCGAACTGGGGTCCCAACGCTCATGGGGCCAGCCGGAGTCACATCATCCGTCTGCCGCAAGGTACACAGCGGTAAACGACCTGCCCGAACAAGAGGACACGGACAGTTGCCAGCATGGTGATCGCAGGCCTCCTGCGGATGCATGTAGCGATTCTTCCATACCAGATCCTATTCCAACATCGCCACTCAAAGGCGTTCGCGAGCCATCTGAATTTGAATCACGGGTAAATTGGCGAGATGTAGTAAAATCAATGGATCGCTTACAAACCGCAATTTCCGCTCTCCAAGCTCGAATCGAAAAGCTTGAAGAATCGCAATCTTCCCATCCCCCTGCCCGCTCACTTCCATTTCGATGGCGAGACTTATTGAATTCAAACATGCCACACCAGCGTTTACTATCTATCAAACAATGGTTGGTGTTGGCAGGAAGACCTTTCTTGTCAACCCTTGCCCATTTGATCTTTATCTGTGCGTCAATTTATATCAGTGGAGTCATTGGCCGTCTTGGTCGTGGGGCGCTTCGATTTTTTTGGTCATCTCGCTCCAAAAGCATCCGCAATAAACGAAAATGACCAATATATTCAAAACTTGGTATTATTGTTTATGAGTTCCAAAGTGTGGATCTTGTCACAAAACACTCTATATGGTACAGTCTTGGGTTATGGAAACTTTGTTATCTTCACATCTATCCTATTTCCGTATTTGTCCTATCTTCGTCTTTCAGTGATGTGTATTATATATTAGATCTACGTTCCTGTACCATGCTGCGGTGACTCTTTTCTTTCTTTGCAGATCTTTGGGATTTCTGATGTCGACCAGTGTATTTTTCTGCCGTTACTGATCGTGTACTTTGGCTACTAAGGGTTTCAATTAGGATTTGGAATTTTCGATTTACGCACTGAAGCACTGGTTGAGTTGGCGCATCTACGGATACATCATCAGCATTATCAAAAGGTATGGAGATAATCGATTGCTTGTATTTTCCTTGGCGAATCCAGTGCTATCTAGGGCTATTCATTTGTAATTCTTATGGATATAATCAACTAGTTATCTCCTCTGTACTAATCACTATAAGCTGGACTCATTCAAGTACAACAAACAAAGCAAGCGTGAGTTGTTCTCACATCCAAGTTACTTGGAGGTCCCCTAACCAGTTTAACTTTTCAATGATCCATCGAAACGAATCCATGGGAATGCTTCGGTGCATCACAATCCCAAGCAAAATGTCATGCCTATGCCCATCTTAGTCTTCAAGTGAGACACAGGTCAATATATTGAATTGCAGGGGAAGAAGATCAATTTTTTAGTTTATTTGACCAGCCTTTTGTAAAAAGAAACCAAGCGGCTGAAGCGGATAGTAAAGTATTTTAGTTGCCATTGAGAATATACACAAAAGAATTGAAAACCTCAAAAGTTTCCATAGTATCATATTGTTTGCTATCGAATCAAGGTGTATCACTCAAAATTGAAGAGTCTGCGTATTCACTGGGGATTTTTTCCATTGGCCTGCAGATGCCAAGGGACGTAGCCAGTCCACCTTCTCACGGGACAGTGATTACATTTCGGTCTTTCCAGTTTACATCGTGTGTGCCCGTGCCCTCTTGTTCCTATGCGCCTAGGATTTCTGGACAGGGTGAGTATCTAGAACAGGGTAGCCTAGAGGGGGTTTAGGAACGTTCTCTTCATGGGGTATCTCATGACCTTGGAGATGCATAATGGTAAGGTAGATATAAATTGTTTGCGATTCCCAATATCAGCCAAGTTTTTGTGATGATGGATTTGAGAGCGACGTGATGATAACTCACCTGTCGTGTCCACAGTGATCTTTTGTGCACGTTGCGATTTTACCCAGGTAGCAGGATTCGAAACATCAAATGGCTGTAGTTCTGTCCTAACCTGGAATCCATATTTCTTTGTCGAACGATGGGCGATTCAGTTCTGAGTACGTCTGCACCATGCAGATTCATCATTCTCAAACATACCTTTAATATTTCCACTGCTTCATCAGGATGTGCCTTTTCCCCTTTCACGATAGGGGTCGTTAAGAAATTCCAAATCTTCTTCAAGGAGTTATATGGTGGTTTCAAGATATGCTCCCACACCCAATTTGTAGCTTTCCCGCCAAGTGCCCAAGACTGACCATATTTGATTCTTCGCTCTTCGAGGGTTAGCTGGGAATCAGGAATATCGGCGAAAGTTTTTGTAGCTGGATTCTCGTATGATGCTGATGGAGCGAGGTCTTTCTTTGTCTGAAGTCGAGGCAGTTTTTCCCTTTGAGGATAAAGCTGATTGATTTCGTCCTTGTCGAAATCTACCAACTTGCCTTTGCCTTTGTCGAGAAATTGGCCGGACTTCGCCAGACCTTCGATTTCGTGCATGCCCACAATCGGTTCTTCAAGTGGCATAGCTAGTATTGACGAGGTAGTGGCGATCAACAGACCACAGAGTATCTGAATGGCCAACATTGGTATCTCTTGCATTTAATTGTAAAATGAGAAAAGAACAGAAAGCGTAGACTGGGAGGTTAACGATTGTTGTAAAGAGCGTGATAGAGAAACGAGTTCTGTTTCTCCTGGATGGAAAAGGTGAGTTTGGTCAGCTTCATGATGCAATATGATTCACGTTGCCGAGAGGCAGATTTGTTACGCACTTATGAACTTGAAGGATATGGCTTGACCTATCAGCAATCAGATCATCGGTATGACCAGGTAAGTTCTCGTGTGATGTTGAGGATAAATGAGAGTAAGAATTTGAATGTGACGATTCTCAAAGGGGATCAACGTGGTGTGCAGTGTACCTTTCCAATTTGGACCTTCAGAGCCTTCCAACTATCACCCCAACTATCCAGAAGATGGATAATACGCTGAACCTTTGCAGGTTCTCTGTCATGTTTCAGGCGTGCTGAACTTGTAGTTTGAACCTAAAGCGTCTTGGTCTAGTTCTTCGTCTAAATAGTGAGACACTCCTAGAGACCCCATGTGTTAAGCGGCGAGTTTTGTGAATTACAAGAAGACCCGCCCATGATACAGAACCGAACACAATTGTCTGATTCGCTCACTCCTTGAGTGGGATACTTTGGTGCTTTTTGCTGAACTGTGTGTTAGGAGTGCACGACTTCTAGCAAGTTGAGTCACGAGTAGCAAAGATCGCTCGAATTTCTTCAATAACATACTTGGGGGAGCTGATGGCCTAGAGGTACTCAGTACCTCCTGCGTTTGCAGTCGTTTCCCAGCCAAAGACGCTGTGTGGTGAAGTCTTCGGTTAGCCTCTGACTCGTATAAATCTTACCAATGAGTGATTTGGAGGAACAAGAACGTACTGCTGTCTGTAAGATATCAAAAGACGCGCCTTGAATGGGACATGTCGCCGGCTGAAGTGGTCCACATTATCTGATATGTTCAACATCTCCATCTCCTGTCTCCACTTTCCAAAGATGACATTGTCTGAATTGCACGGCATCAAAATTGCTGAGGGCGCGGCCGTGGCCGCCCAGGGGTGCTTCAGTCGAGCCAAGCATCAAATGCTGATCAACGCTGCGAGAAGGCTACATTTCCTGCTTGATCTTTCACATTATTGAGTGAGGTTGACGAAGTATATCGCAGGCGGCAATAATTCCTCTCCAATCTTCTCGATATCAGTGTTCTGTCACATGTCTTCATCCACAGAGGAGTTTGAGTGATTGAGTCTCTATTATATGTTCCTAATAGCAACTGAAACTGATGATTGAGCTGGATAGCACACTCCCGCGACTTGTTCGAACTTCGAACACCAGTATGCTCGGCTCTATCATCTATTACCTACTTCCTTCAAACATCCGCATCCATTTCGGTCCGACTTGTGCCGCAGATCTGAGCCGAATAGGTACAGGATGACCACGTAAGATCCCAGCTGTGGTACTTGAATACTACAGCTTCGCGCGAACGCTTTGCCAAAAAGTAGCATCGATCACGCCATCTTGATTTTGAGTAACGAAACCCATCATGACTTGATGGCTACACTCGTCACTGCGTAGTCGAGAAATCAAAATGCCTCTCACTTGGATAGCATTTTACGACATACCCTCCAAAACGGTGTAGGAGCCGTTCCACACTACAAACCTGTGTCGAGGCAGCCAAGGCCGCTATTTCCCTGCAGTCATCGTACGACTTCACTTCACTATATTCCGAGTAGGGGGATGACTCCCTCAGCACTGTTCCTCGCCATCATCACAGTGTGGTGGCATCTAGCCGCTACCTTCCCCTCGAGCAACCGCTACGACAATGAAACCACCATTTCGATGAGCCCCCGAACTTCACAGAGCCAAGACCAGTCGAAAGGTATGCACGAGTAATCTCCCTTCAGCTCACACTTTTGCAACCCGTTTGCTAACTGACAACGAAACATTGTAGTCATCAAGGATCCGTGTACGCGTACACCCCTGAAGCCTCAACTTTGGTCCGGATTGCAGATGAATTCATACTTGGACACTTATTCCCTTGGAGCTACATTGAACTTACAAGTATGATTGAAGCCTACGCCTGATTTATGACCTCCGATCCTCACATCATCTTATACCCCACAGCAATACGCCAGCCATGTTGGGGCAACAGACTTCGTCGCGGGCATTGGAGAACATCCCAACCCTGGACAGGTCAGCAGAGAGGACCTCTGATCTTTGTGGAGCCGAAAGCTCCTTCCTGATAAGCAAGCTTGTTGAAATTATCCAATCAATCTTATTACTCATTTGTGACGGAAACAGTTGTGCGAATCGGTGAAAGGGAAAGACTGGTATGCACTAGTGGCTGCTCAAAATTGGAACGCTTTCGTGAATGACTTGTATGACTCTGCTGGATTTGCGTAAGTTGACTTAATTCCCCAAATCACAGGGATATCAACTAACCTCTCTTATGTTGCACTTGGACTATCCGTTGATGTTTTTCGCTACCAAATGGACCTTGTGTTGGATCATAACTCAGGTTCTCTGTCATGTCTGGTCTGTAAAACAACCTTCTTTGTGCAAGACTTTCAATTCCATTGACGCAAATTTAAAACTCATCGAAAAAACTTGGTTCGTGTGGTTTTCAAATGATCCCGGAAGGCGTCGCGCCTGCAATGGTAAATTTTTCAAGCCATCTGTGCAGCTCAAACTCTGATGCTCATCTTACCACTTTTCTGCTACTGTGGCTCCATATCAGTTGATTGATTTTGAGAAAGACCCAACACTTGTTTACAAGCACACAGTTGAGTGTTGAAAACTTCGATATTTGATATACCCGACTAAATTTTTTCATCAGGCCAGCTACATAGGTCTCGCAACCACTTGGGTCAGCTCCTTTCCGGGATGTATGTGGAGTGCTGTGGCTCCGATAGAAAGTGCAATGTTTTCCTCCTGGGGGGAGATAGCTTGGATCTCCATGGTCGGTTCCATGTATGTTTTAGCTTCCGCAGCATTTGTGGAATCAGTTATGTTGATAGGAAATGGAGAAGATAGATTCACACGCGTCAGTTTTTGGCTAACACGGACTTGAGTCTGACTATCCACAGAGGGATTGACGGCTGGTCATCTGTTTTTTGAACCAGGCTTCTGTGATTGGTTGGATGTTGGCTACTGCTCAACATGGAGTTCAATCAACCATTGCCAACTTGACACAAGCAGTTATAGATGCTCCAATCAGCGACAGGGCTGGCTTGGCTGGCATCAATCGCGACGGCGGTTTTTTGGACGAGATACCTTCAAACTTTCAGAGTCGACTTCAGACTGAGCTTGAACTTGCATTGAAGTTGAAAGCTCTGGCAAAACTTTGGAGAGTTCAGGTAAATGTGAAATTTTACATTCCTTACCTGACACCGAATTTCAAAAATCTGGGACTAATTATCGTATTCATCCATTGATCTGAATTGTATCAGAATGCGTTTATTACCAGGGGTAGCGTACGTCCAATTTCTGCGCTGAAGCCAAGATTGTCATACTCCTTGCAAATCTTTAACCTTTCACTTTCACCTTTAGGATCCATGCACACAGGATGGACCAAACGGTGCTTTCAGTGATCCGGATCGAATATCATATTGTGGCGAAGATGGAATGTAAGCACCATTTTCTTGGAAGTGGCATTTTCATTTGAGGTTGACTATGATGAATTTGATCCAAACACCAAGTATGATGAACATTGTGAGAGCAGAAAAATATGGAGATGGGCTTGACCTCACAATATATCACGCCTCTCTGGTCGAGGCTAAGTACGGATACAGCCCTGAGTTTCTTACTACCTCTGCTTGGAAATGTCAGAAGACGCATGGTGTGTTTGAATATGATGTTTGCCTTTCAAATAACCAGTGAGTTGGCGCAAACTTCCTTCTCTCAGATCACTCTTGCCGCTGATCACTGACAATCGAAATTACCTCCTAGTACTTTAATATCACTCGCAGATATAGGAAAGCCTAGTGATTGTTATTTCAACTTACCTGTCTGTGATCTTACCTCACCACGTAAGTCATACCTCTCCACATGGATAAAGCAAGGATATAGTTTATACAATATGCTCCTGCTGGATAGCTTTGACATGCACTTATACTGAGAAATGATTCATCCTCATCACCACACCCTTTTAGTTCTACAAGAAAAACGCGCTAAACATACCTCACTGACAAAACTATGTCGAGAAGTGGCAGGTCTCCCAATCTGATGTGATCTTGAGTAAGCTATTGATGAGCTTCGTGTGGTACTCATGAATCAAGTTTTGATTACGCCAACTGATCATATTTTCATTTTGAATTTATAGGATGAAGTCACAAAGCAATAAAAATTGTTCAAATATTTTGACCAATATGTTTACATAAAAAGAACTTTCCCCTTGTACCATTTCATTTCTTATATCATCTTGATCTTATCCCTATCAATTCAAGATACCCACTACATATTGATGAACTGCATTTTGAACACCATATAAATCATATAAACACAAAAACTAGGCCCGGACAGCATTTTCCCAAGATTTCTGATGACATGAAAGAAATATTTATCCCAAAACTGAATTCGTGGAGGATGAGGAAGTGCTTCAGAGGTAGACTCCGTGGATTTGTTTCTTCTGAAAGCATTTCTAGCATAGCTTTGTAAACTCCTCATTAGCTAGATTGACCAGGCCATTTGTCATCCCTTTCCAAATTAGTCTCTAGAAGGTACCAAGAAAATATACTTTGTGATCAGGATTCAAATATGTTGGTTCTAGAAACTCACAGCTAATCCTCATGGCAGTGAGAAGACAAGCAGAGAGACTCTTTAGCCCCGAGATCTATGAGTCTGACAATGTGCCACTCTAACTTCTTTTATGCTTTGTTGAAGCTACTCAAAGTCCAGAATGTCACTGATAGGGAGGTTTTTACCAAGCTACTACACATCGCACCTTGCCTAGTATTCACATGTTCGTGCTCGAATTATATGTGATTTGATTTGAATATTTCGAGAGCAAGCAGCTTTTCTCAATTCTGGATGTTCCCATCTGAAGCCACAAGTCAACTTGAAAAAATGCACCAGGGATCATCTGGTGAAACCCCATCCCCCCGGTACAACCATTGGTTGCAATCCAGAAGTCAATCCCTCTGCTGTAACCTAAGGATAAGGGAACGTCATCTCAGGAGACAACTTCCAATTCTTGTTAGAAGCCTTTTCAACAATCCATTCTGATATCTAAAGCTTTTTGTTAACCTAGCAGCTGTGAATCGCTCTTCACAGGAGAGAACTGAAACCCCTCATTTTTATTCCCGTTCTCATTCCAACAGATATGATTTGTTATTAAGTTTCCAATCTTTGGTAGCTAATCAGCCACCAGAAAGAGTTTGCCCTTATTGCATCATGTCGATGATCTTGATTCAATAGAGATGCTTTTAGTTCTGCGGGATCCCAGTCAGTCAAAAGGATCCTAACTCTAATCGGAACAAGTTTGGAGCAAGCGAAAATTCCTGTTGAATGATCAAAAATTGTATAGGAGAAACCACCTTGAATTGGATCATAATGATGAATCAAAGACATTTGGTTCGCGTTCGTCCAGGCCATAAAAAATACATGTATGCAGAGACATTAAAAAGATTGAACCTTAGGTACATGAATTACCCACCGATTTGTTACGTAGATCTTATGCAGCCAAACTTTTTGGTGGTGCAAGCGCAGGTTCACCCAGAGGAGTCTGGTGATGATTGAAAACCAAAAGATCAAACGGTCAATCACAATCTCCTTGGTAATTGACTCTTAAATTTTCAAACATTACACTCACAACATAACAAGCATGTGCTCCACCATCAATGAGGAAATCTGTACCAGTGATGTAACTGCTATCATCGCTGGCGAGGAATAGAACACCTTTGGCTTGTTCGACGGCTTCTCCGAAACGTCCCATTGGTAAATGTACCACCCTTCTCTCACGTTTCTCATCGGTGTTGAGAAAGTCCATTAACAAAGCTACGTGTTGTAGAATTTTGAGACGGTAGGCAAACATCAACAGTTGGTCAGGTTCTTCACTTTATCAAGAAGAGGGGGGAAGATACTTACGGGTGCGTAAAGGCCCACTTTTGAATTCAACACAGCGAGACGTGATTGATGAGTATTTGAAGCGTATATTTCGAAGGATCTGACTTACGGGCAGAGTGCATTCAGTCTAATCCCATCACGAGCATGAACCATTGCAAGTTCTCGTGTCATGGCCAAAACTGCACCTTTGCTAGCCGTATCTATTAAATTCAAGGTATCAAAAGAATTCGATCATCACCCAAGGTATCAAAAGAGACTTTGAGATGACTAACAAGCTAATTGCGGAGTAGCAGCACCCAACTTAGCAACGAAACTAGCAGTGTTGATTATACTTCCACCAATCTTCAATCCTTTTGATTCATCAGTAGGATTCTTTAACATGGCCTGAATGGCATATTTACAACCCCACCAAACACCTTTACAATTGATTTGCATCGTTAAATCCCAAACTTTTTCATCAGTTTGAACCGCATCTGAATCATCCGGATGCATAATTCCAGCACTAAAAAAAAATTCGAAAAATCATCTCAGTCAAGATCTTTCTATGAGAGCTTAGTTTTTGAAAGAAAAGTTACTTACTTGTTGAACATGATATCAAGTCTACCACCTTTCGAAACTGCCGTTTCAACTATTTTCTTCACATCTTCTTCTTTTCCAACATCACATCGTATAGCAATAGCTTCTGAAGACGAATTAGGATTTAAACTTTTGATTTTTGATACAGTTTTCTCTGCTGCTTCTAAGTTGATATCAGCAACGAAGACGAGACAACCTTCTGAGGCGAAAAGGATAGATGTTTCCATTCCAATTCCACTTCCTCCACCGGTGATCACAGCGACCTTGTGGTTCAATCTTCCAGGCATGGTGATGAATTCCGATTTGATGAATTGGTAGGAAGAGAGTGATATGAGATTGCTATATAGTGATTGTTGCAGTAAGCAATCAACTGATGCTAGAGACCAGATAAGGTGACACTGACAACTGAGACACTGGTCACTGCAAGGGCGACATCTCGATCACATGCGGGACCAACGCGGGTCGGGTCTCGGGTATACCGGTTCAGAACGCGTTTGAGACCGCTGAAGATAATTTGGCCGTGATTCATAAAATCGATACTTCAAGTTTCTGTTGCTTGTCCACAATTCACTTGCGTCTTCCTCCATGCTCCATCCAAATTAACAATCCATTAAAGTACTGGTAATCTTGACAGTTTTTGACTGTATGTACGATAAGGTCATTTCTATAGAATTTTATTTCTATTTCCCAAGAATCATTGTCAGCTTATGATATTGTTCAAATAATTCAATTGGCCAAGGTGTCTCTGTAGCTTCAAAAGACTTCAAAAAAACAAAGAAACTCTCCTAGCCATGAGCAACAGATACAACAGATACTTAACATCATTATCAGCATGCCATATTTCAGTCAAAAATTCAATTTGATTCAATTTGCAGAAGTGACAAGGTGTGTAATCTTTTGGAACGACTGATGTCTTCTAGTGCAACTGTTGAGAGTGGAAATAAAGGCACTTTGTCAAGCTTGGGTTCATACATATACATATATGTTGGATAGCATAAAATAAGTCTTCATGTGAATAATCTGCTTCGATAATCCATGTGCCCAAGACTCATTGGATGAGGCACCTGGGTGGACAAATGGATTGATGGCCATGAACATTGCTTGAGTTTTCCCCATTACTCTTCAAAACAAGTTCCTTTTTTTTGAGTTGAAGAGTCAAACCTTGAAAATGATGAGATTCAACGGTTTCCAAAGACGCAGCCTACGGTCCATGTCGTCTTTCCGCAGCATGAAACCCATCTCGAATCACATGTGAAATGTAGTACATACATGTGACAGTGCATGTAACAGATTGAAAATTATGTACTTTGATGTGGTTTTGTAGCGCATGTATCCACTTACCACAGGTTAGCCATTTGAATTTCAAAGTTTGGTTGAATGGTAATCAGAGAAATTTAGAAATTTCAAAAAACTTTCAATATCAACCTCAACTCATCCCATCAGATCCCCCATCCAACCTCATCCTCTTCATCCCCCATTTCTTTAAACCCTCTTCACCTTTACCTTTCTCTCATTATCTTGATCGTCTTCTCTGTGACGTCCGCACTACCTCTTCTACCACTCCATCCCTTCAACTCATAGTCCCCATGGGTTCCAAATCTAAGACTGCCGCTCCAGTCGACAAGAAGGCCACTTCGTCGTCGCAGCCTTCTTCAAAAGTCAAGCCTTCAGCTCCAAAGGTAGTCCCTACACCAATCAAGGAGAAGAAAGAAAAACTTGATAAGAAATCGAAATCGAAATCTAAGGACGCTACGAAAGAAAACACACCATCCAAGAAGGAAACGACCAAAGACAAGAAGGCATTTGGAGAGCCACTGAAGACTAAATCTGCTTCACCTTCCAAGCCTGCTGCTCTCTCTGAATCCGGTAAAAAGTCAAAGTCAAGCAAATCTACCAACGGGGCCAAAGCCAAACCTTCCAAAAAGCCTGTCTCCGAATCCGATTCTGACAGTGATGATTCCGACTCCAGCGAACCGGAAGAGAAGTCAAAGGCTTCGACCGTTAAACCCGTCAAGGCCGCCAAAGCATCTGATTCTGACAGCGACTCAGATGACAGTGATGATGATTCCGAGGTTCCTGCTGCAAAGGTTTGTTTTCTCTTGTCCACATCATTTTCCTTTCATGAGCGCTGATGTTTTTTCTATGGCCATTTCCTGCAGCCTGCGCCTGCAGCACTGAATGGTAACAAGACCAAGGCTTCAACCAAGGCCGCCGAGTCATCCGAAGACTCCGACGACTCTGACTCCAGTGAAGATGAGGATGCAAAGGTCTGCCCTTTTTCTTTCTGCTCAAAGATCGCAACTTAACTGACGTCTTCTAATCATCATTCATTCAGGCTGCACCAACCAAGGCAAATGCTGCTTCTGCCTCTACCAAGGCCGCCGCTAAAGATGACTCTTCAGATAGTGATGACAGTGATGACTCTGTACGTGCATTGTGTCTATCCTGTTCCGAAATGTAACTCAAGGTTTTTCCCTCTCCCCTGCTCCGCCCTTAGGACGAATCCGCACCGGCCAAGACCGCAGCTGCCCCTGCACCTGTTGTCGCCAAGGTAATTATATATCTTCCTCCGCTAGGCCATATCTTATACTAACCATCCTTTAACCACGTTTGCCTCAATCGCAGGACGCTTCATCGGGATCTGATTCAGATTCTGGAAGCGAGTCCGAATCCGATACCGAAATGTCGGACCCCAAGCCCGAAACACCAGTAGCTCAAAATGGAAAGAACAAACGCAAAGGCGATACCGAGGATGGATCTGCTAAGAAGGCGAAAACCGATGACGCTTCAGGCGATATCAAGAATCTCTTTGTTGGAGGTCTCTCATGGAATGTGGATGATGATTGGTTAAAGAAAGAATTCGAAAAATTTGGGGAGGTGATTTCTGCGCGGGTCATCACCGAGCGAGGCACTGAGAGGAGTAAAGGGTATGTTCATTCATATTTGACTGACATAAATGGTAACCCTTTAGGATGATATTGATCTGGATATGTGCATTTGTCCAGTTTTGGATACGTAGACTTCGCTTCTCCTGAAGATGCACGGAAGGCAGTAGAGGCAATGGCCGGAACTGAAATCGACGGTCGCACGATCAACGTTGACTTTTCAGCACCTAAACCAGAACGACCTCCTCAAGAGAAGCGCAGCTTTGGTCAAGAAGAACTTTCAGCCCCTACGACTACTCTGTTTATTGGCAACCTACCCTTCAGTGCCACACAAGATTCAGTCTATGAGGCATTTTCCGAGTATGGGGATATCAATTCCGTTCGATTACCTACCGATCCCGAGACCGAACGTATCAAGGGTTTTGGTTACGTTGAATTTGCTACTCAAGAAGCTGCTACAGCGGCTGTCAATGTAGGTCGAGGTGACGGTATTTACATTGATCAACGTCAGGCTCGACTAGACTACAGCCAGCCTCGAGCGCCAGGTGGTGACCGTGGTGGTCGCGGCGGGGGTAGAGGTGGAGGTCGTGGGTTTGGAGGCGGTCGCGGAGGAGGTGGACGTGGTGGAGGATTTGGGGGCGGTCGAGGTGGAGGTGGCCGCGGAGGAGGTTTCGGGGGTGGTCGAGGTGGAGGTGGACGCGGTGGAGGCCGTGGTGGAGGCGACAGTGGATGGGGTGCCCGTGCCAAAGTGACAGGTGCTATGGTCGAATCGGCTGGAACGAAGAAAAAATTCTGAAGGAAGAAAGAACAGTGTAGGTATCTCCTCTTCAATACCTCAATACCTTTTATTCTTTCTTCCATTCTTTCCTGCCTCGGTCATATGGTCATGATGCGATTCGAACTCTCAATCCCGAGGGGTAATGGCTCGTCATCAGCCTGCCAAAATCGTGTTCACTCTACGCGTCTCTTCTTCTACGGGTTTCTTTCTGGGTTACATTCTATATCTGTTCTGTTTCTAGAGGCTACACCGGTCCGATCTTAAGGACCGTTTGGATTAGCAAATACAAAATATCTGAGGCTCATTTGAGCTTTCATAATACATGATGATAAAAAAAAGTGAACGACTTCTTTTGACGGATCTTTGTGGCGAATGGTCATTCTTTTCTGTTACTATGTTTTTTGTGTATCATCGTCATTGCAGTCGGTTTATGGTATCATGGTTGAGAATCATTTGTGGTTGGATGTGTCCCATTGAGCTTTAGATGTACGTCGTGAAGGCTTTTGAATGCTCTGAAAATGTGAATAAAGTGGGATTTCAGTCAATTTTGAGAGGTCCATCAAGTGTCAGCTTGAGAGTTTTTGACGGATGCACAGAGCAACAAATTCCACAAGAGAGATCCACAAAGGAATGGTTGATATCGTAGCCTAGCCCGTGCTCAAGGTCTTGTGAGGTCCCTTGCAGACAATTATGACCAACAGTGGATTGATGGTGGGATCGAACTCATTGATTTGATAAGAGACATGAGCCGTATGATTTTCAGTTCGAAACACCAGGGGACAATATAAGCTGCACTGATCTTTGAATGAGGGGTAGTTAGTCAATCCATAGTGAGAACTGAAGGAACCATCAGAGTACACTTTTGATATAGCATGTCTCATAACGTGTTGTTTTGAATGACCTCATATTCTTTGAAAGTATCTCACTATATAAGCGGGGTTCATTGTTCAAGCGTTTAATGTCTCATTCACAATGGAAAGTACTGAGAAACAAAGGGAGTGAATATTATCATCAACGCAATATGTAATCGCTTTGGGTATCAAACATCTCAAATACTTCGTTGACTGCCTACAGCCATTGGGATGAAGGTCGTCTTGAACAATATATTCCTCCTTGAGAGGCTATATTATTTTGTCACAATGCGCCAAAGCTATCAGACTTCTCATACTGCTCCAGCTTGAGGAGAATGTGGATGTAGACGCGACGCTGTGCATGTCAAGAACTGATATACGAAAACAGGTTTACACTTTTTACCAGACCATCAGAGCAGCCAGAACAACATTGCTTTCTACAATTTATGCGCAATTCCATAATGTGAATCATTCCCAGAAAATGATAAAGTTAATCAAGAAAAGTAAGGTAAAATGAAACTTAATGTCTTCTTTGACTCTTCACTCATCGATTCTTTCTTAGTCATCACGCTGAATTCCATCGTACCTTTACAAGTCTTGAGTTGATTTTGTTCGATGGCTGTATGAATATCACTCAAGACACGTAAGGTTAATCGATTAGAGACTACGACATTGGAGTTAATGGTGGCCATCACTTCAGCTACTGTTACTGGTTCTTCTGATACTCTCCATGCATCGTAATCAGTGATTTGAGCAATCAAAGCATAACTGTCATATCATCAATAAATAAATCAAGTCAATCAATTTGTACATCTCAAAATTTCATAGAGCATTCAATTGAGATAGACAAACCTTAGTTCTGCTTCACGAGCAAGTTTTGCCTCGGGCAAGACAGACATATTAATGATATCACCACCTAATTGACGATACATATGACTTTCCGCTCTAGTAGAAAAAGCTGGACCTTCCATACAAACTGCTACCTTATTTTCATGGACTCCTACACGAAGCTCAGGTTCGAAACTTTCAACTTCTCTTTTAATTGATTGAGCCAAAAGTTTGATGAGTTCATTATCAAATGGATCACCAAACATAGCATGTCCTACAACTCCTAAACCTGAGAAAAAAGTGCAAGGTCGATTTGATTTGGTACGATCTATGATTTGATCAGGTATCACAATATCTTTAGGTGGAATCTCTTCACGTAAACTACCAACGGCTGAAAAGGCGATGATAGCACGACATCCGATATGTTTAAGAGCTGCAATGTTCGCACGAGAAGGTACTTCGGATGGTGAGATGTGATGCGAAAGACCGTGTCGGGCTAGAAAAGCTATCACTTGACCGGTTGGTAGTTTGGCTAGGGTGATGGGTGATGAAGTTGAACCCCATGGTGTATCAATGTTTAAGGTCTCGAGTGGGGTGAGGCCATCTAGCTTGTAAAGACCTGAACCGCCGATAACACCTGCGAATTGACGGTGATAAGTAAAACAGTCAGGCTAACTGATAGAAGAGTGAAAATGAGAACTGGTGGGACTAACCTACGAGTGGAGCTGAGGAAGACATTTGGAAACCTTGATGCAACCTTGAATTTTTTGTTGTCCGAAAAGAAAAGCGGAGTTCCAAGATGACATGTGTGTGACAAACGCAGCCGGAGACAGCTGCGAGATCCCAAGGAAGTGTGAAATGGCAAAAGACAGGCTGTCACTGAGAGATCGAGGTAGTGTCAGGCATGTGTCCTCTCATTTCACTCCAGTGACATTTGTATATGACATTAATCAAAGTGTATGTCACATTGATGAATCTGATCGAGTCAAATCTTAATTTGTTCGGATGGAGTCATGATAGCACAAGAACAACAACAACAACAAGATTCCATCAAGCTCAAAATAAATGGCATCAAGAAAACCAGCAACGTCTAAATTCAATAAGAAACCCAATACACCAGCTAACTCATCTCGCTTCAATGATAATCGAAATCATGGAACTTCATCCAATACTCTGGATCCTAATACACTCATGGGTACCATTCCAAACAAAGCTGTGGTTGGACCCAGTAATTTGAGACGTGATCAGTCTGGTAGAACTGTCGAGTTCTTTGTAAGTCTCTCACCCACTCATTGTCATGGATTAAATGATTATATATGAAACTGAGGTTTGGATTTATTCTATTCAGTCTGAAGCAGATGTTTGTCCTATCTGTAAATCAGATAGATATCTTAATCCTGATCTACGTCTCTTGGTTTCGAAATGTTATCATAAAATGTAAGTATACGCCAGCAAAAAAATATCCTCTCAATTTAAAGCCAATGAGAGAAAAGAGAATCAAGTTTTACTAAAATTAAAATGTTTTTTTTGCGGGGGGGACGGGAAACTATTATAGGTGTGAATCATGTATTGATCGAATTTTTTCATTAGGACCAGAACCATGTCCAACTTGTGGTTTGATTTTAAGAAAAAGTAATTTCTCACCTCAAACTTTTGAAAATTTAAAAGTAGAAAAAGAAGTGATTATACGAAAACGAATTCATAAATTGTTTAATAAACGTCGAGAAGATTTCGAAAGTTTAGATCATTATAATAATTATTTAGAAGAAGTTGAAGATATCAGTTGAGTTTTTCTTTTGGAATATATAATTTAAACTTTGTTTGAACTGATTATTTTAACATGATTGTTTGATTTGGTATATTTCTATCTATAGCTTTTAATTTGATTAATGGAGTAGATGTAGCAGAAACAGAAGCTAAGATTAAAAAATATCAAATCGAAAATGAAGATCTGATTGCTCAGAATGCAGTACATGAAGCAAGACAAGTCGAATTAAACAAACGACAAGAAGAAGCTATTAAAAGAGAACGCGAGGAAAGAAAAGCTGAGTTGATTAGATTAGAAGGAGAAGCTCAAAGAGAAGAACGCGAATTGAAAAATGAAACGATACGTAACTTGGTAAGACTATTTTTTCATTACTCCTGTCTAATCTTTTTGATTAAATGTCTTATTTTGATGTTTGAATTAATGAACTTGGTTATTACCTTTTAGGCCGATTCGGATGTAAGCGCGGATAAGTTGGTGGCGCGACAACGTGCTTTAGCCCAAAAGAAATCAGCTGCTCGAGCTCTAGCATCAGATCTTGCAACAAAATCTACATTAACTATGCCATCCCTCACCGGTCTACTAGATCCATCAACTTCACAACTAGATGAAGATCAAAAACCAGATATAGAAGGAGAATTAAACCGATGGGATGATTATTCGAATATGTTTGAATTACAAACCTTTCAAGATGCCTATAGACCAGGTTATGTAGATGAAGAATCGATTGGAACGGTTTTGAGTGATGATAGATTAGCATTTGTAGGAGGATTCGAATTAGAAACGGTTTGGGAAAGACAAATCCGTAGTGCTGTGATGGGACTCTTTGTTACAAAACCTGAAGAAGGTTCAAATAATCAACTTCTGTCTGATGAAATTATGAATGTTGATCTTCCTAATGCTTGATGCTTGTTGTTTTAATTACCTCTACTTATATATCAATACTTCATCTGCGCTGTACTTACAACCTTTTTATTCCTTCTTTGTTTTTTGCTCAAGCGCTGATGTTGTGGACGGAATAGATTTGTGTGTTATCATATCAAATTATATATAGATTGTAGAATGTATTTAGTCTTATCACCTTTTTCTTACTTCAAATGACACTTATATATTACCAGCTGGAATAGAATGTATCATTAAACAAAAAAATCACATCCTTTTGCTGAACAAACGAACGCGATCCGCTTCCGTGCTGCCAGCAAAAGGTAATTCCTCGGGTAGCGCAAAAAATTGGGCATGCTCGACAGAAGTGAGATTTGAACTCACGCTCACAAAGTGAAGTAGCTGATCGATCGTCGAGCGAATTCGAAACTACCGCCTTAACCACTCGGCCATCCTGTCGGTACCGGTTTCGGTACTTTTGAAAATTTGGACCCAATAGTACAGCTATGCTCGAATCACCAAGGTCAATTCACCAGGCGTCTCTTCCAGCTCAATCAAAGCTTATACACAAGTTGAATTGTTAGATGAATTGTTAGAATCCTGTAGCCATTGTCAACATCTGATGCACAGTATTAAAAAGGTCTTCATACAGCAACAAGACTTCTTTTGAACCTGGTATCAAGTGAATGGGAATTGTGTTGCTCCTCAAATTGAAGGTATGAGTGATAGAGGAATTAAATCTCTTGGTTTTACAACTTGTGATATATTATTCATTTTTTCTAAATTCAGTGATACATGCTCTTTGAAGAAAGGTTCATAGGACAACTCAGAATGGGTTTAGTTTGGGCTGCAAGTATATTAGGGAGTTTGATGAAAAGGAATGAGGTGAAGAGTCTCAACTACATGAACACAGAGCACTTATACAGATTCAAACCATATCAATGAATTCCCAGCTTGTCTGGTTATAGGTGTGTGTAGCAGTCCTTTGGAAAATAACATCAATGCTCGCTATCCATTCTTCTACGCAACAAGGCAAAGCTCGCCTGATTGTCAGCGTGAAGGGGTTTGTGAAGCTGAAAACCCGGATCCCCTCATGTGATTCAAGGATGTTTAAGTCTCGAAGCATTGGTAAATCGTGATGCTGCAAGAGTTTGGGCTGGACTTGGAGTAAACCCCGTTTCTCAAAACAAACTCAACATGATTGGTTTCATGACACTAGAAGAGGCAGTCTCTGGTCGACTTCGTGGTATACCATCAGATCTGTTCCGTTCAGCTTAAATCAAAACAATCCATCACCACAACTTTTCTTCAAGCTACTTAAAAATGCATAACCAAAAACAACAATATAGACACAATCTCTCTTAAACCTGAGATCTACAAAAAAAATGAGATGCATATCCTGATTTCTTTTCACTCTTTTTTAATTTACATTCATAATCCTCACATTCTAGGAGGATGTCCTAAGTATTGTTCCCATTCTCCAGGAGCTGTCTCTGTTCCAGTGCTTGGTTCATTATTTCCAATAGATGGTAAACCTGTTCAAAAGACAAAAAAAATCAATTGATTTCCATGCCCGTCTTGAAGAAGAGCATGCCAAAGAGTCAAAATAATTCATACCGAAAAACGTCTCTGGACCCGCGGTTCCATATGTGGTATTATCAGCACCGTATAACCCAGCCCCATCTTCACCACTTCCAGGGTTCTTTGTAGGAGGATTTGAACCAAAGTAACTAGACAACAAGTCATTCAAACCTTCTTTGTTTGACATCGATCCAGTTCCACTCGTACCCCCCACCAAGCCAAAGATGTCGTATGAGGAAGAAGATGAAGAGTTTTGGTGATCAAGGCCCATTAGTCCTTGTGGTGGTGGTTGGTTTCCTTGATGGGAATTGATTGGATCAAAGTTTTCATCCCATGCTCCCCGAGATGATAGGTGATGATGAGGATTCGCCATGTCAGCAGTCGGCGGGGGTGGTGGTGCTATATTACTTTGTGCGGGTGAATGAACTACTGCTAATTCACTAGAGGCTGGCGGGCCTGTTCTCATAACCGCACCTGGTTGATGAAATTGACCACTTGAAGGAGTCAGTTGAGCCATTCCAGAGCTACTAGCAACCCGTGAGCCAGATTGGAGTGATAGCGGTGGCGGAATATGGCCCGAAATCACTCGACCTGAGCTCCTGATCATTCGCATTGATGGCGGCTGTTGAACTCCTACGCTTGGATCCAAGATGCCTTCCTTTGGTTCCGATGAAGAAGCGGGTCGTTTCAAACCTCGGTCTTCTCGCTTTGGCAAGTCTTCTTCTTCTTCTTCTTCTTCCTCAACAACATCTTGTAGATCTACCATGCCGAGTAATAATTCGTACGCTCGTACTGCTCCTGACCAAGTAGACTAGTTCCATCGCAGGAAAGACGAATTCAGGGCACAGATCACACAAAGCAAAAGAAGAGATAAAACTGACTGCCATCCCTTTTAAACTATTCATACACCTCAAGAAATTCCTTTTGGAGGTGATTTTGGTAGCACGTTCAGATGTCGAATTGTGGACCTATCAAATAAACATTTTCAAGAGAGGTTCAAATATATCAACTTTTGTAACTCATCTCAGCCATTTTCCAAAAATAAACTTCCAAAAGGATTCACTGACATGTATAATTGCGGCCGTGAAGACGTAATAGACCATAAAAGCTGGAACTTGTCGCAATCCGTATAATTGATCATAAATCCTTGCGATATTGGATATAGCATTGGCCGCAGTTGTGCAGATACTGTGAGACGGATAAGAACCCTCGTTATCTCCATTTTCCTCGGCTTTCGAAATGAAAGGTCGATGTAAAAGGATCAGAGCCGTATAGAACTGAGCATGTAATGTTAAGAGATGTGGGGTGGGTGTCTGATGATTAGATTTATGAATCGGATTGTAATGTAAATGTTCAGGTAAGTCGAGGTACCAATGTGCCAGATTTTGATCTAAGAGTGCTAAGAGGGTTTCACTTGATTGACCGGTGACTCGAGTTCGAATTGCATATATATTTGCAGCTATCCGACTGATAAGGACTGATAGTGACGCTGATCGATTGAAGCATGAGATGGCATGTGATTTGAGTTCTCCAGGATTTCCCCCTGACTTGTTTCCCTGGATGTCGGCTTTAGGCTGCTGCGTATTGATTGAGGAAGTGATCCTTGTTTGACTTTCTATCTCAGTTCGATTTATTGCGTCTTGAGGTCCAGACTTTCGATTGCCGTCAGTGACACTTTCATCAGCAGTTAAAATTTGACCATCGCTAATTTTTGGCTCTCGATTCAACATGATCTTTGACCCATTTGGTCTTAACCCTGCCCAAGCTTCATGCTCATCTGGCTCATCTTGTGATGCAAACTCTGTATCGTAGTCACGTTCGAATATCATCATCGGTCGACCTATGTAAGTACTGACATACTTATCCAAAATCACACAGGCCCACCAAACTCGTTTCCTAGTTTGTTTTTCCTCTGATGTGAATTGATTAAGCGGTACATGCCATTTCTCGATCTCTCGATATAATCCCATATCTTGTGCCATCCGAATTGCCATCCCCGTATATCTGGTGATGGATGAAAATTTGAGGCTAGATGAGCCCCCGGTTTAGGACATTGAGGGCAAAATGAAAATGACATTACTCACAGCCAGCTATCTGCCATGGCACCAATCCCAATCTCTCGGTAAGCTAACAAGATAAGGGCTTGACAGTTTGTCAATTTACTGCAAGCATAGTGGTAATTAAGGATCTTTTTGGCCTTTTCAAGATAATGATCACCCGAGTTCCAATACTCATGTTCTTCAGGAGGCCCAGATGCTAAATCAGAATATCTAGAAGCCACCGAGAAGATGACAAGTAAAAGTAGGGTTGAGATTTGTGTGTGACCAGACGATCGAGTGTTGGTATGAGACGGTTGCTCTTGATCAGTTGTACAAGTGGGATTGTTTGCAATTTCTTGAAGACATGTAACCCAATTCAGGTTACGATCCAACCCAGGATTGGCTTTCTCTCTGGCGTCTAGTTTATTGAAGACTTCCTCAAATTGCGACATGAATTCAGATTTGTGAAGTACAGGTAGGATAGGATGTACAAATGACCAATAAAGATCAAGAAGATGGTTCATCATCTCTCGTGAAGGTAAGGCTTCTAATGGTTCGATCATATTCAAGAGGTCTAATTCGGTTTTCGGTTTTCGGTTCAATGCGACTGGCCATAGCCCAGGTTGAGGGAAGTACCAAAAGAAGTCCTTGTAGCGTTGTGATTTAGACAATAGATGTAATCCTGATGATCTCCCATGATATCTGAGGTCCAGATTTTCGTCGGCACTAATCTGTCCTGCTACATCTGCAAGATCCTTGAGAGATATCCTAGGTGGAGCTCGATTACCTTCTGCATGTTTCGGAAGATTGAAAGATCAAAATGAGTTAGTTCTGTTGGCTATGAAAACTGTTATCGATGAGACTTACCAGCTGGGACGATGCTTGAGCTGTGCTTAGAAGGATTGGTGTCGGCATTCGAATCAAGGCGACGGCGCCGGCGCCGGTGTTGACCAGCTTCATTGTCATTCGGGTGAGATGATTCCAGGCTAGCGCGGTCATCGAGGTCGGAGTCAAGGCCAGAGTCTGGGGATGGATTGTCACCACTAGCATGAGTGCCAGCCGGTGTCTTGGGCCGAGATTGAGCCGAGCGAGATGAGGGGCGACCGGACTGATCAAAATGACTAACGCCCCAGAGTAACTTCTGAGGCTCGGTGAGGTTGAGATCAGTTTTGGATGAGTCTGTCTGAGGGCTGATAGACGGAAACTCAGGCAACTTCCAAGACTTGCGGATCTTGCCATTGAAACCTTGTTCAGCGGCAGCTTGTAGATCTTTTTTGAGCAAGTTTCTCACTTCATTATCACCGATCAGTTCAGAGAGTAATGCTTGAGCTCGCGGGTCATCATTTTGAAGCAGACCTCCTAGCAAAGCTTCCATTCGATGAAGCCTTGACTCGATGGCTTCGATATAACCTTTGGGAGGACCTCTGTGCTACCAAAGTCAGAAGGTTTCAATTATATGGTATTTTGCTTACACACTCACCTTTTCCGCGAGGCCCCATTGAAAGTGCACTCGGCACCAGTGGTAAGGCAATTTTGACAAGGACCAGATGTAGGAATAACTCCGTTTTGATCGGGTGCGCGTGTGCATTTGCACTTCGATTTTCGGCAGTTATCACCTTGTTTTGGGAACAAACCAATTTGACATAAGAATCACGTTACATTAATTTTGTAAGACTGATGATAAAAGACATACAAGCTTTGCTACTTCTACGTTTAACTTCTTTGGCGTCTTTTTTCTTTTTGGGTAGTGTGGAGATGGGGGTGAAGAAGTTAGATGTAGGGTTAAGATTGTTGCGGTTCTGAACACCGGATGGTCCAAGAGGGCCGACCGAGTCCCCGTCTTCACTGAATTGACCTCCACCATCCGAGCTGTCGTCCGGCTGATGTATATTATTAGAGAAAGTGGGATGAGTAGACGTTGGAGGTACTGCAGGCCATGTGCGAAGCGGGTTTGCGTCAGTGAGGGCGTAATGTGAGACGGTTGTTGATAGCGAAGATGGCTGAGAGAGTGTAGACAGGTTAGAAGTAGATTGATATGGATAGTTTGAAAGATGTTGCTGTTGCTGCTGCTGCTGCTGCTGCTGTTGTTGTTGATGATGATGCTGTTGCTGTTGTTGTTGCTGCTGCTGCTGCTGCTGCGATGTGTATTGATGTTGGTGTAGAAAATTTTGCGAGGGATAATTTGACATATTTGGTTGGTAATGACCCTTCTTATAACCTGAGAAGACTGGCAGGATATGGTCGGTAACGATCAAAGAAGGACAGGTATACAAAATAGAGATATTTATTTCTTGTCACAGTATTTGAAGGTTTCAGATTGAGTCGATCAAAAATATAACACGACCTGATAACTCCGAAAGACGTAACTCAAAAAATGGAATCACAAGGTTTATGTAGATTTGAGTCGAAGTGAATTGACAAAATGCTAATCAAATTAAATTTTGATGAGTGAAGTACTTATGGAAGTGATGTCAACTGATTCGAGAGGTTTCGAATCAAACTTTGAGGTTAAAGCCGTGGACTGAAGCTATGCAAAGCGACGTGAGGTGTTCGCCGATGGATTTATCTCAATCGAAGACGGTGGTGGTACTAAATTAGGAATCTCAGTGCCACAAGTTCATTTTGAAGTGCGAGGGTACCTTTGGAAGCTGACTGGGCGCAGGTAGATTTGATTTTGAGCTATCGGAAGGAGTTGATGTGAGATGAGGATGTAGTCACAATGAAGCTTATGGAGTGATTGTCGATGACCTGGTCAATGGACAAATTACAGCGACATTTTTAGGTTGAGATCGACGAAAACTAACTTGAAGTTACCGTGGAACCTTTCAATCAATGAGATAGGTTCAGAGATGGTGGTGTATCGAGAAATATCATGTAGCGATAGTCAAATGGCGAAACCGGGGAAAGTCAAAAGTCAAGACGTCAAAATCACCTTTCCAAGTAAACTCAACAGAGCTCAACCACGTTGGGTGGATCAAAGGCTCAAAGCGGTCGGCTTAAATTGATTGCTGATGATATGAAACAGAGAAGGATTAGAAGGTCTTAGAATTCCTTCAGATGAAAAAGAAACAGAAGGAGAAGGAGAGAAAGAAGGGAATTCGTATTTCGAAAAACTGAACCATCAGGAATTATTCCCCCCAGTCTCAACTACAACATATCTCCGTCCTCTGGAACTCATACCTCATCGAATCAAATCCACTTCTTAATCTCCATCGGAATCTTTCTCCTTCACTTTCTTCCTTGTTAGAAAGCTGTGGTATTTCAATCACATCGCACTGCTTTTGATACGATTGTACAATTCCAAAACAAGTCCTCATACCTTACAGTCTCACTTGCCGCGTGGTGATCAGCACTTATCAATCCATTCGCATCTTACCAACTAATTGCCTCCGCCGCTCACCATGAAAAACATCGGAGCACAATGGGCATTGTCACGGAAGAGGACTGGGCGCATGTCTCATGAGATCTTGGCGAGTGCTTGTCGTTGCTTGGTACACCGTAATCGCCTCACGTGGGTTGCAGCCATGTCTAGCAACTGGGCGGACAAGTATCTTCCCATACAGCGTAAAATCGCTGGACAGAAAACAACGGGATCTACAATTACAAGGGTACTACAGACTGCCAAGAAGGTCCTTGTGCGTTTTTGATGCATTCACCTTGTGGCACTGGTAACCTATATAGCACGTGGATCCGTTGGAACACCCACCGTCCGTCAGACTTACTCCAGCAAGAGAAGCGCGATTTTTTTTGCAAACTGAGAGGTACAAAGTACGTGAGGATGTGATGTGCCAATGAGCATGTACGCTCAAAACTTCGTGCCTTCGCCAATAAATGGCTGATATGATGGTTTTTACATCTGAGGAACTATTATACCGGGATATGAAGGGGCACAGTTCTTGGACGGCCTTTTGCTGGACAGTGGGCGTTTGTGGCCAGTCAGTCTGGACGCTGATATCAATCGAGGATCGAGAGTCAGATTGTGTGTGATACCTACAACTCTCATTGAAACACAATTTCCTAGCACAAGTGACAAAGCTGAATCACAGCTATCCAGATTAGTTCACGAAGGGTTTCAAGGATGAACACATGTGGTCATGTTCTTTGGATAGTGTCTTAAACACGTTTGTCAGAATTCTTTTGTCGAGCTAGGGGCCGAAGCTTGTTGGCCGGGTGTTTGTAATTACAAGTGGTGTGGAAGCAAAACCAGAGTCAGAAAGTAAGAAGGGTGTGCATGAGTGCGCTACCGACAAGCAGCATTTCAAGCCCATCACAGATGCTGAGTGGCTCAGCTTGATTCTTTGGCACTGCTTTGCTCAACCATCAAGCTTGGGCCCCTACTTGACAAAAGAATTCTGACAAGTGTGTTAGAGTCCGTTCGGCTGCCTTCGACCTCGCAGGCGTAGACTTGCGAGGCGTCTACCTGCGGATCCGCAGGTAGACCATGTCTGCCACGAAGCGTGTACCAGGGTTTGGTGCGTTCGGTACACTCGACTTGAAGTGTAGTTGACCTCGCAACTTATGGGTTTTCTCCCTTTGCAAAATCTGATGTCGCGCTCCTGGTTTCAGGTCTATGGCACTAGCCAGGTCAACCTGCAAGATTCGACCAAAACGTCAAACCTGGCAGGTCGACAAATTTGGCTGGCCGACCTCGAGGTGGACGCCTCAAAGGTCGACCGCGGCTTCTGTACCGAACAGCAGAATTTCAAGCGTACACTTCAAACTGCCTCGAAGCGTACGCTTGAGATTTTGGCTGGGTCAACCTGCGAGGTCGGAGGCAACCGAACGGACTCTTAAGAACTACTTGATTTATCCCACGTGCCAGAAAGATCTTGGACACTTCATTGGCCCTTGAGAAGAAATTTCAAAATATTTGAAGAAAGATGGAAATATCGCTGGAATGACCTTGGGTGGATTAAACCTACCAACAGAACCTTTGATACACCCCAGACACTTAAAAACATGCAGAATATGTTCCAAGCTGCTACCAGAGACTTGAACCCCAGGCAAGTCCTGTTCCAATCTTGTAGCACACAAACCTGAACCAACCTGATGAATTATCAAATGAATGGACCCACAGGATTGGAGCCATGGAAAAAGTCACATGTATCATGACATATACACAATCATACCCATGGAAGGCTGGGGTTACAAGTAAAATCAATTTTCTTGCAAATGAAAGGTGCAGCACAAACAGCTTTCCTGATATGTATCAGGTAAATGGCTTCACACCTGAGCTGGATAGTTGTTCAATCACAGGTCTACTAGAGCCTTAGCTTCATTGGGAACAATCCAATCAAAACTTCCTTCTCCAAAGTCTACTGCATGGCCAGAGTTAGTTTCAGAATGTGGGGCCAGGCCCAATAGTCTCCTGTCAAGATCAGGCCTCCTGCAGTCTGATACATGATTCATAAAACCCTCACTTGGATTACAATAATAGAATGGCAGCTTAGAGTGAAATGTTTGGGGGTTTCCAGACAAGATCACTGTCCATGAACCCAGCATTCTACAAGATGTCCCAATGAATCATCCTTACCTTCCTATCTTACCAACTGCTATAATGCAGCTGAATCTAAGATATCTCCAATTCAATCATATATCTCAAGCTGGAAGGAGTGGTTTCTACTAAAAACACCTTGTGCCACATCCCAAAGATTGTTTTGTGATCATGATGCCTCAAATAGCATAAATGTTGGAGAACATATTCATTCACCTTTAGAATGGTAGACATATCTATTGTATGTGTATATCCATCCAGGCATGATATTCTTGTATACACAATCTAAATCAAGGAGTTCAAATCAGCACCCATAATTTCAACCCCTCATCTTCCTTTGACACCTGTGTTTCAAGCAGAAGGAGATGGATTTGAAATCATCATGATTTCCACAGATTTGGGTGATATTAGACCTGTGATAGACTGAACTATCCTCAGGCAATGGAGATATAATGCAAAGCATTCATCACAGTAAAGATACCCTGGAACAGAAACTAATCAAATAACTATCAACTCAGGATGGATAGTGTGATGCTTATGAATGTAGTAATCAATCACAGTGCCTGTGGCACCACCAACATAGATGCCTCGGATCAGGAGATCTGAGGTATTGTCAGATGCAAACCCTTGGTCAAATCTTATCTGAGGTTTCTGTCCAAGGTACCATTATGCGCCAAATATTACCTCAGATCAAAACATTGAAAGCTCCTGTCCGAGGTTTCAGATCCGAGAAAGCCTAGGATTTCCCAATCCAAGGTCAATATGTTGGCAGTGTGGATAATGCCCCCAAAGTCAGGGGCCCTACAGTGTTTGCATCTGTCTTGCAGTTGTATTTTTTTTGTTTGGCAAATGTCTACACACGTACACAAAGACAAACTGGATGAGTTCTGGCAAGTCAGAACAAGAGATGAGCAACCCTGAATACTCAGTGTCGCTGTTGCAACAGCATAGTACATTTCCCTTCTTGTTTTCTTTTCAATCCAGAATGTTTTCCAGTCATTAATATTTGGAAATAGATCAGCCTTTGGACTGTTACAGTTAGCCGGGCAGTCTTCCTCTTTGGTCCACCACTTGGTAAGCTACAGAAGCTGTGATGTGAGGTACCTTGAAGAATTGAAGACTACATAGACTTGTGTTATGGCTATCACTGGTCAAAGATTGAATGGATAAGGCTAAAATTTCTCAAAACAACAATATTGACAAGCTGGCTAGTTATATCACATTTTGGTTGAATAGTATTGTCACCAGCTCAAGATGCATCCCTGGGTGATGCCAGTCAACCAGAATCTTTGACCGAGCAAAACCAAAAGCTTTCAAAAAATTGAAGTGGTATCAACTATTGTAGAAGATACAATTAAGATATTTCAAAACTTAGTCAAACAGCAACACAATTTGACAGAGATTATTGATCAATTAAGGCCAAGATACAATACTTAAAAAAAGAGGAAGAGGAAAAGCAAAACTATCAATTTGTACAATCAGAAGAAGAATATATCATCCAAAAAGTTAGGAATAAATTGACATCATGGAAAGAACAAATTGAAAAAGAATGGAGAACACAACAAGAAATTTGAGAGGGAGAAAGGCAAAAATTATTAAGAGTGATACATCATTGGCAAGAACAAAGGATTGAAGAAGTAGATGAAGCTCAAAGTGCTGATGATGAGAATTAAAACAATCCTCAAAAATATGGTTCATCAAATCCTTTATGTTCCTTTGCATCACCTTCAAAAACTAAGTATAAAAAGAATAAAAACTTACAAGATGTTTGAACAAATGGTTGCGACAATGTTAAACAATACTCAAATCTTATCATCTTGTTGATCACCAACAACACTTCAAACCAGAAATGGTAATGATAACCAACTTTATACTGATGGTCTTCCAGACCAAATCAATTATTAGTTTATGAACATTCAGATGCTTCAGATGCTACAATGACACATCCAAAGTCCACTTCAAAAACCATTCCAACACACTTATCTTATATTAAATCTTTGTTTTAATCTTGTCTCATCATATCCACTATGTTATTTTCAGATAATTAATTCCAAAAGAAAGAAAACCATACCAATGTTTATTCCTGCTTTTTTCACTTTACTTCAAATGCCACTTCTCAAAAAGAGCAAAAAACAAAAAGAAAAAAACAGATCAACAGAAAAAAACATCCTTGTCATCATCAAATATAGAAAGCTAAATCAATTCTTTCCAATCCTAGCCAACAAAGAAGGTTCTCCATTCCCATTCCCACTATTTCCATTAGCACCTTTACTTTTCTCAAAATTAATTCCACCTCTTCCACCTCTTCCACCATGACCATGATGATGATGATTTATTTTTTTTAAGCAATTTCTTCTACAGAGGACATTGATTTTTCTTCTGAATCTGCATCTTTTCCATTGCTAAAGATTGTGTTTTTGTTGACTACTATGTCATTCTTCCAATTGTTCTTCTCTTGAATCTTTCTTTCTCTGTCTATATTCTTTCTTGTGTTTAATTTCTTCTGTGGCATCTTGAGCCAGGAGGAATTGGGGCCAGCGTGAATCCTGGACTGAGCCTTCTGTTTCTTCTGCTGGTTCACATTATTGTTCAAAAAATTGGGGATTTTACTTAAGGAATGGCTCCTGAAGATCAGGAGACCACAAGAACAAGACTGGTGAGAGTGAGAGAGTGAAGGAACAGAGAGTCTTTGTTCTTTCACAGCTGAAGGGTCTCATAGAGAGACTTGTGTTCCTGCATGCCTTGATGATGACCTCATCTAGGGCAGGGCTGGTTTCACCAGGATCGAGCTTGTCTCAGATTTGACCTGGGACCCCTGACACTTCAAGAGCTTCCCAACTGTGCCATGGATGGGCTTCATTCCTAGTCCTGTTGTCACCAACCTACTTGGCTAAACTAAGACCTCTCTGCACAGCGGCATATGTGCCCTTGCAGAGGGGCTTATGACTAATTGTTGAATTCCAGTGTGAAAACTCCAAGAATTAGGTGCCATTATGGAGTCTGTTGCATTTTGGTGCTTCCCTCACAAACAAACCTCACCTGAACCCACATCAAAATATATTCAGAATGATTTTCTACACATCCTTGAACTTCCCAGTAGTGGAGGACCAGTTAGTACAGGGTTCACTGTACTTCTTTTCTCACAATTTCAAAGCACAAAATAATACAAGGCAATGTCAAGTTCAAGTCAAACAAACATAGTAGAGATATCAGATGAAAAGAGTTCATGTAGTTTAGAGCCCGTTTGGTCCCTTTTCAGATATTATCTGACCTGAAAGCCAAATTTTGACTTGCCCCTATCTCAAGGGGCACATCAAGATTTTGGTATCTCAGGGATGAAAACTACCAAACAGCAACCTGAAAAAGGTCAACAGGCATCTGTTGACCTCTTCAAGATCATATTGCTGTTTGGTAACAATCTCCAAGCTGCATCTTTGCTCTCTATCTCATCTAAACTTCTAAAATGGTCATCCATGACCTTCACCGTTCTCTTGCTTCAACAAAACCTCCTCATATGGAATTCATGCAACAAGTGTGATAATAACACAAGTAATAATATCAATTAATTGTTTGTTTGGAGAAACATACATGATCTAGGCTGTGGAATAGAGGGGTATCAAGAACATGAATAAAGAAAAAAAGAAAAGGAAAAAAAGAGGAAAAAAACGGAAACAAACAAAACAAATGGAAACGAACAAAACAAAACAAATAAAGAAAAGAAAAGGAAAAGAGACAAAAAACAAAAAACAAGGAGAGCAATGGTTGAATAAGTTGCCAGGTCATGAAAAAGCGGAGCAAACGAGTGAGGATCAAAAGCTATCAAGAGGCAACATGAAAAGGGTATGTGTTGCTAATGAGATGTGGAGAGAGAAGTGGATGATCAAGGACAATGTGGGAGGGGCAGATAGAGATAGAGGGCCGAGATACAGCCTCAAGGCTCTATCTCTATCTGGTCAACTATCTTGATCTTGTTGATCAGATATTGACCCCAAATACTGGAACCGACCAACAATCAGGTTTTCAATTTTTGGTTGAGATTGGACCAAGATACTATCTGACAGTATGTAACACTTTTGGTGTGAAATTTCATCAGATAGTATCTGATCAGCGGGACCGAACAGGCCCTTAAATATGCAGGATTGAGATTTGTTGTAGTTGTTTTCACTTTGTTTTTTCTTTTCCCTTAGAACTTTTTGAGCAGTTCTTGCTGCTTATCTTTCCCCATCATTGGAATAAAGCATCCCATCACTCCTCTATGGTCACCCAGAGGGGTCCCATACCCCTCTCAATGTTGGTTGGGACATCAAGAAAATACCCATCTGATTCTTGGAAGATATCAGAAGGACCTGGAGTTTTTACAGTTCAGACGGTATATGCGTGAAGGCTCCACCTCATCCCAATTTCTTCCATGCAGCCACTTCAGAGTAGGGCTGTGACCCAACCCTGTGAGCTCTGGGCTGGCCCTGGGGCCAAATTCAGCCCTGAGTGAACCCAATGACCTCTGAGGACTGCTCAGGGCCGGTAGGAGACCAGTGTGAAGGCACTTTTTTGGCAAAAAAAGGTTGGCACCCCAGTGGGGTTGGGCCCCTGGGAGGCCTGAAGAGCCCACAGGGCCATATTCAACTTTCATCAAGCCAAATTTAGATGCCCTGGGGTGCATACCATCAGCTCTGTGAAAGTCACAGGCAGAGTTGGCCGGGCGGAGCCAGGTCTGGGTCACAGCCATACTTCAGAGTAATTCCCATTTGGTTTTACAAAAGCTCTCCTTCCTAGAACTCAATTTTGAATTCTTCTGGCTGATATTTAGGCAATCAGTCATTGGGTTGTTATTTCCCCTCTACCGCATCCTCAAGGCCAATCAACTTCAAAATTTATGACTAGTCTCAATATTGAAGAAGATCTTGAAATAGAAAACTTCTTTCTTTTTGGAACCACTAGAATATGTGGGCATGCCCACAACAGGTAAACTATGATTGTGTTTAGGTAAAATGGATTGTGAGTACTATGGAATTACTATTGAGGCAATATAGGTTTAGTACTACCAGGAAAATATATGATTGTATCAAATTGTAAAACACATGTGATTCTGCATGGGATTAATTGGATGGTTGATGTGATCAGGAATGTGATTGCTGAATGATGTTTGTCTAATATCATTAAATAATCATCCATTTTAATTGTACCGGTTTTGCCTGATTTGCTTTGAAAGTTTATTAATCAATTGAAAGATCTTGAAAGCTTGAGTGATATAAGTGAAACTGGAAATCACTTGAACAACCTTGCCTTAACAGTTGGGAGGCTGTGAACAGTACGGGATCCAGTGTTCCAAAGAATGATGGGGAACTTTCATTCCACACAATGAGAAAGAAATGAATTTTTGATGCTGGAACAATTTATCCTTCAAGTTTTCATGATCATCAGTTACTCAGTCATGACATACACACCATCCTTTATATTTCATCTTTACTAAACTTCTCTACTTCTCTAATCAATGTGATCTTTGTCATTAACTACATTTTTTCATATTCCCTCTCTTCAAGAAAATTGAAGGAAAAAATGTTGGAAAAGATTTAGAAAGGAAGGAAGGTGAAGGTGAGTAAATTAGACTGAATAGCAGTGTTTCAAAGATTTATGATTTGGAAGAGCATAGCACCTCTCAAACCTGGTTGAGCCAGTTGACTTTTTGGCTGGGGATGTCAAAAAATGTGAACTTGATACACAAATTTACTGCCAAAAAGTAACTGGGTCAACCAGGTGTTTTCAGAACCAGGTTATGTTTAAGAGGGGCTAATGGATGTCCAATCCTGCTACTCACTGGCAGCAATAGTAAAATAACACTGGCAGCAGTAGCAAAATAACACTGGCAGCAGTTGGAAATAAACAACTGGATTGAGCTACGTCATCCTCATGGCTGTATGTGCCATCAAAGAAAAGTTGATCTTTCCTCTTTGATTGCTTTACCTAATTGAGCTCGGTACCGCCACGGATGCTCCGAACTTGGTAATTCACATTTCTTTGAGTCCCATCAGTCCCGGGCTCACACTACCCGGACGTCCTCGGGCATACCCCGGCGGGCCAAGCGACTCATGTCAAGCTCATCAACTTCTTTGTCAAATGCACCCCGACTCGCCAGAAGTTTATAATTCACCTTCCAACAACCAAAATGATCCCGTCAAATATATCACCAGTCAATGGCAACCATTCCACACCTGGCTTTCATGGAGATACCGTCGGAACTGGAAATGATCAAATCTCACCAGAAGAACAACAAAGGAGTCAGTTAGAAGATAAACTTGAACAATTATTACAGACGCTACTGGAAGTGGGAATATGTGAGATGCTTTCGACGTTTTGATCACACACTTGCTATGCTCACAAATCTTACGATTCATTTTTTACTTCTATCTGAAAGGTACGAGTGATGTTCAAGAGAACGCTAGAGAAGGAGGTGGCGCAGGTAGAGGAGAGCCATTTGGTTCAGGAGGATTGGTTGGGAAGAAAATGTAGGTTTTCTTGATGAATGGCATCGTGAACGCACCAAACTTACGAGCAGTATTTCTTTCGACTGACCATTTAGAAATGAGTCCATCAACCTGATGGCCGAACTATATGACATCAACACTTCACTAACACCCGAGATTCCAATACCGATGGAAGTAATACAGTACGTCTGAAGAGTTGTTTCTCAACAATTCCCATCGATGAACATAATCACCCCCGCCTGGTGTCGATTCTCACTCTCTCTCAATCTTTTACTCTGTAGACACATCGACCAAGGAACCAATCCGGATCGATGGCTCAAGTCTTTCGTGGAGAGGGCCGCGCACGAGAACATGTACACTAATGGTATTCTATCGAATTTCAATGTAAGCTCCCACTCTCTAATTAGCTACTCGGAAACTTGCAGCTAGCTCAACCATCCAATGAATCATAGGCATACAATACATTGCTTGAAACTCAATTGGCCCAGCACTTTCCAGAGCTGAGTGCCCAGTTCCAAGTGCCACAACCAACAGATCAAAACGCTCCTATCACTGAAGACACGCCAACCGGTACGAACAATCCTTCTGTTTGAGAACCATCTGGAATTATTGTTATGGATTAGATTATATTAGGTACCCGCGACCTTTTAGGATAATAATATGTACTACTTTTGTTTCTTACTTTTTTACTTCAGGGTCTACCTCTTGAGATGTTGACGGAATAGGGTGGTTGGAAGACATCATAAGCAGACCGACGTACCGGTCATGTGAAGGATCTCCTCGAATATCTCGGCCACTAGCGGAAAACCACTCCTCTGACATCTTCACTTTGCGTGGGCCCGCGGCATCTTCCTTTGTGAAGCTTTAGTTTGATCAAATGTATTTAGTCATGTACGATTACAAACTAACTTTCTTCCCCATTCAGTGTCATCAGTAAAGCAATACTTTGTCAATGTAACATTTGATTAATTTCTAATGAGAGCGCATCATCTATTCATAATAACAAAGCGTACAACTATGTAAGCTGATAAGCACACCACTTTCATGGCAACAATTAGTCATAGAGTTCTGTGTCTTCAAGCCCTCATAATACCACCCAAGTTTTACAAACCCATTGTGATATATTGTCATTGTGCAAACACAACATTTAAACATGGCACATTTTCCAGCAGCTTTTATGCTCTCATTAGCTCATGTTCAATAAGAAGCATATTTGGTTTCAGCATGGGATTTGGTGCGACCATCACCACTGATGTAAAGGAAACCCACTTGAGCTTTGATGAATGAAGAGCTAATAGTAATACCACTTAGTATGCAATCAACCCCATGCTATAAATCTAGGGATTATCTCAGACTCAACTTGCATCTCTGATTTCCTTTATGTAGTGTATCAAGATAGAATTAGATTTAGTTGAAGATAGAACCCATCAAGACGAGTCTAATTATCATGCTCTTCAAAATAAAAGAGATGAAGTGTGCATAAATTTAGTCACAGACACATTACATACACACTTCTTCTCCAAGAAATTTGGAAGTTCTAAAGAACCAATCCAGAATATTTCACCATGACCTTTTCAGATAAGGAAAGATAATGAAGTGGATGCAATTTCAAGAGATGAATAAGTGATAATGTTAATAACACGAAATTTTGACGCCACAGCCGTTCGAAAAATATGTCAGACAGGATGGCCGAGTGGTTAAGGCGGTAGTTTCGAATCTTTCAATGGTTATCATTGTCACGCTCGATCAGCTACTTCACTCTGTGAGCGTGAGTTCAAATCTCACTTCTGTCGAGCGTCTCTTTTGCCCCCCAGATACTCATTGATGACGTGAAGCCGCACGAGGTCCGCCATCCAGTTCTGCTCAAGGTGGCACAACCTGTGGCAACGGATGGAGTGATAGTCTAGGGCACGGGGTTGACATTGAGCCTGTCGTAATTCACTGGCGGGCAAAATCATGGCCACTGCACTTGGGCGGCGTTTTTTGTCACGGATGGGGGCAAAGATCATCTTGACACCTCAGAACTTCAACAGGTCTCAATCCGTAAGGATCAGACTGCATGGCGACGGAACAAAAGAAGCACAGGAAATATATTTCACGTTGAGGTCATTCAAAAAGGACACAAAAAAGAACTACTGATGGGAGAAAGAAAAGCTAGAATGGATGTCATGAACGTTTCTGCTCTACGGTTCTTGAACTTTACATGGCGAAAGCGATCATATATTGGGAAGCTAATATAGCACTTCACAGACGCCTCTAATTGAAATGAGACCTCAGAAACATTTACGGTGCACGATGGAGGGTCCACTCTACATATACGGAAACATCGTCAGTGTCTGTGCAAGGTTTGATCGAAGCTGAAATGGACTAACCTCATCGTACTCTTGCTTGGAGATCCACATCTGCTGGAAGGTAGAGAGGGAAGCCAAAATGGAACCACCGATCCAGACGGAGCTAAACGCATAACAAACGAAGGCATGAGCATCTTTCAAACCGGATGACCCCAGGAACTTTGGAACTTACTATTTTCGCTCTGGTGGAGCAACAATCTTAACCTTCATGCTGCTAGGAGCAAGGGCAGTGATCTCCTTTTGCATCCTGTCAGAAATGCCGGAGTACATGGTGGTACCACCAGACATGACGACGTTACCGTACAAGTCTTTTCGGATATCCAAGTCACACTTCATGATCGAATTGTAGGTAGTCTCGTGGATACCAGAGGCTTCGAGACCCAAGAGCGAGGGTTGGAAGAGGGCCTCGGGAGCTCGGAATCTAGAGAGAATAGGAAGCGTGAGTTTAAGGCCTGATCATCAATCAAAGCTAAAGCTAAACCACCGTACCGTTCGTTTCCAATGGTAATGACCTGTCCATCGGGTAGTTCGTAGCTCTTCTCGAGCGCGGAAGATTGACTAGCGGTTTGCATTTCCTGTTCGAAATCAAGAGCAACGTAGCAAAGCTTCTCCTTGATATCTCGAACGATTTCTCTTTCGGCAGTTGTCGTGAAGCTGTAACCACGTTCCATCAAGATCTTGATCAAGTAATCGGTCAAATCTCGACCGGCAAGATCCAATCTCAAAATGGCATGGGGAAGCGCGTAACCCTCGTAGATGGGTACAGTGTGAGTAACACCGTCACCAGAATCCAAAACAATACCGGTGGTACGACCAGATGCGTACAAAGAAAGTACGGCTTGGATGGCAACGTAGAAAGCAGGAGCGTTGAAGGTTTCGAACATGATCTGCGTCACTATAAGGAGATAAACACATTCAAATGACGTCATCAGTAGAGAGCACGCTTTATAGCCTGATACACAGTTTGATTTTTTGCGCACTTTTTTCTCGGTTGACTTTTGGATTAAGAGGTGCCTCAGTCAACAAGACGGGGTGTTCCTCGGGAGCAACACGTAGCTCATTGTAGAAAGTGTGATGCCAGATTTTCTCCATGTCATCCCAGTTGGTGACGATCCCGTGTTCAATGGGATATTTGAGGGTTAGGATACCTCTTTTGGATTGAGCCTCGTCTCCAACGTAGGAGTCCTAGAGTGAAGAAAAGTATGGATTCAACGGTCAACAATATTGATAATCAAACAAAGGAAAAAGGACGTACCTTTTGACCCATACCAACCATCACACCTTGATGACGGGGACGTCCAACAATGGAGGGGAAAACAGCACGGGGAGCATCGTCTCCGGCGCTAGAGTTAGAAAGACATGAGTACCTGTGGGGCTTGCGAGAAAGTGATCGAAGAGACTTACAAGCCAGCTTTGCACATACCCGAACCATTGTCAATGACCAAGGCTGCTACCTCATCTGTGAAAAGTAAGTAATAGGATGTTAGTTGACTTATTCTATTATAAGAGCGAGACGGATCGGGTGTGGTCAAATGAAGACATAGGATTTAGTGGGGTCGGAGACTCCAGCAGACAAAGAGAGATGCCATGCAAACATCGCATCGCTTCGACGGATGCAAAGGAACGATTGGTGAGGTCACCATGAGTAGGATACCTCGCTAATTAGTCTGATTTCACGCATGACTGTGATATCCAAGATGCTCTGGGATGACTCTTTTTCCGATATGATGAGACCGTTTGAAGATTGAAGATCAAAGGAAAAGACAAGACAAAGAGATGGGAAAGTGAAAGAAAGCGAAAAGAATGACATACCTTCCATTTTGATGATAATAAGTAAAGTAAAGTGAAAAGAAGTGGATTAAAAGTATGAATAATGTAAGCTGCTGCTCGATCGCAAGTGGATGATGGATGAGTTGAGTTTGATTGGAGTGTCTGATTCTGAATGGTAATCAGTTCAGGTAAAGAGGACCAATTAGTGTTTAAGTTTTAGCTTATGTACTAAAAAGCGGTGTACACATACCTAGCCTTGTTTATGCCAAGACTCCGATCAAAATACAAATCTCATTTGATGATCAACTCCCGCGATATACGCATCTTAGTATGCTCATACCGCATGTTGCGATGCGATACACCCTCATACCGCACCGTGTAGTGCTGGTATCACTCGCTATAAGGATTGTACTGTTCACGTACACGGTACACCCAGGCACCCAGGTCTAAGACAAAATGCTTCGTCATGTGCTGCGCTTCATCCTGAAATCTGACTCAAGCCAGAATCTGTTCGATCACAGTTCCGAGCATCCAAGAACACAACAGATTGACAAAAATGCCTTATCAAGTCAGTGGAAGTGATTATTTGTTCTTGTATCGGTATCATCTGAGCTTACCATTGGTATCTGACCATGACCATTTCATTACGACATGATGGTTATGACTACGTAGACTACATTCACGTTGAATCAGCGTGCCAAGGGGCAAGTTCAGTGAAGTCAAATACCTATCATTACAAAAATCTCATTCTATGAACTGTTTGTATTTCGGCTCTTGATGGTTTCATGGATCCGATCTTGTGAAGGCAGGTGTCATCTTGGTCAGTACCACGCAGTCTGATAACTCTACAACACGATCTATGTATATAAAAAATCTGATGCGTTGTCTTCTCGTACTCCAACAGTTACAGATGAGATCAGTCGACACATCAAGGATGGTCTAAAGAACTGTGATGTGATTCTTTCAATTCCTCTACAATTTAAAGACTTGTGATAAGAGATCCATGTCACTTATGCTCATACGATCTTTCATCAGATCGGTGTGGCTCACTTTTTCATCCAGCACACGAGCGCCGCACTGAGTATCAATGAAAATGTAATGTCACGTATTCTTCACCCTAAATAATTCCGGAAAGAGGAACCAGATCTGAGTTACTGATTTGGCTCTCATTCGAGCAGTGTGATTCCGAGTGAGTCTACGGACTTGAATTCTTTGATGGCCTTCATCACTCTTGACCCAATGCGTTATTCAGACTGATGTTTATATCGTTGGACTTGTCTAGCGTGAGGAAGGACATGGACATGGCCCTAGACCATCTTGTTCCCGAAAGTCTCAAATGGAAGCACACTGATGAAGTACGTTGCGCTCCTCGCTCGCTTGAACTGCTCCTGGAATTGTGGTACTTAGGAAAACAAACCATAAAACTCATTGTTTCTATCGGGTTCCCAGGGACCTGATGACTCAGTATCGCATACTAAATCCTCTCTGATTGGTTCGAGCATTTCTATACCAATCACCAAAGGTTCGCTTTCTGAGAATTTGCTTCCCATCTTACAATCTATCCGTGAAATTTTCTTCATGGAGTAGAATTTTCTAATCTGATCCTCGTTTTTGAAATAGGGAGATTGAACCTGGGAACCTGGCAAGGCATCTAGTAAGTCTTTTTTCTGCCAACAACAGTATCCAACAGTTGCTAATAATATCTCGAAACTGTGTCTTGAAACCATCTCAATTGAAAAAAGCCTGACCGAGTTCAGACACATGCCTCATAGTCGTAGGATTGTGTGTACCATAGTGTGCGTTCTGACTCGAGCTTGATTTTGCGTCAGTCACAGAGCTAATGGATACACAACATCATTAATCATAGGCCATGAATGAACCACAGAGCCAGATGGACTGCACTGGTAATGACGATGATCTCTTGCATACCTTTTGATATCTCAGAGGGTTTTGTTGTGTCTTCATTCCAGCGGTCTTGGATCTTAATAATGCGCACACCTGGCGTCTTTGTGGGCTAAACAAATGTACTAAACCAATTGTTTTGAAGACAGCTAAAAACCTTGCAAAGATCAGAAATAAAATTTTGAGAAAATCAAACATGGTCAAATCTAACAAATGAAAGCAGTGGGGAGAAGAACAGACATGAAATACTCTGTAGGAAGAGTCTACATTAAGTGATAACTACCAGCCCCTCGGTTACGTTGTAGAATCTGTTTTGGGCGCGTTTGCGTAAGCAAAACTCAGTTATAGCCTGACTTGAACTCGCTCCTCAAATCGCGGGCGCTTCCACCCGGCGTAAGTGAGTTAGCCCTCCGGGGGTCAGGGTTCTGGAGTTGGTGTGGCTTGTGTTAAGCTAGTCTCACAGTGGATCTCATGCGCTAACCAAGTTGAGGTCCCGACAAATTCAGCTACAACACCCTTGATTGATTATTGCGCTTGGGAGCGAAAAATTTACGATAAAACAACCTCAACATAGTGGGTACTCTAAACCAAAATCATTTTACCAGTTCACATGGGACAATCAATTGTACCTGTTATCATTCCCTCGAAGTGAAACTGAGCCTAGCTCCAAACTTGTAGTCATACTTGAACCCCATCTTCACAATCACAGTCCCTATTTCTATAGTTCTGTTTAATTCCTCACGTTTTCTCTTTTCACGTTTTTTGCCTAAACATTTTTCAAATAAAGAATTAGAGGTACAGCTTCCAGAACACCGTATTTCTGACAATATTTACAAATGAACGGGATTTGTTTCTATGAAATGAATGGGATTTGTTTCTATGATAATATATATCATCTTGTTTCAGATTATTCAGCTTCAAAATAAAGCACTTGACGTTGCCGGACAAAATTAGACAACCTAAGGAGTCTTCTATCTGACCCCTTTAGCAACCACCTGTTAGCAACGTAACTTTTTCAGTTTCCGAGACAGTCTAAATGATCACACAAAGTCGGAAGATGATTTTGAAGGCCTCAAAGGACTCAAACTTTTGCCACAAATACTCTCATCGCGATCACCTCCCGTTGTTTATGTCACATCGGTATTAAATTCTTGCACCCATTCCACTCACCCTTCATCAGGCGGCAGGCCTAACTATCCACGCTCATTTTGGACATTCGTTGAAATTTCCTGTGACTTTTGACTTTATGTTAGTACTCTTTATGATTCCCTCTTGATAAAACATACACTTGAAGTCTACAAGCAGGTGCAAGCACAGTTGACCTAAATCAAATCCTGATGAAAACATCCCTCAGTATATCAATACCCGCTCAAAGCCCACCAATTCAATCTAACTCCCACGCACCGGCACCACCGTCCCAACGCAATTCACAACGTTAAAGTAAGTAAGATCCTGGAAGTCTTTTCGCGAAGCTGGTAGTGCTTGGTTAATATATGAAAAGTTCTGAAACTGATGGTTCGGCACATCTTTGTTAGAATTATCCCCTGAATAATTACCAAGTTTTCTGGTTAGTTCTCTTGAATCTTTCACTATTTGATCAAGCAGAAATGACTTAGATTAACCATATATTCTCGTTACTTTGATACAGATTTTTACAATGAGAAGATTCATCGTACTAAGCTTAGTGTTGGGAATCGAGGTCATGTCAACAATTTGTGGATACATGGGGGATACAGAGAGACTTGAAGTCATGGGCTTCTCTGACACTCGGCGATTTCGTACCAGTCTTGAAGACGGTGAAGATGGGCGGGCGTCTGAAAGAATTGACTGCCAAGCCGTAAAATGTACTCAAGAAGACAGTTCCACTTATAACTTACAAGGATGCGGTACTTGTACGGACCCAGGTTATTGTCAACTTCCGGCCACCGCTCTTCCTGGGGTGCTTCCCGGACAGTCCAGAACGCCCATGGATTAAAGCATATATATATATATATGAGCACTCTGTTTAACTACCACCTCATTTTTTATCTAGACTACCAGAAAATGAACTGCCTTTGAGGCAATTCTCTGTAACTACTTTTAATAAACCTATAATTCCAAATTTAATTAGTCAGTCCAACTTGTTTTTCAGCCATGTTGGCCAGCTAAAACAAGGTATATACTTATGCCTACTTTCAAAATTTTGATGTGAGATCCATTGGGACTTTACCTTTTCCCATTTTCTACCTGCCACTCTTGTTATCTCCATACCTTGAGTGATCCTGACAAAAAGCTGGTATTTTGGATTTACATCAACCCTCAAATTTCAGAGACAAAGCAATCCGAATCACTGTGACTTTTGACCTTGAGCCATGGACAACCTCTGTAAGTGTCTACAGAACCACTCCAATTATTGAAAAACTTATAAGAGTGTGAGATTGAAAGGGGATCAGGGCACATGTCTTTGACTTTGGGCTGGAGCAAGCAAAAATCATACATAAGATGGTTTTATGATCATATATCATTGTGGCAATTGTGGCAAAAAGCTCCAACAGATCTCACACAAAAATCTCAACCTGTGCCCTGAGGGGGTAAGATATGAGACTCTTCACAAGACAAACTGTTTCTAAACTACAGTGGGTATATTCTGAAGTAAACAAGTGCCACTCTACATTTTTTGTTTTGTGTGAAGTCTTGTGTTGGTTTTCTGGAAGCTCTTTTTCTGCTCAAATCAAAACACATGTAGGGTTGGAAAATGGTCCAAATGATCCTCATGAAAAGACTACAATGTGCAGACATTCATTTTGTCATGTCCCAAAAAGTCTGGAGAAGTTGTTCAGAGATGAGAGAAATTTGGTTGAAAAACCCAGACACATAATCAGAATCACATCACATATCTCACTTCTATTTGAAAAACTGATAAAAACTTTGGACAGTGCAGTTGTTGAGTATGGGGTTCACCCACTGTAGCTATGCTTGGAAATCAAGTTCAACTGCAACAGGAATTCATAGTCCATCAGAACTCTGTGTTTGATTGGTGTTGGTGTGTTGGCAAGTGCCCACATGATACCTTTGACTCTGAAGAGGAAAGGAAGGTCACATGCTCTTGGCAATGAGAAATTACAACTGTGAAACAGCACACTCTGCAACCATGATCTGCATCTGGTGTGCCAAATAAATGGCCCCAAAGCCACATGTTCTGAACCACTCCAGAAAGGCTTATGGTGTGCAAGTTGGGCAATCATATGATGTCCTAGTCTCCACTGGCACAATCTCTTGAACCCATATTTTGACCATCCAAACCTCTGTACCTATAGATATAACAATCCAAAGAGACAACTATGGCTACTCCCGGTTTCTTGCTTTTAGTTGTACACAAGTTTTTTTACCTTGATATTAAGCCTCTTGCAGTCCAGCCAAAACAGATAAGTACGCCTTTTGTCAAACACCACATGTCACAGACATCACTCACGCACATTTCTGTGTGTCAGTGCACAGTCTCTGATAAACAGAACACCCAGCCTGATTTTCAACTTCAAAGATGTGCCCATGGTCAGACTTGCCATTTGGTGTGTGAATCTTCTTGACAGTTCAGTATGCCAGAGTATTTGAGGTGGTGTGCACGACTGGTCCAAAGCTGGCTTTCTTGCCCCTTTCACATTGGTTGAATGTCACACATCTCAAAATATATAGATTGGAAAATATGCTACCAATTCCTAGAAACATGCAAGAGTTGGAGGGATGTGTATAGTGTGCTGTTACATTACCCACATCAGTTTGTGATTTCTCATCTTTGGCCAGAGTGTAATGCATGTGAAGCTCCTTATGGTTCAGAGCTTGAGAAGAAATGAGACAGTCTGAATTGTCTATCCGGACTTCGGCGGCCGCTACCCTCTATTGCAACATGACAGACCTTGCCTTTGTCAAAAAAAGAATCATGATTCACAGAATGCTGTAAACCCCCGGCGTATATGAATGACAAGCAATGAAATGAGGCATCCTGAGGAGGAGACCTTCTCAAAGCATGGCAAACTCTTACAAGCGAGGCTTCCTCATCTCTTGGATGTTGTCTTTTCCAGACTGTCAAAAGCAGTCCTAGCACATCCTTCCAGGCATCAAGGCTCAGAAAGCCTAGAGATATCCCGGAGAGCTCTCATCTGAGACTCATTTGGATGAATACCACCACAACTTAACCTGAGAGTGCGGTGCTGACGTCCACGCCTTCTGAACCACGATACAAGTGCTTAAGTTTACTTGGGGATGCCGGCGAAACGTCCAAACACAGGTGTTTGCAACATCCTTGTCGCTCAAACGTGTCCTTGTGGTAATTATGAACGTTTTTGTAAAGAATAAAATCTGTTCGAGGCCAAGTTTGGGGATTGCCTTTTGGATTCGGTTTCATGCAAGACTACGTACAACTTCAAGGCAGGATGGAGATGGGGGTCATCGGTTTCTAAAGATGCTGGCAGCGTCAGACTGGCAGTTGTTGGTAGCTTTCAAGCTTTAAAGTTTAGGGTTGAGCAATTACACATACAGATGGCCACATGTAACAGTATCGCCACGAACGATCTTTTGACATTTACGGTCAGGGTATATTCTTATATTGAGATAGCTTAGAAGCGAATTTAGGTCCAAGCGCACCAATCGTCCCCCTGGATTCCCGACCAGTCCCCATCAACTGTGAACCTGAACCATCTAATTTGGCTGGAATTTTTACAAACACCTCACCACTTCATCCAGCCTAATCGTTCGACTAACCTTCACCATCTTCCCGTTCGTCATCGACTTCAATTACCTTCCACCTTCACCACTTTCCCCTCCTGTTCTCTCTTCAAGTAGTCAAGCATCAGAACTACTTGATACGGACGAAAGACCGAGCTACATTTCAAATAGTCTATCGCGTCTACTGCCATTCATCTTTCCTTTGTACTCCATCACCAATAGTTTATAACCTGTCTAATCTTCCATACACTGATAGGTGATAACTGGAATCGTTCGTCATTATCATTTGGAGAAGTGAGCTTGAACTCGCCTACCACATTGGTTTGAGGACTTGGTGAATTGCTGTGTTATACTGGAATCAGAGGGGTCTTATTGTTAGATATACATGATTAGATTCTGTGTTCTCTCTACCTTTTAAAGTTTATATCTCAAACACGCCTTGACAATAAAGGCACAAGGACAGAGGAACTGTCTAAACCTGACTGGTCGGCTTCCCAACTTCTCGCCTCCGGAAACGGTATACGATTGGGACTGCTTTGTACATTGAAAGTCAGCCCACTTTAAGGTAAGGCCATGGACCTTTTATTGATTGATATGCTGACCGACGCAAATACCATCAATCATTGAGAACGTTTTTTGTGTGAACTGATCGATATCTTTCAATCGTTGTTGACTAAATGCAACACTACACCCCTCTTGCACAATAGTTCGACTTGCGTATCATCAAGTCTTAATCCACATTCATCCTCCGACTTTTAAACCCGACGAGTCTAAACTCTCGTTTGCTCAGTGCCTCCAGGGCAGTTTTGAACGACGACCCATCAGAAATACTCCGTCCGACTTCAAGACATCTTGCACACCTGTGCTCGAGTTTCATCAAATCACATTTCAGCTGTTAGTATCCTCTCATCAACACTCAAAGTGACTAATCTGAGCTCATCCAGGGAACTTGGTTGGTGCAACCTCGTCATCATAGATGATATGATGCACTAATCCAAGGTAGTAGACTCTAAAAGCTGACGGTACGATTGTCGGTAATCCTGTTTTGTTCTCCTTCACAGCAAAAGGTGTGGAGACGTTTCGCTCCCTACACTACAGTTCCAACTCTCGGTTTCCGAGATACCATTGGTCCATTGCTTTTTGAAATAAAGTGCCTACAAGATTCTCAGTGGTCGGAAGTCATTATACATCAACATTGAGGTAGCTGTAGACCAACAAATCTAGCACATCCCCTACCAGTCTCATAAGACTTTGGACAGAGGTGTCTCCGATGATGGCCCAACCCTCACCCGCTCCTTTGCAGTCTGCTCAGGCTCCTCAGGCATTCGCCATCGAAGCAGGCGATCCGTTAGTATCTTCTCATTTTTCTCGCCGCCTCTCCTCCGAACATCACCTCTCTTCTTCCTACCACGTCACGTCCTCGGTCGTTTGGCATTGCTTTCTCGCCTACCGCGCTCTCCTACACTGCATCGCAGCCTTGTGGTTATGTTTTGCATTGAGTACACCCCACAACCGAGTCCCAACAAGCAGGAGAGCCCTCCCTACTCACCTTTCACATGAGAGATATACCCCTCCCTCCCTGCCTCCCTCGACTGTTGAGAACGAGTCGTCAGAACTCCATCTGAAACTAGTTATCAGCTCAGGTTCGGTTCCAGAGCGTGCTGACATATCTTGTTCTCTTATTCCTCAATTGCGTGACGTAGGATCTGGCGACATGTAAAGTCAGCCTGGGTGAGTCTAGAGGTATCTACATTTTCCCCCTGCAAGTAACTTGCACTAATGTGTCTACATCCTTCATGCATCACAGGACCATCAATTTGTCCAGCGCCAGAACTTTATTCCTTGGTTAAGGGCTCAGCTTGAGATTGATCCTATCGATGAATCAGCCCCGAATCCTGAACCTTTGGTCAACTACATCAAACGGCGATTAGCGCTGATTCAAGCTCAGCATCAGTCCAAGACAGCGAACCCGTCAGCTCTGCCCACCCCAGCCCAGCCTCCAGCAAGTGCTCCTTCCTCTTCACGTGCACCTCACGACGCCCAATCTACGACGAGTGACGGTTTCCAGCCGAACTCGTCCGTCCAACGCACCGAATCTACCTCGCATCCTGGCGCGCTCATCAATCATGGTACGTCTGTCAACGGGAATGGTTTGCATAACCCTACAACCAATAATGCCCAAGCCGTACAAGGTAAGCATTGCACTCGTAGTAACAGCGTATGCACAATCAACACCAATGACTCATAAGCGTTATGTATCGCTGTTATAGATTTATCCTCCTCTCATCAGGCTTCTTCCCATAATTTTTCACCAGCCCTCACGGGACAGATGACCTACAGCAGTCAGCTTGGGGCTATTGCAGACGCGCACATGGGCAGCCCCTCCACGGGTGTAGCATCTACACATCCCCTGAACACGCTAGCACCCAATCAAATGGAAGCACAGTCTTATCATGAGCGAATCCAGCAGTCCGCCTTGGCGCACGATCAACAACAACCTCTTCTAGGTTTTTCAAACGAACATGCGGCTAGGTATCAGAAGCATCCTGACTTACCTCAAATTCAGCATCAACAAGTTCCGCTACAAGAAATGCCACAATATCAACCACAGCACTCTATGCATCATCAGCTCACTCCGCGAGACCAGCAACTATTACTGCAGCAACACCATGCGCGACTAGCACTGTCAGCTCAGCCATCGTCGACTTCAACAAACTCTCAATCTTCTCCACATGCGCAACTGATCCAATCGAACCAATTCAATGGGCATCTTCAACAACTTTCACCGCAAGTCAATTCATTTCCTACTAATGGCTTCGTCTACTTCAACAATCCTCATATGGGTCATCTTGACTCTAGCAGTCAGCCTCGATTTCCTGATTCAATGTCGCATATACCTTCCAATTCACTACACGGTGAAACTCGACCACTCGCCTCATCCATGCAACATATCCAACCCGGGTTAGATACGAGCGTGCCCAAAATACCACCTGCTGTATCTAGCTCCTCGGAAACATTTTCACAATCTAGCAAACCTGAACCTCAGGAGAACAATGAACCTAAAGCATCTTTGGTGAATCAACCGCGTACTACTCGCAGTAACACGGCGGCGGCAAAGAAAAATTTGCAAGGTGGCATCTCTCCTGAAACCATCAAATTAGCTCCGCCACCTGTTGCACCCAATCGCAGCAACGGGGCTAAGTCGGCTTCTCCCGTACCTGCCGAACAACCTGCAGTTGCACCTGCTCCTCAGCAAGTGAATGACCAATACAGTCGCAAAGCATGGAAGAGTCGATTGTCTACCCTCAGAGCCGAACTGGATCATATCCAGAAGACGCCTACGAGAACATCCAACAAGTTGATCAAACTCTTGAGTGTCTACGCCATATCTCCGACGCCCCAGTCTGGTGATTGGTCTACCGTCCCCCCGGAAGGAAGACTCGAAGTCTTGACAGCTATCAGACCCAGTGCAAACAAAGACTTTTACAATGCTTGGGCCGCGGAAAGCAAGGGACTTGGCCTCTTGGAATCATGGCTCAAAGGCTCAGTTCACGCTCACGAAAGGGCAAAGGCGAAAGTAGCTGATGATCAAGACGCAGAATTTCAAGAGCGAGATGCGGTTCTGCTGTCATTACTACAGGTATGTTTATTGTTATTTGAGCTTTTGCTACCGATGCGCTTCCATATCGAGGTTGCGATTTGCTGGAACAAGTGATGTCTTGACAACCGTTACGCAACGTTTCTGACTCACAATTGTGACTTTAGATGCTCGAAAAGATGCCAATCACCTTGGATAACCTAAAGAGTCACACCTTTGCCAAACAAGTCTTGCGGATCAACAAAGAAGTGAACGCCCAAAGGTTCTCAGACAGTTGAGTATATCGTCATCGGGCTGCTAATACATATATCAACTCATGTACGCGACCTGCGCGCTGATATTTTGCTCCCGAATTTCCAGACGTCAAGACCCTGTCTAGAAAATTGGAACAACAGTGGCGAACAGCAGTCAGGGATGCCTCTACAGCCAAGTCGAGCAACGCGTCTGCCCTCAAAGATAACAAGAAGCGAAATGAACCTTCGCCTGAGCCAGGTAAGTCCAGACGAATGCAGACCGTTCATTAATTCATTGCTGACCACCTTGTGAGTTCGTTTTCATCGTTTCAGCCACTGTCAAAAAACGCAAAGTGGAGCCTGTCACGAAACCCTCCTCAGCCAACAAAGTGCCCGATGGGCTCTTTGGGAGGCAGGGGCAGAAACTACCAGCATTTTCGAAAAAGAAGCCTGAACCAGTCCCACCTCAGGCCACCGTCGCGCCGAATGATCCGTTTGCTGAAGCAATGGCCGCCTTGAAAGAGAAAAATGCCATCCTCGGTTTGGGCGAGGTCAACATGGCCTCTTCCGCGCCACCGAAAGCCAAGCCGAATGGCAAACCATCAAAGCGAGTAACATTTGCGCCGGATGATAAGTTATGTCAAATCAAGATTGTTGAGAGATTGGTCTATGAGGGTGAAGAATTTGAGGTCAGTCAACACATCACTTCCATCGCCAGACATTGTATACTGATCTTGTACCTTTTGCTTTATGCCTTTGCTGTCGGCTACCTTCACAGCATCATCCTTTGGGAGATGCGCGAAAGATGGATGCGGTCGAGGGTCGATATCTACATCATGCGGAAGAGTTCTTGGAGGAGGAGATGGAATGGGTCACACCTTTGGAGGTTATCTTGACAGCTGAGACTATAGCCAATCTTGAAACTTCTCCGTTGGAATCGCCAGAAGCTGCGAAGCAGGAAGAGCGTGAGAAGACTGTGGTCGAGGTTATATACTATGATGAGAGTCAAATACCTGAGTCGCCCGACGAACCCCCTGAGTGCGATCGTGGAATTGAAGATGGTAGCGGACATGTACCAAAGTTAATGAAACTCGGTGGCGAATTGCTCACCGATCCAGAGATCCCGCGATTGATTGCCCGAGCTCATGCTGATAACACGGCACCGGACGCACCCGTTGCCCCAGATTCCGCTGTTAGCGATATACTGGCTCGTCTCAATGGCGGTGTAGCGCCACCTGCCGGACCCTCTCAAATGACAGGCCAGTCAGCGTTCCCAAACGGAATCGACCTGGACCTCTTAACGTCATTATCTCAAGCAGGTTCCTTGCAAGCCTTGCTAGCTGCTTCGACACAAATCACTACAGCCCCTGTAAGCTCACAAATCCTCCTCACCCGTACGGAATATATCCACAGCTGTGGCCATCACCTGACATTTTCTTCCCACATTTGAATCTATAGGCCGTATCACCCATGACTACCACACAAGGAGGAAACTCTTATGAGAATGCGCCTCGGCAACACAACGGTTGGGGTGCAGCTGCAGGTTCAGCACGAATGTCAGGCAATCGAGATATAAATATTCCTACCGGTCCAAGTGCTGGATCAGGAAAGAAAAAGGGACGGAAGCATCGAAGTAAGGACTTCTCTAAACAGAGATGTGTGTCTCAATTTGATTATGTGGAAAAGGCTCAACACTGATTTGGCTTATTTACTTCCTCCTTTGTTAGTGTCTGCTTATGATCAGTATGGACGGCATATCAAGTGCAAATGGTGGCCACAATGTCCTCATGGTAATAAATGTTTTTATGTAAGTCTCTGGAGGCTTTTTTATCAAGTTATACGGTTCGGATTCCTCGCAGGCTTTCTGACGTTTTTTTATTATCTCTTTTCAATTGGTGCTTTCTTTAGCGACATGGCGACTAAGAAAATAATGTTTCTAAATGGCGAACGGCTTTTCGTATCTGATGTTATTTATTGTCGTCTACCTTCTCAGTCAATCTCTTTCACTCGCCAATCAACATTGTCTCTCAAAAACCAAGTTCTCTAGATTTCATGATTTTCTTCTATTCTTTTTCGCAGATTGAAATCGCGCGTTTTTCAAGATCAACATTTCTCACTATTTTCCATTACATTTTTTTGCTTTTCACATGTGGACTAGCTTTAGGGGTAACGTTTTTGATCTGGGTTGTTTCATCACATACAGACACACTTCTTTTTTATTATCTTATAATCTTTTGTTTGGTTTAATCAAAGCTTTTTCGTCATATAATTTCTTTTTTAAAACTTCATATGTATCACTTTGTTTTCGCATTTGAATCATAACTTGATCTCATTTTGTTGAATTTTTCGGTCTTCATTTTTTTTGGTCAAGTCATGATGCAATCTACTCAGTAGTTCGTGGATCACATGATTACAAATGTTTTCTAGTATTATGCTTGGGAAGTTCAGAGGAAGTGAGCATCCCTTTTGAGAAGAGCAGTAAGCATACTCCAGCCATTTGATTTGATCTTCAAGAGGAGCCAAAAGATGAGGTGAAGTTTTCATCAATTTGACAAGGTCACAAGGAGTTGGATTGCCTATGTGCACTCGAAAGGTTTGCAAAATCGAGGTGTACTGCCTGAGAAACTTAATGACATTTGAAAATGACAATTGATCCAGTCTCCATTCACTCTTTCCCTTACAAGTTTTTGTCTCAATACAAGTTTTTGGCTCTTATTATTCAAATGTCTCTCTTCTCACTGAATTTGTGTGCTCTCTCTTGTGTTTCTCAAGCTCCTTTTTTGATGCTGGTTTTTTTACCACAGCTTTTGGGCCCCTGCACTGCACTGGGGTCGGGGATTGATGGAAGTACATCAGTGTGCCCACATGAAAATTCAATGGCTCGAATCCACTTATGATACTAATTTGACTTCATTCATGGCTCATCATTCTTGAATCTTATGTATTCACAATTCCAATGCTTTTCTGGATCACAGAGATTGAAACACTACACTCTCTTGAGGCCCGTGTGTATGAAACCCCAAAAGCACAACTCCCGTACACACCAGATCAACCTTTGAAACACACTCAATTGGGTCAGAGGTTCTTAACACCCTCTCTGTGTGTCTGGTTGACTCAATGGGATCCCCTTGCGCAGAGTTAACTTGCACACACCAGATACACAGTTGTGGATTTGTTTGACTGTGCCTGTTACAAAATGGCCCGTGTTGAATCATGACCAGCCCATCAGTGTATTGCTTGAGGCATAAAAAGATCTAGCCACTTCACAGGTGACACAAAGAATGTATGAAAGGAAAAGAATGAGCCACCCCTTGGTGACCCCACATGATGCGTTGTAGGGGAGTCGAACCCCTGACGAGGCCATGGCAAGGCCCCAGTTTACCGCTAGCCTAACAACACATGGAGGACAAACCTGATCAGGATTCCTCGTTTGCAAAAACACCCTGATCCACAGCCCGGCTTCAGCACAACTCACACTGTGTGAAACAAAATTACACATACATCCACATAAAAGCTGGTTGCACCACATGACACACAATTTGACATGACATATTACTGGGTGACATGTGTCATTAGGGCTTGGGCACAATTTTGAACAACCGGAGCTGTACCTCCAGAAGTTGGTGAAAGTTGGATTTCACTCAAAGTGAACCTTAACCAGTTTATTTGGGGGTCTGAAAACACATGTGAAAGTTAAGAAACAGCTTTCTTCATTAGGCCGTTTGATAAAGCTTGCTTGGTCCTGATTTGAATTAAAATCATTTCACCCTGCACCTGTGGCACCAATACCGGAACCACTCCACAATTTTTAGCGGTTGTGGAGCGGTATTGGAGCGGATTTCACACCGCTATATGCACCACTACATATAGCGGTGGCTCTGCTCCACCATCCAGATGCTGGATTTCAGGTATTGGAGTGACCGCTCCAATACATGCCGGGTCCGGGTTTTGTCTGATATATATTGGACAAAACCATAGATAGGGACATACTGAGTTTTCTCCAATATAATTCAGACAAAACCATAGATAGGAGCATATCCTACTCTCTAGATACTTCCTCCACAACCACCTTCAATTCCATGAACACCACAAACTAGCCATCCAACTACAGACCATCGACTACAGACCCTCATACAATGGACCACACTTGGGCTTTCTTTCGGAAATGGCTCACTTGTGGTACATCCCACTTTTCCATTTTTGAAAGGTAAGTGCGGCACTTTCTCTCATTGTTTATCCCTTTGCGATTGATTTCACACTCTAACAAAACCTCCATCCACTTCTAATCCAATGCCCGTCTCTCAACAACTTAGTTCAAACTTGCTTCAGGTTCCAAATTGGCATCTGCCAACTCTTCTTCATCCTCTGCAAGATGACTCAGTCTCTGACCACCCAATCCAAATTGTCAGGAACCAGGTTTTGTAGTACTTCCCAAGGACTCACGGTCTTCTCTCTTGACGCCTCACGATGCCACTGGTTTGGACACATCTGGTCCTCGTGCTAACCGTCCTGCATCACCTTGACCTCCCTCTCTAACAAAGAAGAAAGTGAATAAGGAAGGACCTTCAGCCTCTCAAACAAGGATGAAGTCGACCAAAAAGGGAAAGGTCAGTGTTGTCATCCTAACAGTCATATTACATAGGGATAGAACTAACAATACATTACTTATAGACACGCTTGTCAACAAGTAAACATGCCCAATCAACTTCACCAGCGGCGACCTCCAAGGGTGGCACACCCACATCCTCCAAGCGATCTAAGGCAAATGTAAGTGTTAGCTTGTCAAATCAGATCCTTCTTTATCTAATGACTTCCTTTTTTCCTAGGAGTACAAGGTTCCCAAAGAAATGGACTTGTCGCAAGATTCAAAAATTGAGTTTGTTGGTACCAACAAACCTGGTTATACCCAAACTTATATAAGTCCAACTCGCGTGGCCCCGGGGTACAAGTACCACGTATACCTCCAAGCGCCAGCGAGGGACTTACGGCTAATCACAAAATTCTGGCGTGAGACTAGACAGGGCTTTTGCCAAAAATCTGTCATCTCACTTTCTCGCAAGTTCTACTTATCAACTCATAAAAAGTTGATAATGAAAATCACGCGCACAACCTCCACTGTCAATTTGCCACACGCCATATCTATATGGCCCCAGGGGTGCAAAAGATGTGAGCAAAAAAGTGGTTGGCTCAAAACTCGGGGCCGTACATGACCAATGGATGACTGCGGCGTCCAAAACCCAGTTAGGGGGACATAAAGGTCAAAAACACGTAGACAAACTGCTGTTTGTCAGCCGGCAAGGAATCTTTGACAAGTACACAAAATCCAAACTTCAGTAGCACCACATCCGCACGCATACCACCCATACGACTCCATACAACTCACGACTCTGGCCACTCGCGATGCTACGAAGGAGTGTTTCTGCAGCCAATGCAGAGGAATTAGCACTAGCAGTAGCGAAATCAATCACTGCCCGGCCCAAACTGCGAGACGAGCTCATCGGCATCAGTGCAGACCAACAAGCCAAAATCATAAGCGACTTGTTTCAGGCTAGATACGGATACCCAGCTCTAACTGAGCAAATCAACGCGGTGGTCCACCTCATCAATGGTCGGACAACGTTCTTATTAGCGGGGACGGGGTTTGGAAAAAGCAGAGTGCCCGAATTGCTCTATCTGGCGTATGCTGAGCACTACGCTCCTATACTGCTGAGCATTAACCCGCTAGATGCACTAGGTGACAACCAGGTGAGTTTATGATTTTTCACATTGTTCTCTACTCGGTAGCAGCAGGCTTACCACACCATCAACTGAATTCACCAGGTCAGCGAGAAAGACGCGGTAAAGTTGAATGGCGTGAATTTGACTGGCGCCAATTGCACACAGGAGATGTGTAATGCGATCATTCAAGGGAAATACACCTTTGTCTATGTGGTATTTACATTCCGGTTACCTTTGTTCAATATTGGGAACCAGACTGATTATCATATGAATATTGTTTTGCGGTGTTAGAGCCCCAAAATTGCGTTAACTAGCGCAATATTTGACCACATGTGGTCGGATCCCCGATTCCAGTCGAGGCTGGTACTCAATGTCGTCGATGAGGCCCACATGGTATATACATGGGGCCTCGTCGAGAGCGGGCAAGCCAAAAAACTCTCCAGCTGGACTCGGGTTCACGATGGCGGTGCTTTCCGCCCTTCCTACGGCCAGCTAGCCCGGCGCTTCCTTGCTTCAGACAAGGTACCTCTATTGTTGATGTTGGCAACGTGTACGCCTCAAGCGGTCGCTGCGATATTGGTCAACCTCAAACTGGATTCAAGAGACGTGCGCTTTGTAAGAGCCGAGCTATGTCGGCCCGAACTCCGGCTCATCAGAAGGGCCTTCAAACGGCCTCTTCATGCCTCGCTACGCACGCTGTTCACCCATCACTCTTTGATTCCAAACAAGGCGATTCCACCTACTCTCATTTATTCCGGCACCCAAAACGCTACCTTAGACTACTTAGAGTTGATTAATAATGCACGAGGTCACCCTGCAGAAGCCGGCAATGGCAGATCTGAGTTTGCTCGACGTTACCACGCTACCACCGGAGACAACGCCAAAATTGCCGCCGTCGAGGCATATGTAGCATGTACCCTGGCTGTTATCTGCTGCACGCTCGCCCTTGGGTTGGGTCAAAACTGGCATCGAGTTCGCCGGGTCGTCATCGTGGGCTGACAAGACCCGTGCAACTTCATCCAGATGGCTGGAAGGTGTGGACGTGATGGTCGACGAGGTCTTGGCTTTCTCTTGGTTGAACACTCTCGAACCAACGGCAAGAACAGCGTGGAGGATTTTGACAGCAAAACGGTGATGTCGGATGACAACAGGATGGACGCTTTATCTATTACTCCCGTATGTCTGAGGGTGGCACTCGCTGTAGATCTTGAGTAAGTCTGTCTTTCGTGATTCTCTTTGCTTTTGGGCCTTGTCCTGACCACATTGGCCTCAGCCAAGGCTACATACCTCTCGATCCGGATGTGTGGGTGGTTCTCAACAAGGAGGAACGTCAACGTAAGGCAAAAATGCAACCTTGCGACTGCTCAAACTGCGAGCCCGAAGAAGCCGAAGCACTGTGACTCGCGCAAGCAGCGCTCACCAACGACAACTTTGATATGGCCCTTGATATGGGCGAAGAGCAGCTCCTAGATTTGATTGACAGCCTCCCCGAACCACCACCACAACCGGTGATTGATATACAGCGAACCGCCATCCCCTGCGGCAAAGACGACCCAATTGAAGACTGTCCCATCTTGGGACTCCTGGTGACGATTTTGGACCTGGAATTCCAAAAGCTTTGGCACTCACATTTCACTCGACCTTGCCACCTAAGCCCTGAAGATTATTTCGGGCGAGAACTTGCATGGGAGGTGGCCAAAAACATCGATATCATCTCTCATCCGGACGACTTCGCTGTTGTGCTCGCTAGCGAATCAATACCTGGCCAATTTCAATGCCATTTCGCTGCTGTCATACGTTGGCGAGCGGAATGCCCAGCGGATCCGATCATCGAGAAAGCCGCCGAACGACGGCCAGCACACTCTCGCGGACCCTTCATACCGGTTCAATCCGTTGAGGGTGCCCTCCTCTCACAAGCTTGTGCAGAGACCCGTAAGACGGCAACGCGCGAGGCCAAGCTTCTTCAGAAGCAGGAGGCCGCACATGCGAAAGCAGCGCTAAAAGCCGCGGCTGCTGAAAAGAAAGCTCAGGAAAAGTTAGATGCCGAATTGCGACGAATACAATTGAAGGCAGAGGCGGAATTGGCACGGTCGAAAAAGCGGGAAATGGCCAAGCAGAAGAGAGACGATGCGGCGGCGTCTGCAGCAGCCAAGCGTGAGGCTCTAGCCGTGGCTTCTGCCTCGAAAAAGGACGTTCGGGCAGCCGCTGCTGCCGCCAAAGCGGATGCAGCGAAAGCTGGCCCTGGCCCTTCTGCCGGCAAACGAGGCACCGCTACAACCATACCCAGTGTGCCTTTGCGCCAAAGGACCAAACGCAGTGCGGATTCACCGCATGGTGGTTTAGCAAATAAGAAAACGTCTACAAGCAGTGTATGTGCTTCTTTAAATTGGTTATGCGCAAATTTAACATACAGGAGCTAACTACGGTTCACTATTCTCCAGCGCATTCTGGATTCTGATCGTGCCACGACAACAACACATCAGCCGCCCCCCAGCGGAAACGCAATGCCCGACCAGCATTAGCGTTGTGGTAATCAAAATATGAGACCAATCAAAAAATCAAAAAAAATCGAATTTTGAATTACATCAATTATATTACATATAGTTTAATATTTACATCATTTTATCATTCAAACAAACTTATCAAGATAAGTATAAACTATTAACAAACAGATTACAAAAAGAAAGAAAGAAAAAAACATAAGAAAAACTCGAAAATAGAGGTATACAGGTTGGAAATGGTTTTTAGGGTAGTAATATTAGGTTTATGGGTTTAGTAGGGTTGGAATACGAAAGAGGAGCATTGTTTTAGTCAGCAACAACTTTAATCTTGGTGGTTGATAAGAGAAAATAGAAGTTATTAAGGAAATGGGAAAAAGTCGAAATTGGTAAACAAGGGTTTACAGGTAGTTTTACATATGTAACAGTAGAATTAGTAATGAATAAAGTTGCCAAGGGTGTTTTTAGGGATTTTCACGGTTGGAGATTACTGTGTAATGTTACAGAAGGCAAGAAAGGCTTAGTAAAAGGTGTGAAAAGTGAAGAAAATAGGTGAAAATAGTCGAAAATGAAGGTTTTCAGCTAATTACATATGTCAAATGACGTCAGAATAAGTTGGTAGATGGCTCATTCAACGCAGAAGAGTGGATTACATAATGTACAACCTTTGAATCATTAGTAACGGAGGTGTATGTAAAAAGTTATAAGGGAAATAAGAAATTGGTGTGAATCTTGAATTTACAGTCACAAGACACATGTAACACCAAAAACCTTAACTTCACAACTCAATATCTTACTCATCACTCATCAGAAGTAGGTCTTATAGGTGTCAGAAATGATCAGTAACACGTGGGCTACAAGATGCACTTTAGTAATCAAAAATTGGAGCACATCTGAAAAAATTTGTAATCTCAAAAATTGGGTTTCAGCTAGTTTACAAGGAAAAAATCACCTGTATTCATCTTAAGAAGTGCTGTACATTACATCATTGCGTCATTGATCACTTTTGGCTGTGAAAATTACATCATACATTAGTAACAAGATCATTACATTGCGTCATTACATGGTTTTTAGGGTTATTTAGGCGGATTTGATTGGTTTTTGAGGCTGTTGACTGTTGTAAAGATTGTTACATGTGGATATAAGTACTCCTTGATGATTTTGGGATTGTAGCGCCCTTTTCTGCATCTTATACCTTTGTTGTAGTGTTATAAATCATCATTTATTTACTATATTTGTACTAAGATCACTTAAATCCGCCCCTTCAAAAGTAAGGAGAAATTTATTTACGTGTGTTAAAGACTACAAGTCTAATTGGGAATAATACTTACAACAGTATTGCTAGTAATAAACATAGTGTGTGACTTTTTTGCGCTTAAAATCTGGGAATAATACTTAACAACAGTATTGCTTTATTTCTCTGGTGCCTTTTATCCTTTTCTCTGTTATCACAAAGTGGTCAGCAAGTGCCCTTGTGCTGGTTTCTTTGAAGAAGGCAGTCTTTAGGCAACTTCTACTATATTACACGTAGTAGATTATCCCTTCTTAGGTGTTGTAAAGCTCTTGTTGAGCTTTAAATACTACAGCGTCGGCACGAATTAGTTTGACCATGTTAACCTCACCCTCTCTATATATGTTGGTCACCTGGGCAGACGGACGTCGGGCGGTTTGATCTCCCAAATGCTCTTTGGCGTATGCAAGGAATGCCAAAAGGGATGGCCCGGTGATGGAGTTGAGGTTGGGTTGAAATAGCAAAGTATGGCCCGAGTTGGTTTTGAATAGCTGCATTAGTCTTCTCAGCTGTGGACAGATACATATTCGTTTTAATGCTAGCAATATTTGCAATTGAAAACACATGTTTAGCCATCCACACACCAGAGGAACCAGGGTCGATATGAGGTCTGTGAGACGTCGTATGTCGGTTCCATGTCCCTGTGACGCGGCATCAAAGCATGTTTCACTTTTACAAAATATATGTAATGACAAAAAGACAACAGCTGTCCTAAGTAAGAATATATTCTACTCACAGTATCATTGTACACACGCTTGAGATAGAAGATGCTTACTTCTAGGAATTCGTCGATTGGAAGCCAATGGTCCGCGCGTTCATTGGACGGAATGAGAAGGGAATGCTTAATGGCGTGTGCGAGGTCTTTAGGTAAGTCTTCCTCTAACAGTAACACAATTTGGGGTATATGCCTTGCATAATGACTTAGCCCCTTGATCCCTTGTGCCATTATAGCCCATTGCTTCCACACTAGCATCAGCCAGCCTATGTCTCCGGTGCGTGTGGCTTCGTGCGCTTCGACAACAGTACCAAAATCTTGGAGTCGCAACATCAAGTTGTACTGGGTGGGATCTTTGTTCAGTCGCGCTTTTTCTAAAGCGGCCCCGTGGAAATATTTAGTCCATATGATATCGATCAGACTTTGGCAGTCCGAGGTCGTGGTTATATCGAGTGCCTTATGAGAGGCCAAAGTGTGGCTGTAATAAAGAATCCAAGCTAAGTTTGCCTCATTGATGTAGACCTGAATGAACCACTGACCTAATTATATGGGATAGGTTGCCTTGATGAAGGATGCGCGCGGATCGCATGATTGTGTTGAAGTCCTGTGATGCCGGTGGTTTTTTGTATTCACCACCTAAAGCAAATAATGACCGCCACGCACCGGTGTCATCGCCGCTGTCGGACTTACCCCAATGGTGAGTCAATAGAGCCTTGGTGAAGTTCCACGTTGTGTGTGCACCGCCAAAAATTGACAGTACCCATTGCATACCTTCTACAGAATCAATGGGTGGAAACCTTTTCTTTCGAAGACTCTCCAACAACTGGTTCGATCCGACATCGCCACTGGCAACCAATAGACTCTGAGCATATTTGCTCTTGTCCAAACCGATCTGCGCTATTACTGCATCAATGACACATGATACCCCTTCAGCTGAAGAATCCGGGGCATCCATCATTTGTAGGAAATGAAGGTTTGGTTGGTGCATCGGAATAGGGTCTACTGAGGGTGGTCGCGTAGTAAGTGATGGTAGTTTTCGGGGGTCCGGCGCACCAGGGATGTAAGCCGCGTATTCTTTCAAAGCTTTTGAGATTTGAGCCTTCACTACCTTGACCCAATGTTCAGCTTCATCTACGCTAGGTGCAAACAACGAAAGAGATACGGCTTTGCGGTCCGCTGCCGCCATCGCATCTAAAAACGCGGCAAGGCTGACAGCCTCTTTGGTGCATTTCACCTGAAGGCAAGCACGAACAACCACATAAAACCCCCAAGGTCCGTGGAATAGACGTGACGAAGTTTCCACGCGAGTGTTGTGAATCTTCAACGCAATGTCAATGTTGTCATATACTAATAAAGGTAACAGTTTATGATTTAATTTGAACAATGCCATTGTGCGATCCTGTTGTACCATTCGGAGATGGTGCATGGCTGACAATGTGGTCTTCCTTGAAGTAGTGAGGCCGTGTGCATTGAGCCATTCATTAACTCAACAGGAAACCCCAGCGGCGTAAGTCATCAGACTGTGCGCCAGGGGAACAGCGTTGGCCCGTCGATTGCAGCACATTGCAATCATTGCACATACCATGATTGGCAGCTACACCGCCGGAACCGACAAACAACAGACATTTCACTGAGTACGATCAAACACGGCCAAAGCAGTGACCAGCATACCTTGGTTATTTTGTGAGTGTCTTGGTCTGTTTTCGACGCCTTGACATAAACCAGGTTTTCCATCGACATGACCGTGGCTTCGTCATCGATCGCAGAGTCAGGAGACTCTGTCAACTCTTGAGAAAGATCATGCGGCACAGTTTCGTCGTCCACATCGACCTCGTTGTGAAGGTTTAGTTTATTCAAACTAAAAGCCAGCTTCCCCCAAATGAGTGAGTGTAGGAATGACATTCCGGTGACCACCTGATTTTCCCGCAGGGTTTCTGCGGTTTTGCTGAAGTAGTCCGGAGTGATTCTTTTGGAACTGACGTATGCACCCCCAGGGAAATGTCCGCGAGGGACTTCCTGTGCATTGACAATAGTCAAAGCCTGAAAAATGGGATTGGTCAACCGGTCAAGCTTAACCTTTTCATGAAATTGCTTTTGGCCAACTGACCTCTTCCAAAATCAAGTTCTCCCAGTCCGCTCGCCCTTTTTCGCACGACCTGGACATCTTGCCCAAATTACGAACGATGGAGCGAGTTTGCAGGAATGCCAGGCCTGTTTTCATGAGCCGACGTCGAGATATCAACTCTTTATCGGTGTTAGACAAAAATGTAACCATAAATTGTTTTGGTGTTAGATCGAGTTTAGTAAGATATTTGCACACCAGCAGGGTGCGAGCAAGAGTGCTCGAATCCTCTGTGGACTCAGTAGGAACTTTGGGATTCATCAATCTTGTCTAATATCTTGGTATATAATTGTCTTGCTGTTGAGGCTATGTAATTAATAAGATATATGAACAAAGGTCTATAGATGTTCCGTTGTAAGCAATCCGAATTGCAATCTTTTGCGGGTGACAGACTACGAGACACAGATGACAAAAGACGGTGAGTCACGTTCAAAGCCGGCATCTACAACGGGCGTGGACATCATCAAACCAGTGTAGTAGCACTTTTTCAGTATGGCACGCAGTGCTACAAAATTGAAGAATCACATCCATGTGATTCAATAAATGACTAACCGACTCCTCACGTTTCAACAATAGAGTCTAATTGTGTGTTCTGCTGATAGTGACCACATACGTGTATCTTGACCATTCATTCACGCTGGATGGCATGAGCGCGAATACCTCATTGGGTACAATAATCCCTCGTGTGATGAAATCAATTGATTTCTCAGACCATTCTCACCATGATTATTGGGATATATATTCAATTGTGGGATTATAGACCTTGGGGGTTTCAGGTATTGATATACTAACATTGCATCTTGAACTACCGCCTTTTGGGATTGTCTCACCAATGACATCCAGATAGGCAGTAGTGTTTGGTGTTTGAGGTTTTAGTGGAAACATTCCAAGGTCTCTGTTTCAGACCACAAGCAATGGGGGAGGTTTTTCAGAGGCTAATCGCATTTCCTTGCCTTAGTTGAGTAGGACTACTGAAAAGAACCTTTCTTTCGAGATCGCACCCTCCACCTCGCTTTTTACCCCTACTCAAAATTCCTTTCCATATTTATAATCATGATGAATCCAGGACCTTACGAAGACCCACTACTAGACATGGATGGGATTGTAGGAAGGATTTCTGGCTATATTGAAGAAGAAGGCTTGACTGTCGAGTCATTCATTGCGGAATATGAAGGTCCAGTTCCTACCTCTGTCGCCAAAAACCGCGCTTCTTCCCCAACTACCACCACCGTACTTCGCCAAACGGTTGAAATTGTTCGCTTCATCGAGGACTGCTCCATGAGTGTCTGGGGCTTCATATTCCACTTCCTCAACCATCGATTCTTTGGCCGACGACCGCGCCGCCACGATCTGTGAGGGGATACCCCGGAGTCCAGGACATTAATCCAAAATATCCTGCTGAGCATCCGAGATGTGATATATGACGCTGGAAATGGGGAAACTGTTTGGCGAGCTTTCATACAGGACCAGGTGAGTTTTTATTGGTTGATCTCTGGGGATAGATACTGATATCAAACCTTGGATCGTGATGTTCCTCAGGCTGATGCTCTTAACATCAATGCAGGCGAGCAGCCCACGGACACTGATGACTCTACGTGAGTTTTCGAGGAGTCCTTGGCCACACCTCATGAAGGGTTTGTAAGTTGCCATACATTATCTCAGTTGTTCACTCGTGATCCATACTTATCTGTGCAATAAATGCCAGGCTCGGTTTCCAGTCCAGGTGCTTGAATGGAATCGAGGGAGAAATGCATTTTAGTTCTTGTGGCCCAACATAAACTGCCGTTTTGACTGTAAAGATTTAATCTCGCCAGCACCCACCTTTCTGACGCGCAGCGTTGGGAACACATGTAGAAAAATGCGGCCCCGAGTTTTGAGCCAACCACTTTTTTGCTCACATCTTTTGCACCCCTGGGGCCATATAGATATGGCGTGTGGCAAATTGACAGTGGAGGTTGTGCGCGTGATTTTCATTATCAACTTTTTATGAGTTGATAAGTAGAACTCGCGAGAAAGTGAGATGACAGATTTTTGGCAAAAGCCCTGTCTAGTCTCACGCCAGAATTTTGGGATTAGCCGTAAGTCCCTCGCTGGCGCTTGGAGGTACGTGGTACTTGTACCCCGGGGCCACGCGAGTTGGACTTATATGAGTTTGGGTTATACCCAAGTACAAGGAGCTAGAGTGATGGATCTTCTCACTTATTTCAAAGCTCCAAAGGTATAAGTTGTTTCATTTTTAAGAATTCACTCTCCTCTCTTGACTCTCCTTTCTATGTTAATCAAAATCAGGCACTAACTATTGTTGTCTCTTCTACCTAGGGTCTATCATATAAGTGTTGATGGTGTTGTAATACTTACACAAAAGGGGAAGATACTTATTGGAATTTATGGGGTCATTGAGACGGCAACTCGAAACAACCATTGTGTACTGAAAGGCATCAAGCCATTGCTCAAGGAGTCAAACTTCCACCAAGCTATTCTGAAAAGCCGGCCGCTTTGAAGAAGGACAAAAATTCCAGTATCACCTCTCATTTTAATGGGCCTGCTTTTAGTGTTGATCTTTTAAATTTAATGTTGGCAATGTGGATTGTGCGCCATGCACTGCCATGGGCACATTTTGAAGACCCCAGCCTTTGAGCTGTGTTTCACACTGCCAACCAAAGCGCAGTGGTTTGATCATCAACTTGGGCCTCCAAGCAATCAAAGGAACTCTTTACAGGTTTGCACAATAAGGCAATCAACAATGTACTTGTAAGTTAATCTTTAATTGTATTTAAAATTTGTTTTGATCTGTTGCACTAACATCATTCCATTAATTTGAACACAGGAAAACAAGGGGAAGTTCTGTCTTATACACGACATATGGACCACAAAAGGTAACCAATATGCGTTTGTTGGAGCGACTGCAAACTATATCGACTCCAACTGGGAATACCGATGGACTCATCTTACCCTGAAGATGGTGGCATGGCGCCACTTTGGGGGTCTCCTGGCCCGACCAATTGGATGTTTTCTGGTTCGACACGGACTTCATAAAAAGATAAGTCCATTATCACTTTTAATTTTTACAGTTCTCTTTCTTTCTTTTTTCTTATCTTCTTTCTTTTGGTCTGCCTCACATGCTTGCTCAGACGACCAACAGCGGGGGTAACAACATTACCATGGCTGGCAAGCTTCAAGCAATGTTCTCTGCGGCTGACGATCCATCTGAATGGGACGGAACAACCCACCATATACAATGCTACACTCACAAGCTCAACCTTGTGGTTGGGCATGGACTCAAAGCTCTTGGTCGAAAGGTTGGTGATGTGAAGCCAAGTACTCATGTGATATCCCTCCCAATTCCATTGCTTGAGGTGAATGGCGACAAGTATGATGCTGAAGACAATACAGAATCAGAAGAGGAGGATATGTTTGGACTGCCTGCTGTTCCAGACGGAGTTGACGATGACAACATCAAAGAAGATACAGATGAGGGTGCTCCAGGTTCTGACAGACCTGATGTGTTTGCGAAAGCTCTTGCAAAAGTAAGCGTGCAGGTTTCCATCCTATTCCCTTTTCTATAATTTTCCCAAGATTTGACTTATTCAATTCTTTCCTTACATATAGGTTGACACTGTCAGCAGCCAGATTGCTAGCAGTGCAGCCCGTCAATGCGATTTCAAGACCCATGCTACCAGGTTAGGATACACAGTTAGGATGGTTAAAAGACCTTGCAAGACAAGGTGGAACAGTCACTACAAGAGTAGAAAAATTGTCTGTGAGACACAGGAGGTACGTAGCTTGTTTGTAATGTCTCTCAAAAGACTCTTTGCTTATTAATCACTTCTCCTTCCAGGTCATCAACTCTATGATTTCAGCAGATCAAAAGGCATGTTTCTTCAAGGGTGTAACAATCTTGCCTTCAGATTGGAATGTGATTGAGTTAGTGAACAAGGTGTTGAAGGTTAGTCAAGTCTTCATCTTTGTTTTGCCATTATTGGTTTACTTACCACCTTCTCTCCCAATTCCTTGGATGTTTGTTGATGCAACTCCCCGCGTGGAAGGAAACGGTCCTACCAGATGCTTTGTCCTGGCCAAATACAAACACGTAATCAGCAAACTCGAGAATCTTCAAGCCAAGTCACTCTTTCCGAGTATTGACAAACCAATTAATGTCATGATCAAATGGTTGAGAAAGTATCAGGATGAAGCCGTCAACTGTGAAGCCGTTGTGCTGGCAACCCTTCTCAATCCATGATTCCAAGGACAGTTCTTCTCAATCCATTATGCCAATCACGCAGTCTCAGCTCAAGTTGCCATTGATCATGCTTTCAATAACCTTGTTGAAGATTCCACCGTATCTGATCAAGCTCTACCACCCGATGAAATCAATGAAACCAAGGCCAATGAGTTTGATATCTTTGGTGTTGGCAATGGTGGTAATGAGAATCCTTCAACTGCTTCTGAACTAGACAACTATTTGAAGGGTCACTGCCGTATCAGGAAGGATCAAACACCGCTTGAGTGGTGGAAGGTTGGTAACAGTTCATCTTCACCTTTTCAACTTGTTGTATTATTCTCCTTTCACATAGCTAATGTACTGTCGTCTCACAAACAGGAGCATCAATTCCAATTCCCCACCCTCTCAATACTTGCTCGGGATTATTACACCACAAACCCCCTTTTTGTTGAGAACCGGTTTCTAGGGGGTTTCGAAAAAACCTGGTTCTTGGCAGGTAGGAATATCGGTTTGGCCCCGGGGTCCAGCTCGGTTTTTGCACAGAGTTTAATCAATACAGCCAGTCAACCACCTAAAGGCGGTTCACAAACTGCTTTTGATCCACTCTTCGCAAAACCGCGAAGATCAACCAGTTGTTCTCTGGTTTCCACGGCGGCGGCTCACCCGTTCGGATTCGGTTTCTCGCGTACCCTGACCTCAGGATGATTTTCCCTTTCGTCAAAGGAAGAACACTTATCCAATTGCCTCATCACTGGCAATCTTATTCATGTTTTTTTGTTATTTTTCGTTATTTTGAATCACCCTCATTATCCTTGAACTCTTCTTTCTCAGCATGGTTCTTCCTGGCGGCGTACCTCCATGCTTCATTGAAGTTGATGGCGGCCCAGGTGCCAAAACATTATATTCGTGTGACGCTTGTGGTGGAATCCGAAATATGAAAGCCGGCACTATCCAAAGACACTGTTGAAACAAAAGCCACATAGAGAGATTTCGTCAGTGGACTGTTGCCCATCAGGACAGATCACCGACACAATCAGTTTCCCATGGTTCATCACCCCCCCCCCTCTGAGTCGGATCATTCAGATCATTCAAATGGTCAGAATGATGCAATGGTCATCACTCCAATTCTTGAGTCAGACAATGTTGTCTATGACCAAGACTTCGAAATGCGTCAGCGCACACTCATTGATCTCTGGACTCGTGTTCAATCAGGAACCTTCGAAAACATCAATCACAACGTTGATCGCACAGAGGACAACAATATCTCAAATGAACTTGATCAAATTGATCCTAGCGATGCTGCCTCTGATGTAGATGACGACAAACCTGAAAGCTCGGAGAAGGACATGGCCGACGATGAATCACCTTGGGCTCCCTTCTCAAGCTTAGAGGTTGGTTGGTTGGTTTTGGTCGGAAGCGTCCTTGTGATTGTTTCACTGACTTGATCACACTTTGCCAGCAATTAGTTGGTTTACTAATTCTGGGATCAACTCGCACAACGATGTCACAACGCCAATATGAACGCGTTCGTTCATACGTCGGCCTCTTAGGTGTCAAGCTTCCAGGATACAAAAGCATCCAGAACCTTCGCCGAAGACTGAAGAAACAATATGAGTTCGATGTTTCCGAGACGGTTGGTCCCTTGGGAAGAACCTCGTTTGCGCTGAAAGTCAAACAAATACTCTCTCAAGTACGCTGTTTATATGTGTCCTCAAAAGTTATTGGATCACTGATGAATCTTCCCACAGGAATTAGCAAACCCATATGTCTGCGACAATCTTCAATTCATGCCTGAATTGCCAAGTATCACTGACAAAGTTGACCGATTTGGCCAATCACGGAAATGGAGGGAGGAGTTAGACCGGAATCTGCGTGTTCAGATGGTCGCTTTACCACAAGGACACTTCTATTTATTTGAGCCTGTCCAGCTAAAGTCAAAAACACTCGTCATCCCGGAATTTTATTATCAAGAGGGCACAGAAACCTTTGCAAAGTGTACTCCTGCCCATCAAAGCATTCAAACGGACGCAGATGGTACTCAACATATTCGTGTGTACTTCGATTCAGCTTCAGATTTCAGCTCCTCTATGTTATCAGCAATCAACGTGAAGGAATTCTGGAAGGCTTTTGATGCAATTGAGATACGTCCAGACATCTTGATGAAGGCGTATTGTGGGGATTCGATGTATGGTTCGTTCATGTATCATTCTTTTGTTTGAGATCACTCACTAATTTGTTTTATTCAAGAGGATGTCGGTGCGGGAAGGTTTTTGCAAATTCCTTTACAGAACCCATGGCGCAAAAAGGCTAAAGGCAAGATAATTCGCCACGTTCCTATGGTTTTGTATTGCGATGATTTGTCCGGAAACATTTCACAACGCTGGAACAAACATATCGCTTTTTATTGCATGCTCGCTGGTTTGCCTCCGAAATTGGCCAATCAAGAATACAACTGTCATTTCTTGACGACATCCAACACAGCAGGAGCTCTAGAGCTCGCCGACCCTTTGATTGATGAGCTTAAGCAAGTGATTTGAATGGTTTTTGATTGTGATATCTTGCATGATCCTTATTGATCTTCTCACTTTTTTTTGGATCGTAATCTTGTCACTGATGATTATCATGCAGTGACATTGCCACAAATGGCTTTGTGGCCTACGATCATCAGGCGCAGGCCGAAGTCTTTGTGATGACTGTGGTACTGTGTCACTTAGGAGACTCGCCGATGCACACCGAGGTTTCCAACACGATGAACCCAACAGTATCTCTATCGCCTTGTTGTGTATGTGATTTGAAGGTGGCAACATTGGTCAAGAAAAGGTCACCGACGTATGTGAGCAACTTTGTGGGCGTTGACGAACGTGGACGCAAGGTAAGATTGGCCTTCTCCTCTTCTTTTTAATCACGATCACTCACAGAGATTACTTTCTGAATCCCAGTTGTGCCTACCTACACGGATTTGGTCGGAGACCAAGCAAGGGACGGAGGACCTCTGGACGTTGGCACAACAGCCAGGGACAATTGGTTCATTTGAATCCGAATCTGGAAAGCTCGGCATCAAAGATGTTCTGAATACAGTCTTTGTAAGACGTGTACAAGACTTCCATCGTGATCCAAACCTGTTGGCTGCAGACGTGGAAGCGATGTGCCAGGAACTCAACAACGCTTTTGGAGAGCGTCTCTTCAATCCTTTCCTGCGCTTGAAAGGTCAGTGCAAAGGTGTCCATCGTGACTGAGGAATCTTTACTAACACCTTCTATGACTGCAATCAAGGTTTTGATGGTCATAAAAACACCCCCGTGGAAATTCTACACGTGCTCTTGCTGGGATCTTCAAAGTATTTTTTACGTGATCAAATGGAGCGCTTGACTGCTAAGGAAAAGAACGACGTATGGGGTCGATGGCAATCCTTCAACACCTCTGGGTTGAATGTTCCTCCCATTCAACCCAAATCCATGATTAACCACTTTCTCAGTTTGACAGGAAAGGAATTTCGTGTGGTGCTGCAATCAGCACCCTTTATTTTCTTTCATTGCTCATTATCGAACAAACAGTGCGAGGCTTGGACGGTGTTATCTCATCTCGCCCCTTACATATTCCAAACTGGTATTCACGACATCAAAGCTTACGTCAAAGAGCTTCGAATCCTCATCGATCGATTTCTTCGAGCAATCTTACAACTTTCAGCTCAGTGGTGCAATAAACCGAAATTTCACATGTTAATCCACATCTGCGACGCAATAGAAAGATATGGTCCTGCATGCCTTTTTGCGACCGAAAACTTCGAAGGATATAATGGCAACACTCGCGACTCTTCTATCCATTCGAACCATTTAAGTCCCAGTAAAGACATTGCGAACTCTTTCAATAATCATCGTCTCATTAGGTCAGTGACAGCAGCCAGCCTCTTGTACGACCGTGGTGCACATACTTATATGAAGGCTGGCTGTAAGGTAATAGAACTGTTCAAAACTAACATATTATTCCAAAAGGCATTGGGATATAATTCGAAATGGAATGAGCCAGAGAAGTACAAAATAGGCAGTGAGTAACTTCCGTTGTTTGGCATTTTTTGACTTGATCACTAATTTCAACATTCAATTAGGAATCAACCCCATGCAACCATCTTAACCCGAGTCCCACATTCCAAAAGGGATATTGGAAGCTTACCCATTAAAAAAATGGAAGGTATTATCGGCATTTACTTTGAAGAATGATCAGTCCTTCAGAGAAGGAGACTTTCTCTCGGTATGCTCAATTTCTGATCGCATTCTGACCCTCTCAATCAAACTCATCTCATGTTTCAAATTTTCCCTCTACAATTCTTAGGTTCAATCAGCGCATTTGCTCACCCGATATACGTCAGACAAGATGATTGGAAGAGTTAACAAGATATGGATTGCAGGGGGATGTGCGGCTGAAAAGTGTAAAATTGAAGTAACAAAGTACAAGACTGGAAAAGTCAGTGAATTATATGGGATGCGCGAAATTGTCGAAATGGCGGGAAAAGTCTGGATAAATCCATCTGTAAGTTTCTGACGCACCGTCTTGTCACTCTGAAGTAGTGATGAATGAATATTTGTAGGACATTGAGGGTATCCTCAACGTCCAGCACGACTGCCACAAAAGTGGCTGTGTTGTCAAGAAGGAAAGACCTGTGATCATCGAAAGGCGAGTTTCAACACTTTGAGAGCATGTTGTGGTCCATGAGGAGGCAGGCTTTTTTGTCATCAACTCTGGAGCGTTTTATGCGGCGGAATTACATCGATATTGGGCAAACATCAAATTTCCTGCAGTCACGGCGCAACAATGGAAGACAGCTGTATCTACCGGCATCAAAAAGTGGGAAGCTTCGTTACAAAAGAAAAAAGATGACCACGATAGGAAAGAAGAGAAATTGAAGGAGAAAGAAGAAGCATCACAACAAAGTGGGCAGACAAGCAAGAAGAGGAAATCAAGATAAGAGATTTCATGGTACACTTGGACCTTTCAGTCAAATTCATTTCAATATTGTCCTCTTGCAAAGAGATTGTTATTATTGAGCATCATTCGAATGTATATATTTTTCAGTGTAATGAATGCAAAGTCACATTTTCCTTTGTATTCAAGCTTTTTTAGTGTCCCTTGTTGAACCTGAAGTTGCATCTTGCGTATTTGATACATTGGAAGCTCTTCAAGTCTAGCGTCAAGAAGAGCTTCAAAGAATACATCCCAGTTTTGTGGGTTATAATGACATGGATGTGGGTTATGACGTGGATCACAGCATTTGATGATTCCTCGTGTTTTTCCCTTCGGGTGTTCCCCACTTCCCTCTTGTGACAATGCCTCAAGATCAATGTGGCCAATACTTGTCAGATTTCGCTCATCTTCTTTCTCTTCATTACATTATTCTGACTTTTTCTCCTCTCAATCTATCGTATAGTCATCATTTTGTTGTTTTGATATGGGTATCTGAGGTGATCACGCCTGTCACACACTGAATGTCACCAAATTAAGTGACATATCTCCCAGCCGCTGACCTATGTGTTGATTTCCTCTTCTCAGAATTTCTCCACCTTCGATCGACTTCTCAACCGCCTTCGATCGATTCATCATGTCTCAACAACATCGACGCTTCTTCCCCGTTCCACCAAAGAAACTCCAATCCCAGAAGAAGACTCAAGAAACCTCATCTCAAAGAAACGAAGCAACCACCTCTCAGAGTCAAGGCACGAACCGACGTACACGCCAAGCCAAAACCCCGGGTCCATCAATGGCTCCTGCTAAACCTGCAACCAAACGTCGAGCAAGTGAGAGAAATAAAGCCGCATCGGAGCAACCTCCGGCCAAGGTATTGAAAACCAAGACTACTAACACCAAACCGCTTATTTCAAAGAAGTCGAGCCAGGGCCAGGGATCAAAGGTCACCAAGAGGCCACCTTCTCGTAGTCAAGTCTTCTCCAAACCCGAAGAGGAAAACCAAGACAAACACAGACGTGATGGCACTCCCACTTCTTCTCCTCCTCCAAGAGCTCCAAGAGCTCCGATCAACGCCGACGAATTGGCACCGTTTGCGTTTACTTCAGCAAGTCAAATTGGTATGTATTCTTTCTGATTTCCTCTTTTGTTTCTCTCTTTCATTCTTCTCTTACTGACTAATACCTTCTGACCTAGCCCAAGCCCACAAGTACGGCGAAGATGAATATGTACAAAGGCGCAACACCAGGAATACCGCACCATCACACCAAGATTTTGTCCCTTTACAGGGTTCCAGATTACAAACTTACAATAGAAATGCCTGTCGTTTTGATCTAGACAACCACTACATGGGAATGGGACGTGAATTATGCAATGTAAGTATCCAAATCAATCCCTTCCTTTTCTCTTTACCTACCTCAGAATAATAACCAAACCATATTCATTTTTGCAGGTAACCGCGCCTGACGATCAGTTCATAACCTCGATTACTGTGGCCCTAGCGAATCGTCAACACATGACATCAATACATAATGACATCACTCAGCAGATTGCTGACCTACGTGAAAGTGTATCAAACGGCAAAGGGGGTTCCAGTAACGCAGCTCCCGCGACTCCTTGGCTGTCGAAAGAGGACTCTTTGGAACTTCGGGTAAGTGCGCGCCTTTTATATTTTTATATTGAAGTATTGATCAAATATGACAATCACATGTGTTACAGAAATCTCTTCGCCAAACTGCATGGAAGACGATTTTACGGGGCAATTTGCAGGCTTACACTGCAACTAAGAATCGGCATGGCAACAAGGCAACACTGCCGCTTTCTCTATATGCTGCAGTGATGGTAAGTCTTGCTCTTGAAATCTTTGTATCATCTTACTGAAGTCGGATACTTGGAACTCTTTCAGGATGCGGTCATGTCAAATTCCACTTCCTGGAAGAAAAGGTTACTTCCACGTGGTTATGGCAAGAATCCCAAAACCGCACATGTCAAGGCCCTCAAGACATTATTAAATGTGGTTTTGAAAGAAGTGCGAAAGGAATTTGAGAAAAATGTATGTTTTTTCCTCTTCTTTTGATTTACGTTCTGACCGTTTGATTTTGCATTGCAGCTTCTCGAAAATATTCAACTGCCCGGCCGACGCGCCACCGTAGGCAATGGGAGTGTACCATCGCTCAATACAATTATCGCCAATGTAAGCCCCAGTCATTCATTGCAACTCAATTGAAGCTGACTGGTTTGACATAGCTTCACGATAAAGCAACCGGTCAAATAGGTGGTCGAGTGCCAGTTTGCAATGACGAGCAGGTAGGACATCTTCAACAGGCTTGATATGCTTACATTGTACGTCCAATGTATCCTCCACTCAGAGAGACATTTTTAATTTGTTTACGGTTTTTATTTATCTCACCTCAGAGGATGCAAGCCTGTCATTGGGGCTTTTACAAGAAAGAATACAAGGACGGTGCGACCCTTTGGAGCGTTGTGGACGAAAAATTAGAACTTTTGCGAGCTCAAAGCAGTAGGTATGGACACGCGTAAGTAATCTCTCTTCTGTACATAGAATTGAAATGGTAATCTTGCTGATTACCAATTTGTATCAGGTTCGCCATTCAGTGTTTAACGGAAGACAATGAGATATTCAAGGGCAAGAAGACGTTGGCGGAAATCAGACCCCTCACCTCATTCCCACTTCCAAATGAGACTGACATCTGTGAAATTATGGATCATCTTGATGAAACTTGGGGTGATAATGTGCCCGAGCAACAAGCACTTCATGAAATGACCTTCCGTGCGGAAGATAAAGTAGACGATGAAGTAGATGATGATAATAATGATGACGATGAACAATTAGATGATGACGATGAACAATTAGATGATGACGACGAACAATTAGATGACAAAGATGAACAATCAGATGAAGAAATCGATGAGGATGCGGGGTTTGATGACGAAGAATAAGCTGAGAAGTTCTGTTATGTATGGTATAGTATCACTTTCTTCCTTCATGTATCATTTTCATTTTCTCTATCTTTATCTCTTTATTTCTTCATTCCTTTGTATTGTTAACCAGAACATATGGTATAGTATCACTTTCTTCCTTCTTTTATCATGTATGATTTTCATCCTTTTTTACTACTTGTATGTATCATTTTGTCCATTTGTTATCATGTGAATCAAAGGCCTGGCCAGTCTGCTATGTTCTTTGAGCCAAGTGACAGTGACACCCACAGCGCGAGCAAGAGCAAAAATGCTGGACCGCTGCAGTTGTGAGTTGAAACCTCAAAATCGGTGTTCACACGGTGTGCAACTTAGGCCAAACTCGGTGTATATGCAGGGTAAAACCTGGAACATAAAACCGGTTTATATCCTGATGGGCGGAGGATAGTTGAAACACGGTTTTGGCCTCACCAAGCCAAAACCGTTTGTTAACCGAAAATTATGAACGGTTGCCAACCCGTTTTGGGGGGTTCGTGGTGTATCCGTATCTGCTACCTCATGCGCTTGTGAGCGTACATTCTTGGCGGCTGCCAATGTTTGTACCCTAGTCTCCTTCCCAAAACAATGGAGCAGCTAGTTGGTTCTCAAGCCTAGTTGAAAGAGGGCATTGTGCCCGATGGATCTTTTGAAGAGGCTTCAAGGGCTCTTCAAGTGTATTTAGATGGACTTGCAAAGAAGAAAGTTAAAGCTACAGATAAACCGGTAAAAAGAAAGGCTAAGAATTCACATTTCACATTCCCAATCAATCAAAGGTCTTGATTCTTTCCATTCTACTCACATTTTGGTGGAGTTAAATTTGTCAAACTTTCTGTTTCACATACCCCCCAGCCTACACTCCTATCTCTTCAAGCCCTATATGCCTGAACTGTGTGACACATAGGTTTTTTCTTGAAATTGAATCTTTGAATACTTTTTTGTGCCATATTGCCGCTATATAGCGCTATTGGGGCGGTTTAACCGCTCCGATATCTTGAGAGTTTTTTTCAAAAAAATATCGGAGTGATATTGCTTCTGTCATAGCGGTAATGCCGCTCCAATACATGGATGGGGTGAAATTGGTACTATCGGAGCAATTCCGGTATCGATGTCACTCTATCAACTCATTAACTTAACAAAGTCCCTCTTGGGGCGTCCCTTGGAGCCTTCAGAGAGGGAATGACTAATTGTTGTTTTTTGGCTTGAGAGCTCCACTGCTTAAGTCCTCTTAAGTTGTTTTTTGCATTTTCTCACTTGCCTCCTTTATATATCCAACTGTTGGTCATTATTAAAATTGTTCAGTATCATCTTCTACACATCCTTGTACCCTCATAATTTGGGGAATGTGGTTGGTGTGTTCTACCACGTCCTTGGTAGGATTTTACAACACCGGCTCGAATTGTGACTTTTGGACATGGTTAGGTCCTCCAAATCACTTTACAGTGTGAATCCAGGCTGCAATCCTACTTACAAGTCAGACATAAGCACTTGAAAAAGGAGCCCACAATAAGCACTGCCAACATAGATGCCTTGGGTTGCGGAATCCGAGGCATCATCGGAGGTAAAACCTCGGACAAGGTCTGTCGGAGGTTTTTGTCCAAGGTAATCTTCTGCGCTGGGAATTGCCTCGGATCAAAACCTCGCACAGCTTCTGTCGGAGGTTGGTAATCCAATAATACCTCGGATTGAAAAATCCAAGGTAAATATGTTGGCGGTGAAGACTTTTGGGGCATTTTTACTGCAATCATGAAGGCTCAACAGTTTTTTTTAAATGAGTTTATTTCTAGTGCAATACCTGGCCCTAGGGCATAAAAACACACTGTGAGAAAGTGGTGACAACATGAGTAAAAACAGAGCTGGACATGGAATGTTGTGCGTCAATTGTAGAACAAGGTGTTCCGGCGCTGGGCAATGTGAGAAAAAGAGAAAATCAAAGGAAAAAAAAACAAGCAGCTGAGGAAAGAAATTACAGGACAAAACATGGTACAATTGTGGCGTCAGGTGGTAGCTAAGCAGTAGCGAATCACGGTTGGAGCATTGACTAAGAATCGGCAGGATCTCTACACATGTAGAAGATGAGACTGAACAACATTGATAATGACAAGCAGTTGGATTTATTGAGGAAGGAAGCGGGAATATGCAAAAGACAACTTAATACACCATGTCGGTATCCTTGTAGCACGTCGACGTGCACACACGGAGAGTTTTGAAAAAAAACAGAAAGCTGTTTGGTAGGCTTTAGTCTGAGATCGGTGCCGAGCACCCTTTGTGAATGACAATTTGACAAAAGAATTTGTGGGATCCTTTGTCAGCAGTTGGGGTCAACTGAGTGCCAACGTCCCAGTTGACAAAGGGAAGACATGCCTATTGTGGAGACCTCTTTAATGGGTCTTTCAAGTATGTATTGAAAGTATTTGGTGTGTGCACGTGGACGTGCTACACGGATACGGACACGGTGATAGGACATAAACGGTGGAGCTCTCAAGCCAAAAACGACGATTAGTCGTAAGTCCCTCTCCGCAGGCTCCGAGGGACTTTGTTAAGTTAAATCAACTCATCAGTGCTGGTCAACACTAATAGAACACCAATGACTCGAGGCAATACAGACATGGTGGGTCTGATGAGGCTTGTATTACTTAGAAAATCACAATCTCGGCTTCATTATGTTGGCTCATCAAGAATTGTCGGACTTGGCTCGCATAGTCAGACCCAGTACACTATCTTATCTTAAAAGATATCCAGCCTACCATTATATAAGAAACTGGCATTCAAAGACTGGGACGAAACTAGTAGTCAAAGACTGAGTACACTTATCCGTGAACAACTAGTGAGATTTGGTTGGGGCCAAAGCAGGGTAGTCAGAGGCATAAAGTGGATAACGGCTTGACCGAGGTATCGAAGCTCCGGGCTAGCCCATAAGGCCACAAGGCATAGAGCATCGAAAGGGGCGTAAGAGAGCATATGTAAAATGTAGTAATTTGCGCATCAAGACATCGATTAAATTTCTTTCTTTGACACAGTACCACGTAGAAGACCAGTACGACGAGCAGCAATGAGACCGGCTTTTTGACCAGACACTGCGTTTCGAGAGATGGTAGAAGCATGACCGATGTGTTGGTGGTTACCACCACCGTCTGAAATGCAAACACAAGCAAAACAGCATTGAAGTCAGTATGGGCAATGTTGATCAGCATCAGCAGAAAGAACGTACGAGGATGATCGACGGGGTTCATAGCCACACCACGAGTCTTAGGCCAGCAGTTACGTTTGACCCTGTATTTATGGTAGGCACGACCGGCCTTGAGCATGGGTTTGTCTAAATGTTGAATCAAGTCAAGTGGGTCAGAGGCCATTGGGATCTTCACGATTCCTGATGCTCGCCATAATGAGTAACGGTCTGTGCAACTTACCAACACGACTGCCACCAGCGATGATACCAATAGTGGCACGAGAGCCGCTCGCAACGGTTTTCTTGGTGCCACTTGGAAGTCGCACCCGCGTCTTGCCTGTCTCGGGATCGTGACCGATGACGGTGGCGTAATTGCCGGAGGTTCTTGCGAGGCTTCCACGGTCCCCGGGCTTCTCCTCGACATTGCAAATGATGGTACCTTCAGGGAGAGATCCTACGGGAAGGACGTTTCCGACGGCTAAGCTGGCTTTCTTTCCGCAGTAAATGAATGAACCGGTAGATAGTCCTTCGGTGGCAATGAAGGTTTCGGTTCGCATCTTGTACCGGTATGGATCACGGAAGACAACACGAGCGAGAGGTGCACCACTAAGAAAATTACAGGTAAGCGATGTCAGAGTTTCCGGTGCTCGAGGTGATTCTGCTATAATCTTGCTTACCGTCCCGGTTCATGGACGATCTCCTTTACCAGACCACGGATGTAACCATTGCGTTCTGCGTAGTCAAGTGGTCGGAAGGCAGCCGGAGCGATCCTGTGCTTTTGGTGAGCCCTGAAAATACCACCACTCTTACGTTGATTTCGGATAACTAGAGTACAATATCAAAGAGGATTGTTAGCAAGAGGGATGATATAACGACTCTTGTAGCCATGCGTACCTCGACCCATTTTCGGCGACACGTGAGAGGTAGGATGAGTGTTATTGGGTGAGCTAGAAGGAGACGGGGAGTAAATGGATCCAGAGTTTCCAGTTAGGTTACAGCGTCGGTCTAAATTTCATGTACCGGTACCCCCGTAATCTGACTCTCCTAGTATCATGCGATTAGGGCTGTCTCTGTCACAGACAATATACAGCTGTCAGCCCCTGCACTTGTGAAAGGTCTTGCACATACCTCCGTTGCACTGTTTGCCATTGCACACTCGCGCTATCACAGTCAAAACGCAGTCTCGTTCTCTTCTCAACCTGACCAAATAAAAGCGATGTGGTGCATGCTGGCTGATTCAAATGCATATGAGCATTTGTCAGTGGCACAAAAGAGTCCAAGAGCCTTCTTGCAACAAAAAATCATTGATAACCCGTCAGATGCTGATGGGTGCATGCATGCTGGTGAATTTCTGGATGCATTGCTGAAAGTCTCGCTATAGCCTTGGATCTCTAAAAGTTCATCTTAGCACTGAACGCCTTTACGTCTGTCCAGGGAAGCTTACTCCTTGTCTGCTTGGTCGTGCCCCTCACTCGCTTTGTCGCCGTGATAACACAGCAAATAGGCTCCACATAGCAAGGAGTGGATCTGATTGCTTCGCCTATCACTCAAACCACGGTGAGCTACACGCTCAACTAAGCTCCCATGCGGCCGCAAAGACCCTTGAGAGTTGAAGCTCACGCCAAATCCACGATCGATTCCAAGCCCTTCTGAGGGTCTGCCGAGCGAGGGGCTTCAGTCAAGTCTATGGGCTCGCAGGCCACGACAGGCAACCACTTGGACCCACATTCGCCGACTATGATCTCTATGGTCCACGAACCATCAGACGGTGAACTTGGGAGAGACCATTTCTGCTCTGGTTGCACGCTGGTCTTTGATCTGGTATAAAGACCTCCATCGAGACCTCCGATTGTTCAATAATCCACTCATCTACTTCACCAACTCCATTCAAGTTATCCAACTTTGTACATATTTCATTTCATCTTCCTTACTTCACACGTCTTTGCGCATTCACCTTCAGAGAAACGTTCGATATGAGATTCACCTTGATCAGCCTTGCCGTCTCGCTCAGCGCCTCAGCTGCTTATGGCTCGACTATCGGGGTCAGTAAACTCCCGCAACTTTTGTTTTTAGCCATGGGCCTCAGCCTTGAGAATTCACCCTGACGTCTTTTTGTTCACTTCAGGCACGACAAACTTCTGATGTCGACACCTCCACCCGAGTCATCAACACTAGCAACAGTAGCTCTCTCATGCCAAGCAGCAACTCAAGTAGCCCTTCGTCCAATGGCACCAACGTGAACAACAGTAGCTCTCCTCTCCCAAGCAGCAACTCAAGCAGTCCTTCGACCAATGGCACTTCGAGCGTGAATGGTACAGCCACCCCATCCAAAGACTCTATTCAAGCCAAGATTGATAAATTGGAGGCCAAAATTGCCAAATATAAAAAGGAAATTGCTCATGAAGAAGAGAAGCTCGCCAAACTAAAAGCCAAGAAACAGGATGAGGGTCATGGCAAAAAGGTTTGTGTTCATTTTCTGGAATTCTATTTTTTCATACATTTGATTTCTTTACTGAAATTGTGTCAACGCTGCAATTGGTTAGGATGACAAGAAAAGTCCGGATGACAAGAAGAGTCACGACGGCAAGAAAAGCCATGATGAGAAGAAACCCAAAGAGCACGGTAAGCCTGGCAAGGACGCCGACAAACCAGCCCCCGCGAAGAACGGGACATCAACTGATCCTATGACAAACGGTACATCAACTGGTCTTGCGGCAAACGGAACATCAACTGGTCTTACGACAAATGGTACATCAACTGATCCTACAGCAAACGGGACAGCAATTGTTTCACCCGCCTCAGGTGCAGCAACCAATAAAACGGGATAGCCTAAGGATCTGTGATTTGATTGCCACCTTACCAGTTCATCTTTCATGTTCTCTTGTTTTCTTTCTACTGCTCATTTGAGCTATCTCTTCTGATTAGCCTGCCCGGCCCTTTGCTTTTCTTCGAAATTGTAGACCACGTTAATCCTTGTTTTTGAGAATTTTGAACTCTCCACCTTGCTTCCCCGATTCGTCCTCAGCCTGACCAATTGATGAGCTCAGTCGTGTATGATCAGCACTTTTTATTCACTTGCCTCCTCTCAGATGTTCTTCTTGAGCCCTATCGGTTCACCTCCTCTCCCTCGTGTCCATCTCCGTATGGGCACCCCAAACAGGCGCCTTTCTTAGACCTCGGTTGTATTAGAGTCACATTGTTCTTGGAGGATTTGTGATTCCAGCTGAAAGCCAATTGTAGTATGTACATTCATGGGTAAGACACAAAAACTGGAATATTGAAAATAAATCTCTTCCCAAGACATCATTTGAAAAACGATTGGATGCCCTGACCGATAATTTTCGATGCATATGCAGCACTTTGACCTTGGCTTTCGGGTTGAAGTTTCCATAGGCTCGCATTCTTGAGTATCATTTCTAGCACCGGTAACACAGGTTTGGCAATTGCTTGCAGTGAGTTCTACGGATGAATTGGCTAGCAAAGAAGAGGCCCAAAATCTCAACCTTTTCTGCAACTTGTTAAGAAATTACATGCAGCAGAATAGATGCATTTGGTTGTCTGATGTGTTGGTGGTTTCAACTATCTTGCACCTACAATCTCCGACAGATTTAAGTCATTTGATGTCGAAATCTTGAAGATGTTGAGTAAGGTCTTGAAAGGTGACTGGCCAGTATTTGTTTTTTCCTCACTTTGTTCAGCAGAAAGATGGTAGTGAACGCGCTCGCAAAGGGGCTCAGTTAAGCTTGGCAGCGACAAGTCCTAGCTTAGCGTTATGTCCTTCACGTCTCACCAACAAATTTCTGAGCTTTGGTGCAGTCATGAGTCATGACGTGGTGAGAAGCTGTGAGGAGTGTAAAGATACATTCTGATACATCGTATGCAGTAAAGAAGGAAGAAGGCGGAAGAAAATATCCCAGAGGGGAACATGCATACATAGATCGAGTGTCGAAAAAATTAGTCCAGGTTTCAAATCACAGTTCGATGCTGTTCGAACGATTTAAGATGCTTAACATCATGCTGATCCGTCTCTCTCCCTCAAGACACTTCTTCCCAGACCAACTTCCACAATGACTTTCCTGAAAGCACGCTGCCATAGGACTTTTAGAGGTCTCCTCGCATTTTATCTGATCTATCTCGGCGGACTTTCGATCGGCCGAAATCTCAAGCCTTTGCAAGTGAACTCAGAGAAACCAGTGACCGATTCGATCCTACCTACACTTGGAGTCCGGCGAGAACCCAACCGGCGGCTTGGAACAAGCATTCGGCTAGCAAGACACTTTGGGAATCGGCTTGATAAGCGCTCATCGGAAGCGATACCCGTTGTCGAAACGGCGGTAGAAGATCTATCTTTCGGTTCGGAGATCAAGAATCCAATAGGCTTGATCTACGATCCATTAGGTCTACAGGCCGATTTACTGAACAAGAAAACACCTTCATCGCCTGCTATTTCCTCGGAACAGCCACTGCGGACCGGGCGAGGGGGCGACTCCTATTCATATAGTTCACTTGAGTCGCCTATTCTGTCCCACAATTCTCAATGGCATGAAGCGCACAGAAATCCATCCTCCGCCTTGAGTCAACCTAGAACGTCCCACGCCGCCGAGGTCACAGCCACCAAAGGTAATTCTGACCCAGGTTTCACAATGATACACGTCTGGCTTACCCACTTTTTTCATTTCGACCTCTGCGTCGAATCGCCTATACATCTGCAGTTGCTCTATTCCAACCTCAAGAAGTCGGGTTTCGCCTCACAGAATATCTACCTGTCCCTGATTGGGAAGCTCTTGGGCGTAGATTTGAGGATATCACAGAGCGTTGGCACACCTTGAATGTCGAGATCGAAGAGGATCGTCGAGCCCTTGGCTTCATCCACGACGATCCCTTCGCACCCGAAGTTCATGAACTAGCACTGAGAAGCGCGGAAGAGCGAAAGGAAGAAGTTGAACGGATAGCTCAGGCCCGAAGAAGCGCTCGTGCTCGCGTTTTGGCCACACGGTACAAAACAGTCCAAGATAAGCTTACCAAGGCACTAAGCAGAACTCGAAGCTTGTGGACTCGGCTAAAAGCTTCATGGCAACTTCATTCACATTCAACAATGTTCCTCACCGCTCCCAAGAATCCGGCTGTCGGTCTGGTTAATCCAACGCTCAAAATGAGTGTGTGGCTTTTTGTCTTCGATGATGCAATGCATAAATTAAGGGTTCGTAGACAAATCCGTACATAATCATCCTTTCCAACATCAGAAATGAGGCAGACTACTTGAAACTGATTATGTGATGTAACACAGCGCAATTTACCCTCGTTGAAATCTGCACATTAGCAGCGCTGTCTTCTACCGCTGGTCAACATGAAATGACTCAATTCATGTTGCATCTCTCACTCCTATGTATCCATTTGTAAAAGTGTAATAGCAGCATCAACACATGTTTTCGATAAGCGTCTCAGTCACCATAATCAAGCTTTATCTTCGAATTACTATTTTATTTATAACTTCCTGTCAAATGTCCCTGTCACACTCCTCGTCTGTAAGCTTCTGGCCCTAATATTTATCACATGTCGCGCAAAGGCCAGCTGAAACTTGGAAGAATGCAAGTTGTTGATAGTCTGTTTCGTGTATTGGCAAAAGTGATCTGATGCTCAGGTTTCCAAAAAGTTGTACCGCTGCAGCACTCAGTTTGTCAATCAAAGCGATGCTGTGAACAGACTTCCCGACTTTCAATGCACCCTGAAAAGTGTTATCGACCCGATATTTGCCTTCCAAAATGGGCCCAAAGAGCAGCTTCATTGACTTGTGATGGCGGAAACATATAGGTGCCGTGCTTGTGCAGTGATGGTCCAAATATAGAAATAAAACAATGGGTCAAATTAAATGAACCGGTTGCTGAGTTTTTGAAAGTTGTGACCTGCTTCTAAAGCCTCAAAACGCCCGCACAGAAACGTTCTTATGAATTGGGCTTCGAGAAGCACAAAGCAATGTTTGAACCGAGGGCTGTCAAACATGTTCGTAAAATGCTCATTGTAGGATTTCACATGTTGATGCCTTTGCTCCATGAACTCATCCGATTATTCATTGTTTGAATATCTTTAGTCCTTTATCAAAGCATATGAAATAGGATATCCAAAAAACCAAAATGACACTCGCACCAAGTTACTTGAAGTCATTATTATGTCGATATATGTTTTGACTTTGCTTATTTTCTCTCTCAAGCTGATATCGCTTGTTCGACTGACAGATGGACTCCAATTCATTTCCTTTATCAACGCAACACATTTATCTCTCCTTTAGTAGCCACTCTCAAGACAGAATCATGTAGGTAAAAACTGATTATAAAAACAAATTATTATAGAGTCATGTCATTGTTGACATCTGAGATCCTTTCAGGGTCTCTCCTATACAAGATTTAAAAACAATTCTGACTAAACAAATAGGGTAAGATGAATGAAGGTACGTCTTTTTGAATGATACTACAAATCTAGATAGAATTCAAACGGCATGATGATCCTTGACACTTATCATCAAATTTCAAAGTAGGTGTGTTTTCTGCGATACGGGATCTCTTGGACGTGTGCGTGTGCTTGAATATTTGAGCGTCGTCTTTTGAGTGTTTGGATCTCAGTGATAACGGAGCCTGAGGCATGCCGTTTCGTGACTGTTGGGAGTCGGACGCCCGCGTCCTTTGGTTCACCTTGAGATTCTTGGTCGCGGTGATGTTGAGCCTCACTAGGAGCAATGAGTTCATTACAAGACTGTCAAAAGGTTTCAGTTATTAATCATATAATCCTTACTGCGAACAAATCAACAAAATTTACCTTTAGTGCTCCAGTCTTTTGATGATCAAAATCATCATCCGTTGGTAGAATTTCGCTCTCGCTTTTGTTCAATGATACTGATTTTTGATGCAGACTGTGATCCATATCTTCCGGACGTGTTAAAGCTCTGGAAGTGCTACAACGAGATTTTGAAAATTCTTCTTTTCGACGTTCATCGTTTCTTTGAGCTTCTTCTAAACTAATTAATTTAGGTCTAGTATTTTCAATTCCAAACTGCATTACAGCAATCTTAAATTGAGCAAGAGGATCCTGAATTTCTTCGGGTTCACAGGGAGTTTCGATTCTTTTTGATCTTTTGAGTATTTTCTGGTTGTTTCTTGTACACTCTTCATCTATAGATTCATGTTCATTTTTAGAGACGTCATTTTTGCCTACCAAGTTATGAGTCCTCTTCTTAAGCATCTTAGTCCATGATTGTTTGTTTTCAGATTTCGAGCCTCTAGAAGAATTTAACTCGATATTTTTACATCCCACTTCTGTTGTAGATTGATTCTGTCTAGGGAAAATATGTTCAGATGATGCAAAGGTGTCTTTGATTTGAACACGTCTAGCTGTGGTGGATATAAATTCTACACATTTAGCTTTCATAATCGTGAATTTTGAATTATCATCTTCAACGCTTCGAGATTTAGAGGGGCTTTGTTGATCGGTTTGAACTGAATGAAGACTGGACCCCGTCTTAGAACTGTCAAAGCGATCAAGGTTTTGATTCGGATCGTTGATATCCTCCAGCTCTGGAACTGACTCCTTCTCAGGAAAGTATGAGACCGTACCCGTGGCTACGAAGTCTTGAGGTTTATCATTTGTACCCAGAATTACGCAGCGCTGCGAAATCCAATTGGAATTCTCAACCGTCGATGTTATTTGGGGGAGATCAGATGATGATGCAGTAGGCCTCAAAGTTGATGGCGGGTAGTTTGAGGTTGAAGTAATCATAAGGGGATCTGGTTCGGTGTAAACGTCCGGAACATTGGAGGACCCTCTGCGTTTTCGTGGTGAGTTCCCCGGTGCGAGAGACCGAGATGGAGCACGTAAAAGGGAACGTGCTTTGGAGCTGGACGAGCTGCGTTGCCTCATATGGTGATGTCTTTGAAGTATTCAAGTCCTAGACAATGTACGTGGAAATGGGTTCACGAGACGTGATGAAGTCAAATGTAAGTTGGTAAAACATGTTTATGTAGAGGAAGCATGTTCTTATATTCACTGAGGAAGGCTCTGAGGAGGCATTTACGGCACTACATTGCCCAGCCGTGCTCAGCTTCAATCCTCCTCAGCTGATGAGAAACAAAGCAGCTTATAGATCTGAGGAGGATTTTCGGTTAGTTCACAAGGAAAAGCTGGAGTTGTAATGGTGACTTACCCCCAAGCCTGCGAACTTAACCAAGTCCCTCGCTGGCTCTGTGCCAAAGGCCCGAGCCCGCTGGCTCGGGGCCAGTGACACAGAGATGTGGCGTTCAGCTTAGGAGTTGGAGAGGAAATTTCGTCTCCAAACCTGACCCACTCTCTTGCTCTATTCTAGACACTTGACATTAGTCCCTTTTCCTTATAAGCGTATTCTCTACGGTTTTAAGGAATGTTTTCTTTTTCTTTTTTCTCTTAGTTATACTACTCTTCAACATTCTAAGACAATCATCTCTAGAAAAGTTTTTCAAAATATCATTCAACAAAGACTTATAAAAATAATTTTTTCTACAAAGCAAGAACACTCAAACAACCTTTTTCGAAACACTTGTGAATGAATAAAGATCAACTAGAAAGATTGATATTTAAGAAAACTTAACGTAACGAGATGGTGTCAATAGCCGTGCTCAAAGTTGACCCGGTTACAGAAAACCCGGTTGACCCAGTTGACTTTTTGGCTGTGAGCTGTCAACAAATGTCAACTTGATTCACAAAGTTACCACCAAAAAACAACTGGGTCAACTGGGTTTTCTTGAAACTGGGTCAAATTTGAGCACGGCTAATGTCGAAGCAGGAAGAAGAGAAGAAAATGGCTAGATTAGCCAAAGAAAAGGAGCAAGCAGAAGAATGTCAAAGAAGGGCGGAGTCTCGCGTACCGAAGTCAAAAGAACAAGACAAGGATTGGGTGGTAGACAGGAACCAGGAAGACCTTCAGGAAGAGCAAGATAGCAATGTGGATGCGGATGGGGAAACTGATTTGGACACAGCTGATGTGAAACCTGCGGAAGTCAAGAGGAAAGAGTTGGAAAAGATGTAGATGAGAAGAAATGAAGAGAAATGTCAGCAAGAAGAAGCTAGAAAAGGGAAAGGTCCAGCTGAAGGGATAAGTGGAACACCGATCAGTTGTTTACCTGTCAACCAAGAGAGGTTCTGCAGAGCAGAACCTCCAACAATAGACCAAAAACTACTACATAATAAAAACATAAAAAACTACTACATAATAAAAACATATCACAAATTGTTATTAAAATGACACCTCTACACTCGCAGACCAGTCAGGGTGCAATGAAATTAATTTCTCTTTGGAGAAGAGAAATCTAGAGAACAGGGACAAGTCATCCTATATAAACTACTAACTAAGGCACAATGAAAAACAATCCCTATGCTGATCACCAATTACTAAATTTTCCTAGAAACTTTAAAACACTAAAATCTCAGGCTGAGCCCCGGAACCAACTCCCCGAACCCTCGGGGAGCCGGTTCAGTCACCTTTTTTGGGACCCCAGTACATCAGGGGCCCTGTACGGTTTGGGGGCGGGGGGGGCCTAATCCTCAGACCCCCAATCTAATCCGCGGGGACCACCAGCTTCCTGCAGGTTTTAGTCATTTGGGATAGGGGTTGGGGGGCTTTTGGAAGCCGGGTTTTGATTGGTTTGGGTAGGGTTTGGGCGCCGGGGGGCCTACTGGGCGTCGGTTTGGGGTGCGGGTAGGCCATTACCCGTGTTTTTTGGGTCGGGGCTCAGGCTGACTAAAATCCGCTTATCCTTAAAATTTGATTGATATAAATTTGTTATAAGCTTAGAAACCTCAGACTCTATTCTTTCATAACTCTTTTACCTTTTTGACCAAATCTCTTTTTCTTTATCTTTTTCCGCAAGCTTTGTTGCAGATCATATAGGTAGTTCTATTTGACCAATGACCTCACTTCCAAACTCTTTTCAATAAACTATTATCAAACCTCTGCTGAAGCACGCCTGAAACAAAACTAAGACCAACTGTAGTCAATTTCAGAAGATTTATTCAGTGAGTGCACTGAATAACTAACTGGCAGCGGTAAATAATCCTGCACCTTAGACAGTTATAACTAACAATCATAACTCATCATTTTACCTTTTCCTCGCCAAGAATTTAAAGTGTTAGTCAATATATTGTAGGTTTCCAACTATAATTTGACAAAACGACTTTTGTGAGTAATATCTCAGCTTGATTCTTGAAACTTGACCCCAGTTTGAAGACCTAGACTGAAATTACCTGTAAATGGTGTGTTGAATAAAGACGTTTCATCTCTTCGTTTCATTTTCTCTTTATACCTCCTCTTCCCAATTCCACCTCATTTTGAGTTTAACACCCACGGGTGGAGCATTTGGCTGCTGAAGTGCGCCCAATAGAGCATGCAGAGTTGGGGATGAAGATGCAGGCTGCTGTAGCACCATAAGTCATGATTGGTTGTCTCTGAGTCAAGGGCTGCTGTCTAGAAGCGCCTAATGAAGACAAAACAAGAAGGCAAGAGGTAGCCGTGTAAAACCAAAGACTTGATGCTGCTTCAAGCGCTGAAATTACAAAGGACAGAGTCCTAATTAAGTCAACATATACTAGTGACCTTAGAACTCCACTTATAGAAGTCACAGACAATTGAATGCGGGAGATCTGTCTTGAAAATATTCATTAGCTATAAGCCACAAAGAGGAGATCATAGATCTGTCTAATTTTGAATCATCATATGACATGAAGCTAAGAGGTAATATGAAACTTACAAAGTTTTTGTTATGTGATGGTTTCCTTTAGCTCTTCAAGAGTTTTACAGGAAAGACCCTGGACAGTCAATGTCGGAGGCAGTGCACTCAACCTCTGAAAGTAGATTGATTCTAGAAGCCCTGACACAAGCTCTAGAGAGTCAAAACGGGCCTCCAGCCAGGGAAGCAATGGAGAAATTCAACTTGTCGTTTAGTTTGATGGTCTCAATGACATGTGATCCTCCTGCCCCCAAAGGAAAGAGTTTGATGAACACCTCAATTGTCAATCCGAGTCAAAGCCAGCCCATAGTGGTGGATCAATTGGTAGAGGCGGAATTGTCAAGGCTTCTAGCAGCAATCTTGGGATATAGACAAGCAATTGGCTCTCAGTCTAGAGAAATAAAAATCAAGTCAGAAAACTTGAAGACAAAAAGAAGTGACAAAAAGAAGTGACAAAAAGAACAATGATGGCCCAGGTGATGAACCTTCCTCTAGTGAATCAGATGTTTCAAAACCTAAAAAGAAACAGAAGAAACAGAAAGAGAAAAAGAGGGACACACCTAGCAAAGACTCCTTGTCTAGGAATTCTGACGACTTTAAGTCAAAGAAGAAAAAGAAGAGACATTCAAAGTCAAAGAAGAGGAAAGTGTCTTCTCCTCCAATGGATCCTTAGGACTCATACTCAGACAAGTCAACCTCATCAGAAGATTCTAGCTCAGATGAATTGGAAAGAGCAAAGAAAGCAGAGTTAGATTATGACTTAGTTGATTTTGATTCAGCAGACTTACCAGATTTGCCTTGTAAATGGGACAAAGGGTTTAAGCAACTCAGATCTTACGTACCTCTGACAGTCTTCAAGAAGTCTTTCTTAGATACTATAACAACAAAGATGATGAGGAGAAGGTCAAGGAGAAGAAAGACAAGTCAAAACCGTCACAGAAGGCTCTAGAAAAACAGATGATGTTTGGAGATTTTGTGGGATGTGTGATTTGGAGGAGCGCTACACGTGAGAAATCTATCAATTGGATGGCTATGCAGATTATATTGTAAGACATAAGCAAATAGTTTCAGACCTCAAGAAGAAATGCCTCTGCTGGATGGTTGGACTGCGCTATCATTTAGCGGTTAGGACAGTTGTTTTTTGCCGTCAGAAAGTCACTAAAACAAAAGTGAATGGTAAGACGGTATATAAAGATAAAATTTGTCTGCCAAAAGGTTTGCAACCAAAGGTGGAAGCAGATGTTAGGTTCTTTGCTGACAGAGCGGGAGATCTTCAATTCGAAGATAACCCGTATGCGGTAGAGGTCAGGAGTTTGGATTCAGGGCATCACCACGGTCCATGGCTGGCCGAACCAATGGCAAACCTTTTGATTAAACATGGTCTGTACCAAAAGATGAGTTGTTATCTTTTGTGTTATTTGTATTTATTTGAACACTTTCTATTCTCAATGTCTCATTTGCTCTGCCAGACCACAGACTCTGGATCAAACAACAAGACAATGGCGAAAGAAATGTGTCAACAATTTCTTGAATAACATAATTTATTGTACAAGAATGCCATGCACATTTTCTGTTTCTGCCACAAGTTGGCACTGATTGTCAATGTGGGGTTGGCTGTGCTGGGCATGCAAGCGTCACCTCTGATTAAGGTGAAGCCAGCTGATGGAGGTCACTTTCCTTCAATTGACACAATCATGGAGGAAGATGAGGAGGATGATGGGAGCAAGGAACCAAATTTAGGAGAAGATGAAGATGCAGAGCACGACCCCCAAGATCTTGATAATGATTTGCCTGTGCCTGAACCAGTTGTTCCGCAGCTTGATGACAAGGACAAATGGAACACCGCTGTGGTGAGCAGGATCTCTACTTAAGCAAATTTTTTAAAAATTATTGGAAAATTTGTATTTTTAGTCAAAGTTAAAGTTATTGTTGAAGTTATTAATCATCAAGGGTATCAAAGTTTATTTTTAATCATCAATTCATTATCTTTTCAATCATATATTTATTCCTTCATTTGATAAGAACATTTAAGAGAAAAGAAAAATTCGAAAAGATCTATAAAAATAGTATAAGAGTGAAAATTAAAATAAAATGATTAGTAAGAAGGAAATGGAAGAAGAAGAACATTTAGTTTGGGTCTTAAAGAATGAAAGAAGAAGGATAACATTAGCAAAGTTGAAGGGAATTTCAAAAATGGACAGCACTATTTGGCAACCGCTTTTTTTGAACCGACGCCCTGTCGGTTTTCGGTACTTGCCCGCGCTTTTCTTGCAAACCCGGACCTGACTCAGCCAAATTTGGCCGCAGCCGCAGCAAATCCGGGCATCAAATAACTTTCCACAGCTTTCCACTTCATTAAATTGGAAATAGGCAAACTTAACTAAGTCCCAGTCTGGACCTAACCACCAACTCCAGGGTGGTTAGGTCCAGACTGGGACTTAGTTAAGTTTGGGAAATAGGGCTCTTCATCATGGAAAACCGGGCTATGGCACCACCTCCGATCACATTTCAAACCGGGCTACCACCTCACTATCACTACATCAAGCTACAACCATCCCATCTCTCGTTCTATCCCTCTCCTGAAGCTTAGGAGAACTGACGATCGAACGTTGCATTTGAAAGGTGACCATTCAATCTGAGTCACCTAAAGATGGTAAGTGTCCTTCTCTTGGTCCCTCGATTCCATCGTATCTCGTCTGGTTCTCCTTATTCCTTCCCAGATCTCTTTCTTCACAACACAAGTACTGACAGTTCACCTCGCCTACATTACATCTACAGCAGTCAACTTTCTTTGTTTAATTCAACTCCAGTAATCGAACCGTCTTTGTCCTCATCAGATCTCCTTTCTTGGTTGCTGCCATTCCCGGAAGTATTTGGCGAGCACCACAACACAGTAATGCTTGATAGCACCAATATCTCAACTTGGATCAAAAGATATCAACATCGATTAAAAATGTGAATTGAACAAAGATGATTCAAAAATTCTGTGTGGTACTGTAATTATCATGTTTGTATGGATGATTGATGGGTTGTTGCCTAACTCTTCTCACAATCTCATTTTAATAGGCTTGTTGCTCATTGCTCACTCTTGTTGTATGTTACTTATCTCCACTCTAACACTCATTTGTTTTATTTCTATTTGTCTTATTTCTTGGGTTTTGAAGAGATTTGAAATCTAAAAGTGATCGATCGTTGTGATAAAGATACCTGTCAGTCAAGGTAAAAGTCCGTCTGCAAACCATTGCCTTTGATGAGTGAGAAAATGAGCCAATTGAATGAATGAATTGGTTGAGCGAGCATGTTCAGGCATGTTTGCTGAGCCAGCAGAATTTTCAACCAAACCGGGCAAAACTTCAATCAAATAGGGCGCTGAATACCAAGTATCCGAGCTCCGGGCATCGGGTCAAAAAAACCGGTTGCCAAATAGTGTTGTCCTTCAAAAATATGGGTATGGAAAGTTGAAAAATGGTTTTTAGGTTATTATTATGAGAGTTATTGGTTCAGGAAGGTTTTATTATGAAAGAGAAGTATAACATTAGTCATCAGCAACTTTGATCACGGGAATTGATAAGGGAGGTGTGAAATTATTCAAGAAAAGGGGTATTTTGACAAAGGGTACTATGGTATTAATTCCTGTGTAGTGATTTCATTGAAGGATTGATTGCGCCAAGAGTTTTTCAGAATGATTTTAGAGCTATATGGGTGATTGGAATGACGTGGGATGATCTTTTGATAGAAGAGAAATCATTATTAGACGTGAAAACGGTCAAATTTCATCGAAAATGGAGGTTTTCAGCTAATTACATATGTCAAAACTTGTCAGAATTGGGTGTGTAATAGTTCATTCGACACAGAATCATGGGTTTCATAATGTACAGCCTTTAAAACATTAGTAACCAGGGGTAGTGAAAAATTTATAAGGAAACAAAGAAAATGGAGTGAATTTCAAATTTGGTGGTTACATATAACATTTACATGACAAAAGCTTATTTTCTCAATGTCTACAACTCAATAACTTATTCATAACACATCGGAAATAGGTCATATGGGGGTGATAAATGATCAGTATACCAAGGGCTATCAAATGAGCTATAGTAATCCAAAATTGAACATCTTTACAAAAAATTTGTAATTCCAAAAATGGATTTCAGCTATGAATATTAGGAAAAAATCACCTGTATTCATCATAAGAAGATCTGTTCATCATTTTTTAACATCAATTGATCAAATTCACGCCTTGGATCATAACAAACAATAATATTCATGATATCATATGGTTACATTGGAGGATTTTTGTTGATTTTTGACAGTTTTTGAGGGTTTTTGGAGGCTGTTGACCATTATTGAGGATTGTTGGAGTGTTATATACTATTGTTAGGGATTCTACGTGCCTTGGTTCCCCTTTTTACTCGTCTTATACTTTTGTTAGAGTGTTTTTAATCATCATTAAATTACTTTAGCAGTACTAAGTTCACTAAATTGCCCCATTACATCAAAGGAGAGATTTCTTTACGTGTGATAAGACTACAAGTCTTCTTTGGAACAACAATATAATGGATTTTTGCTTTGCTAGTGATTAAGAGTTTGTTTTGTTGTGCTCAGATTGGAATAACACTATAGCAGTGTTGAGATTTCTTATATCCTAAAAACTCATGGGAATAATACTTGAATTAAGTATTGAGATCAATTTCTCTGGTGCCTTATCCCAAAGAACTCAGCAAAACCCCGTGTTGATTCTTTCAAAGAGGCAGTCTTAGTCAACTTCTACTAGTTAGTTATATTAGTAGATTATCCCTCTTTAAGCTCTGTAAAGCTCTTGTTGAGCTTTAGGTTCTACACCGCTGACACAGAAGAGGAAGAAAACGTCCCTGAACTCTCAACCATGGGTAAAGAATTTCTACCCACCCACCGTCAAGAAGCTAACAATCTTGACTACATTTTGCGCAAGCTGAGTCAATTTGAAGTCTCTGTAGTGTCTTTCATTCTTCAAATTTATCTGCTTTTCAATTGTGTTGACTCTATCAAAATTAACCACAGGTGGACTTAATCACGTGGCATATCACCCAATCTGCAGCCTGACGAAACAAGTTCAAATGAGTTGCAGAGCAAAAAGGTTTTACCGTCTCACTGATTGCTGGCTATGGGATCTGTTGAAACATCAAATATCAGAGCCCCCATAAAGCTTGGCTCCCCAGAGAGTTAAGCCATCAATTTTGATGTTGTCTGAGCTAGCTGACAACTTTCTCAATTTCATCATAGGTCATTGATGAACTGTGTCAAAAAGATTTGAACATGGTACATTTGAAGAATTGACTGGCACATAAAAACACCAAGCTGTATGGATACTTTCATGAGCTTGAGACGACAACATCTGAATGGGCTCAAGTCTGTAAAATCAACAATGTGCTTGAGGTGTGATTTATTATTGCCTCACTTTCATTGTCTCCTTTTCATTCTCTGTTGTTTGCTTACTCACAATGGGTTGATTTTATTTCACCTTAACATCATTTCAAGCCTGTCTTTACTACTTTACTCATGGGAGGAGAAGGCCCAATGGGCTGTATGGTGATTCCTCAATATGTGGAACTCCGCTCCTTGCTCAAAAAGAAGATCACACCTCTAAGCACCACCAATGCCCTCTACCCTATGCTTTGCAAGATGAAAGAGAAAAGCAATGACTACTTGAAAGAAGCCCTGGAATGTGAAACACTGGTGATGGCAACAGTGCTACATCCTTTCTTTTGACTGAAGTTCTTTGTGAGGTGGTTTGTCAAAGCCTATGTGGTCATTATCAACGCCAAAGCAACTTTGCAAAGGATTAATTGGGAATATGAATTAGAACATCCTGTGAATGTCACATCAAACCATGCCCCGCGGACTACAAACAGCCAGAATCCCTCAACATTGTTGCCAAGGCCAGACATCTTCTGCAAGGATTCTGAAGAGCCTGGAGATATACAGATGAAAAACTACTTACAGCAAGTGGATAAAATGAAGTCTGGTGAGTATAATGTGCAAGATTCTGCTTCTGGGCTTGAATGGTGGGAGGTGAGTCCAGCATTCTTATATTCTGTGTGCTTGTGACCAATATTAATCCGGTTCTGATCCATCTTTAGAAATATGGAAGATCTTACCGCATTCTGGCCCTCATGGCCAGAGACTATTTGGCCTCAACAGGCTTGTCATGTGCTTCTGGGCGCATTTTCTCATGTGCGTTGGATTTTTGTGCAAGTAGATGGGGTGGCCTCATTGCGAGGACAATTGAACACCTTGTATCCGGTAGGCTGTGGCTGAGGGAAGGTGTGGCGTTGAGTGAGACTTACGAGGAGCTTGCATGGGTTTTGAAATCTTTGAGAATAGTGATGACTTGATTTTTGTGTTTTTTAATGATTCTTCTGTTTATATTGTCATTTATTACTCATCATAATTCAATTTAACTAATTTAACTTTATCAAATGGGTTCTATTTTACATTTTTACACCATGTTGCATTGCATCAGTGCTGATAACACACTGTTGCATTGCACCAGAATGTTGCAGGGCATTGTTGCTGATAACAATTGTGGTGTGACTGCTGTGAGTAACACAGCAACTTACTTCATTTTTGCCTTTTCTTCAACTGCAACACTCCCAAAAGATACACCGCAACAGGTGGAAAATGGCATCAACACACCACAGAGTGGCACCCTAGCGCATTGTTGTGCTGCTTACCTGGTGTTGATCAAATCCAAAGACCATTTCTGGGTCAAAACAGTTTTTGATTTTAATCACAAACACTGGTGTTTGGCAACTTCATTTGATCAAAAACTCTTCAATTTTGAACAACAGCCCTGAGGCTGTTTTTGAGAACAAAAAGAGTTTTTGCCCTCATTTGCCCCTCTAGTTCAATTTTTTGATGATCTCTTTGGTTGAGTTTTTGGTATTTGTATGCCTGAATTTCAAGTTTTTCATTCCACCCCATGAAAAGGGGCAGATGTAAAAAGTGTTTTTGTGTAACACTTTTTGGCTAAACCAGCCAAACAGGCCCTTGGATATCACATTCCGAGCTCAGCATCAGTCAGCCCACTCTGATTTCCCCTTATGCAAACTGTCTGTCTGACCTTTCAAGCAGAAAAGGTTGCAGTTTTGTCTCTGATACCTTGCATAATTGTTGATTAATCAATCTTCACACCCTTTTGCGATAACAGTTGATCAGCTCTTTGCAAGCTACATCAAACAAGACATATGATTCAAAGGTGTTTTAGCGTAAAACTTCAATCACACACACATCAACTTGATTCGGTCCATTTTTTTGTTCTCCATTCAAGAGAATTAAGATGTTTGAACACAGATTTAAATTTGGGAAACAATATCAACTATGCATTTTTCATTCAAGTCTTCAAGCTTGCAATATCTCGTTTCAATATCTCGTTTCAATTTCTTAAACCAAAACATGAAAATGCACCTTTTGATTGGATTTTTCCAATATTCATTTGTTTGCTGCCCCTACTCTTAAATTCTCATCTGGGAGTGGCGGGCCAAGGAGGGAGGACAGGATGGGGCTTATTCGGTTTTGCCCTGTTTTACCGTTGGTAGAATCATGGTTTGTGTGGCTAGCAAACATTGTTTTGGATTACCAAAACCTCTCCACTCAACGATTCAATACTATACACACGCTTCAATCCAGAAAAGAACGGATTTGATCAAAAACCCACAAACAATGCATGCAGGTCTCATTCAGGTCACATGTCCTTCTTTGAATAAGTTACAAAGACTAAAAGTACAAATTAAAGCAAGAACAAACAATGCAAGAGTGAAAGAAATATCACAACTGTCTTTTGGTTGAATAGACATACTGGTACAATGATTTTTAAATGATGAATGATGAACTGCGTAGATATTGAGAGATTATAACAAAAAACGAGACCACTAAACCCGGATGAAACAACTGATATAACTTTAAGCTAAAAGAACACAAAGATGAATGAAAAACGAAAAAAAATGTTCAACTAGCGTAGGATACAACATGCTACATATCAAGCAACCCCAAACCAAAGCAGAAGTTAAAGTATAATTGATGGCCATAAGACCTCTATTTATGCTTTTTAGGAACGTTCATCGCACTGGTATTGACATCTCGTAAAATTGGGGCCGAGATGGAGTCGATTGAGATTTTCAGCCGATGAGCTGGACCAGCGTTTGAAGCTCCAAAGCCCTTTGCCAGGTTTTTTCGAGGCGGAGTAGAGTAACAGGTGTGAGAGGTCTCCTTTGATGCAACGTAGTCGTCAGGAGAGCCTCCGACGATGCGACGACCTCTGAAGTAGCTGGGAGAGGCCAAGGAAGCTTCAGCCGAAGCTGGGGATGAGCCCGAGGAAGCGAGAGGGGGTAGTGACTCTCCAAAAGGTGAAGTCGCGGCGGCTAGATCCCTCTCCTGGCCGCGACTGTTGTCGGGACACCATGGGCTTCCTAATACACCCAAGGCGCCAGAAGCTTGGGAGATCTGTCCGCTGACAGCAACGTCGGCCTTCCCAGCAGCGCGACTTGGTAGCGCTTCTTCGAGAGTCCCAAGCCATCCGGCTCGACGTGGAGGCCTGAGAGGAGCCTCGCCACAGCACGAGAAATCTAATCCGTCACCATTGTCGGCCTCTTTGTCATCCAGGTGAAATAATCGACTGAACGGCCCTGGTAACGAGCGGGCGAGACTGTTGCCGCGACGTCGACGGGTCTCATCTTCACCTTTGACGAGTCCGGTGGAACTAGGACTGGAGCGGGTCCTAGATGGTTTAGCTGGCGGCGTGCTCATCATCCGATCTACCGAGTGGTGTCTAGGAAGAGGTTGATTGATCTATTCAAGATTATACGTGAAACCATCAGACTTTTGAATCATTCCACCTCAATCTCGACAAGGTTCGGTACTCACATTTGAGGGATTTTTCCCATGGCTTGTTCCAGCCACGCCGTTGACTGAAGAGACAGGCGTGTTCTCTTTGCCCAGTGGAGAGATAGCTACAGCGGTTTGAGAAGCCGGGGATGAAAATGAACGTGTGGAGTTCATGTTGGGTTTATTTTGGCGGGCTGGAAGTTATGATGAGGGTCATTTTGATATAGAATGAATGTGACGTAATTGGATGTCAGCGATGTCTCAACAAAGGTTGCGTCTTGCAGGAAGACAGAGATTCGCAAGACAAAGGGGGAGGGAGAATATCAATAGCTCACGGGTTGAGGTTTTGTGTGTAAGGGTGGTATGATAGTACAAGATGGAGGAATGATGTGATGGGATAGAGTGTCTTGCGGCGTGAGTGGTTAGGTCGTTGTTATAATTTGATTTTGTTTTTTCAAGAAAAAGCGTCAAGAAAATCAAGAATTGAAGTAAACGTGTTGATAAGGTTTGAGGAATTTTTCCAAGATGAGAGTGAAGGAATGAAAGGTTTAAATATTTCTCCAATTCGAAAGCTTTTTTATTGAATCTCAATTTAGATCCCAATAGGCACCAGGAACTATCAAGCCATCTCGAAAACTCAATGACACGATGAAGTTGAGATGCCATGAAAAGTTTATAATCCTCACTGATCATCGATTTGCACTGATATCATATTCCGAGCTCAGCATCGGTCAACCTCCTGATACTTGCACTCATGCAAATTTGAATTTTGTATCTGTGCTCTCGAAAAGAAAACGTTGAAATTATGTGCCTGATGCCTTGCATAATTCTTGATCAAACAGTCCAATATCTTATTCCGACAAAAGTGGATCAGTTGTTCAAAAGCTGAAGAATAGATCCTTCAATGCAAAACTTCAAGGCCCGGGAATCATTCAAGGATCTAAACTTGAGAATGTAATCGCGGCAAGACCTTCTTCTCATGGCCCATGTATGCCGGAATTTGTCCCTCATACTCATGCATATATGATATGCAGATGAAGGAAATGTATGTAAAATATGGTCTCCTTCGAGTATGACGTTTGATAATCAATCAACCGCCATTATAGTCATCTGCACCCCAAAAATTTGATCCAATGTCCCAAACCCAAGCTCTCACAGGCTACGTTTCCTGTTGAGTTTCTCAAATCAAACGCTCACTTTGATAGGCTCGGTGAACTTTTCATATGCACCCACCTTTATCCGATCTGTTATGGAACTCGTACTACCTCAGGGACTTTCAAACTCTTTTGAAGAAGATTTCGATCGAACAAAACTCTGCAAAAAGAATACAACACCCCTACTCGATTTCTCATTTGTTTGAATCTCAATTGCATTTTCGTTTCAATTTTTTTGGTCGATGTTCCTTCCTCCATTCTGCAGCTTTTTTTATTTTCTTAATATATATAGTATAATATAATATGGGGAGCTGTATTTTTACACCACCACCTTTACACCGGATCACCCGGTGTAAAGTCGTATTGGTGTAAAAATAAATAAAAGGGGGTGTAAATTCGAATTTTACACCCAATTTTTTTTTTGACAGTTCGTGTAAAAAGAGTCAATGTAAAATATGCAGTGTAAAAATGAGGCATCCCGGCGCAGTATTTAATTTTACACCGTAAAGTTTACACCGACACCCAGCGGTGTAAAAAAAGACGGTGCCAAAATCAGGTTTGGCATCCAAAATCGTAATTTTACGCTATCAGGAGCCTTACACCGGTTTATTCGGTGCAAGGGCAGCTGTGTAAAATTCCCAAACATCTCAAAATTTTTGATTTTTACACTCCCAATGAATCCTACTTTTACACCGACAAGATAGAATCGTAAAAATCATGACAGAAAAGAAACCAACACCGGACTGACTGAAACAACTATGGATAAAACAAACATGTATAACCAAAGACCACGAAAGAAACATTAGATAGACAAATTTTGTCAGTCAACTATTCTGCGCTTCAGTCAACTATTTTGCGCTCCGTTCCGTGTGTTTGAACTCTGACTGCTGACTCAAGGACATGCATGTATTCGATTGCCATTTATTTCAAAGAAAAACACAAACTTTGACAAGAATCCATCCTACACAGGAGTGAAAAAACAAAAAAAAACCATCTCCACCCTAATTTTGTCTCCTACTTTTGCGCTGTGACTTCCGCAAGCCACCTGTGTCGGCAGCAGGAGGGCTTTCAGGAGTTGGCTCCTCTGCTTCTGTAACTATAACGTATTCATAACCCTTATACTTCTTTAAATCTTTTGCTGAACAAGAAATGAACAAATGAGTCCAACATCACTTTACCCAAATATTTCAAACAATACAATCACGACTTACCTTGTGGCTTGCTTTTTCCAGCAGTCCACTTGGCTCTTCTTCTGTTGGTACTTCTGCATCAAAAGCCAATTCGTCTACTTCGTCCTCGCACTCTATAGGAATATCCTCCAATATTTCCTGAACCTCTTCGACGTGAGTCAAAGTCTTGTCGGTAGTCGCAGTGGTTTCTTCCGCAGTGGTTCCATCTAGCTGAGTTTTTTCCTTCAAAGGAAGCGACCCTCCAAAAGGGTAATTATCTGAGGGCATCGTAAAGGGTATGGTCTGCGTATGTTGAGGAAAACTTTTCATCATTTCCCGTATGCTTTTTTCGATATGTTTCTTTTCTTCTGCGAAGGGCATGCGGGAATAACAGACCCAGCTTGTGTGTGGCTCACACCCAGCAATAGTTGCAACATTTCGGTCTAAAAGCTGAGCACGTCCAGCGTTCCTGAGTTCATTGTAATGCCATACACCCATGATTCCCTCCACTGACCGTACCACTTTGCACCAATAATGACTGTTGGCCCAAAATCCACGTGTCACCATCATATATTCCACGCCACCAATCATGATACGTGCTGGCCAATCCGTGTCACCCATGTAGCTTTCACGCATTTCGTGGGTCATCGCTCCAACCCCGTCTAAGTGGAAGTAAAGGTGTAAAGGCGCAGATTTGCGGTCTGTTAAGTGAATCTTGAGGGTCTGTTCTAGCATTGACTTTTTTTCTTCAGATTCCTCCGGTTCGGGTGAGTTGCATCTTCCTTGATCATCTTCTTCCGCAGGTTCGTCGTCCACATCCACATTCACTACGTTACCACGACTGGTTCGTTCCGAAGGATGACATTTCCGGCAGACCATATCACTTCCTGCAGTGAGACCTTGCGACTGCCATAAATCTATCAATTGACCTAGCTCGGAATGTCGCAGTCCAGCATCCCGAAAATTCGAGGGAAATAATGCAAGACACACTCGAGATGAAATGGACGTGGTTGAATGTTTGGCTTCGCGAAAACACGTCGTGACCTTGCGGAAAGGAATTTCAAAGAGAGGACGAAGAGAAATTTTGCCAGGGCGGAGTAGTTCGTCCATGAAGCCATTGGCTGAAGCAAATTCACCAGCTGGGAAGGAGGCCGAAGGGAGAGCCTTGTGAATCAACGTTTGATGATTTGACAGAACGGCGAGGATGTTATCTCCATCGTTGGTTTGGACAGTACATCGATTGGTGAGATGTCAATAAAGGATATGCACCAAAGTGCTACCGTTGACCGTGGCATACCGGCTCCATAGTGGGCCAAAAAGAGCATACAGGCACTCCAGCGTCGAGCTCTGCCAACAGCGGTTCCTGGATGCTTTCGTGGTACCTTTCGTGTATGATTGGTAAGTCGAAAGAGGAGCACGGTTTACGTTTTGTGACCCTTTAGGCCGTCCTGGCCCCTTCTTCTTGACTTCAGAGCGTTTCTTCGATTTGGTTATACCCAGGAGCTCCTTGGTGGTGTCAGGAGCTCGGCCGTCGTTGCCTTCACTTTTGTATTTTCGCTTGGTCGGTTTCGCCATACCCATGTTAGTGACTACAGTTTCCCAATTCTTCTTGGACACGCCGTAAGTCACGGTACACCCTTGCTGGACCTGCCTATAATCGTGTTCTAAACTTTGCACAAGGGCGAAAAGCTGAACAAATCCAGGTATGATAGCACATTTGCCTGGGCTACATTGACAAATTTGCAATCAATCAGCTTATGGATTTGTATTCAAAGACAAAAACACGAGAATAGTCCACTTACCAAAGCAGATAATACACACGGTGCATGGATTCCTGCGCGTTTGTTGTTCCAGGTAATTCAGGCCGTCTGCGAGGTCCTTGATCTTCCTCAACATTGTCGTCATCTTCTTCACCAGGAAGGGGAGGGTCATCTAAGGGTAAACGTTTCCTTGAAGGAAATAACATTGCCTGTATATCCGACGCTTTCCACCAATCCAACCACTTCTTCGCCCGTGGAAACAATTGGTACAAATTCTGAAACTTTTCGTCGAGAGTATCACCTCCGGGTTCATCATGTTCAAGGAGACTTTTGCATCGACTTACCCAGCGGACCTACGTGAACATAAAGCCTAGTCAGCACGTGCAAGTGTAAGTTGCATTGACTGTGTGAAGGAACTTACATCTTGATCCACTGGAACTATTGAGCTGTTCTTTTTGATTCGAGTCACAGCCGCCATGAAATGCTGTTTACAACCGTGCAGCTTGGAAAGCGCCTCAACTTTGTCACTGCCTCTGAACACCTCCATGTACGCCTCAATAAATCCATTCCTCTGAGCTAGCGAGAAATCTACTACCTGCTCAAGAAGCCTTCTCGTCTGGTTTTCGGATTTCGAAGTTTGGTCGATGATGGTGAACAACGTCTTGAAATGGGCCTTGTAATGATGAGTAGAAAGACCCTTCAAGAAGGTCAAAAGCACAGGGACCCATCGTTCCAGTTTTCCGTTGTACATTGAGGTAGTTAAAAGATAACCGTTGAGGAAAAAGCAATAGGTGACGTCCGAGAGTAGGCCACCTGAGTATGACTCGCCGCTTTTGCTTTCGTACAACAGAACCTCCTCCATCCAGGCACCCTGAAAAGAAATATGAATCTCTTCAATTTTCAGCGACGAGGAGACTAGTCGCATCCCCTGCCTGATAAACAAAATCATTATTAATCAGGGTCATTATCATTGAGTTAATGACAAATAACTCATTCACTTACTTTCCCCAATGCTCGAGTTTGGTCAGCCATCTATCTGCCCCGTCGGGGTCCTGGTTATCAGGCATAAGCTCGTTTTTGACGAGGATGTCGCGTCGCAAGTAGCCGAGGCGGTCAATATGACCAAACGAGGAATGTATGTTGGCCACTGACTGAATGGGATTCTTTGACGCGTTTGCCCGCCCAACCTTAAGAAGAATTGGGAGTTAGTACTATTACTGATGTGCTACAAAGTAATAAGCAAAGAAAAAGCATACCTTGAGGCCCAAAGGTCCCGTCTTGGGGTCGTTGATAACCATCTCTTTCAGCTTAGCCTTGGAAATTCGGTCAGCCTTCTTAGCCTCCGGCCAGACGTGGTTGTGTCGGCCTTGATGTCGTAGTAATTGCCAATGAGTCGATTTCTCTTCATCAAATCGACAGCGGGCATCACATGGAACATGGATGCGTAGGCCATCGCAATCGGACACTGGACAGTTAGGGAATCTAATGTTGCACATTAGAATCATTCAGAAATGAAGATGGAAGTAGGAAATCAGTACTTACTTCCCTAAGAGTGCAGGTATGGCCTTGTAGCCAGTTGGTGGTGACCCGGCAAGGCGGCAGTTTGGATCGGTGCATCCGATCACACCAAGGCAGTAAAATCGACGGACTCTCCAGAGGGGGTGCTTGGAATCGGTGCGCATCGTGTGAGTCCAAGCCACAAACCCGAAGTTCGTCACCTTTTCTTCGGGGTGTAAGACGAAGATGGTGTTTCCGTTGGGATATGTCGGGTATCCTTGATCATCTACTTGACTATCATCGTCAATGAAGGTTGAAAACGCCGCTTTGTTGGTAGGTAGCTGGAGTTGTGGGTGACCTTTCCCAATGGTGATTGGGAAATCCACATCTTCATCGGAGGCGTCATCAGGAGGCTTGGTTGTAGGTTGCCTCGACTTGGCATCCTGCTTCTGTGGCTTCGGCTTCTGCTCCTTCGAGCCGTGGTCTTTGTCTTCCAAGTCGTTGATGACACTTTCAAGGTCAGAAACGTTTTGACTAGGGCGCTTTGATGACTGGTATTCCACAGTCTCGGAAAGCGTATCGGCTTGGTCCACCTTCTTTTTAGACTTTTTAGATCGAGATTTCTTCTTGGTTTTTTTCGATTCTTTTTTGGTTTCTGAATCCGGCTTCGAGGGTTCCTTCGTTCTGGTTTTTTTTTTGGGTTTTCTTGGTGATTTTGGGGATTTTGGAAAAGAAGATCAACAGCTAGTATCAGAGTCCGTCATTGTTGGGGTTGGAGATGAGGGAGTTTGATTCGTTTGGTGTTCTGCAGGCACAAATGAATCTGGAGCAAGGATGTCTTTGAGATTGAAGGACTGATTGTCAACTCCGGATGACAACCAGGACCGTCGTTGTTGAATTGATGGCCGCTCAGAAGAAACTTCCGATGTTTCTTTCAATGGCAAGCCATCATCAGTCTCTTCGGACCGTGATGTTGATTGACCCATAACGACAATAGAAGATGTAGTTGACAAGGACCAAAGCGGAATCCGCTTTGGTGAAATTGTAAGTGTAAGGCTTCAACGACGACAGCAATAGTCGAAAGACTCCAGAAGGGGATGCTGGGCAGTTCTAAGATGAGATGGGTCGTGCTAAAAGTAGGTATGTTGATGTGGAAGTCGTCACGTTTGGTTCTCTTAGTTCAGCAGGGTTCATCACATTTCGTCGTCATGTGGAATAGGTGGATTTGTGAATTCTCACGGATATGATGTGGCTTCACATTCATACAAATGTGGTATGGTTATGTATATCTGGTGTTTGGCTGCTGTGTCAGGTATCGTCATCTGACTCCGGCATATATGGGTGGGTGGGTGCGTTTAACGTGCGATTAGGTATATGCAGTGGTGTAAGTCGTGAGGTGTAAAATTGTGATTCTCACGGTGAGATCGGAATTTTACACCCTTGCTTGTTGCACCACATTATCCGGTGTAAATTTCAAGAACCCCGCCGGGCCCATTGTATTTACACTGTATTTTTTTACACCGCTGGTTGTCAGTGTGCTGGTTGTCAGTGTAAAACCTTTGCTAAAAAGGTTGACCGGGTTGACCGCGAAGGAGAAGAGAAGCACATGAAACACCAAATTTTTTTACCTGCTGCGCAGCGCATCCAAATTCAAATTTCGCTCGATCCAAAAAACAATCGGGTTGTCAGAACACTCAACGTGACCTGGTGGTTATGATAGATACCAAGATTGGTCACGACCAATATTCAGTTGATTTAGATTATGACAAAGTCGCGCCAACAGCTGGCTTATGCGACTTGTTCCGATTTCATCTATATCTTGCTGATTCGAGGAAATGAAAAGCGCTGTGGACTAGCAGTATACAGTAGTAGGTGGCGCATTGCTCAATATCAACAATGGTTGTAGTTGCTTGTGGGTTCAATCCCCAGGGTGTAGCATTTTTGCTGAAATTTGGAACAAAATTGAGAAGTACATCTCAGAGATGTGTCAGTGCCATCATTGTTCCATAATGACCCTCTTTGAGCTTTTGGTGGGTAAGGCAAAAAAAAGTTTTTAAAGACTTCTGCTTTCTTTGTATCATGAGGTCAACCCACACAAGTTCAAAAATATCAAGGCGACTCGAACACGCGCCGAGCTGTGCACCGCGATGACAAGGTTCTCACACCTTACCGTTGCACCAAGAAAGCTTAGATAAGGAGTCCAACGATGAGTTTATGATCATCAAAGATGAGTCGCAGGTCGGCTGTTTGAACGATCTCAATGTATTCAGCTAAATACTGATTGTAAGTAATCTCATTAGTTGCCGTAAGACGGTCACAATGAGTGTTTTGACAACTCGATCATTTTTTGGATCGAG